TTTATATTTATTTGAAAATGGGATTCCTCTTTTCATTGCCTACAAGTTTCTTTCTTTTGATTTGTTGAATTTAAGTCATTTGGTTGAGGATCATGGAAATACGATTTTCGTATATGGTCCTTCAGTATTTCGATTTTACCCTGCTGGGGGCTATGTTTCCTGCTTCTTGTAAATGTTGCGATGGCCGTCCCTCCCTGGATTCCTGTCACTGTTTTCTTTGTGCTGACTTTGGTCAATTTTTTTAGCCTTCTTTACCAACCTCCCTGCGGCCTCGCCTTCTGTTCCGTTCTTTCCTGACCTACTTGCGTTATGAACTTTGTCTTTCTATTTAAGAAAGTTTTCCTTTTTCCTTACTGATTCTTCAGTTGGTTTTCCTTGATCGGGCCAAATGTCTTTTGCTCTTGTCCCTTTTATTTCATTGTCTTCTTTCTCTTACTTTTGAAAGTTCTCGAGTTCCCGTGACTTTTTGGCAATCCAGTGGTTTTTTTTTTTTTTTTTTTTTTTTTTTTGGAGACAGAGTCTCACTCAGTTGCCCAGGCTGGAGTGCGGTGGTGCGATGTTGGCTCACTGCAAGCTCTGCCTCCCGGGTTCACACCATTCTCCTACCTCAGCCTCCTGAGTAGCTGGGGCTACAGGCGCCAAGCCTGGCTAATTTGTTGTATTTTTAGTAGAGACAGGGTTTCACTGTGTTAGCCGGGATGGTCTCCATCTCCTGACCTCATCATCCTCCCGCCTCGGCCTCCCGAAGTGCTGGGATTACAGGCGTGAGCCACCGTGCCCGGCCAAAATCCAGTGGTTTCTTTCTGTGTCTTCCACCCCCGTGAGCTCTTTGTTGCACTATATATTGGTGCTTTGGTTTCTTTCCCTAACATTTGCTCTACTGTTTTTTCAGTCTCTTTGATTATATTTGCCCATCATTTCTAGTTCTTTCTCCTTATATCCTCAACAATGTGTGCAGGGTTCAGCCTTTGACTGTTTATTGTTGTTATTTTCTGCTGTTTATCTTGGAATTCTCATCTAAGGGTCTTAAGTCTGTCAGCTATTACCTTGTGGTTTCAGTTCTCACTTCTTAAAGTTTCCTCCTGTTATGTTACACACAGGAATTATTGTTACTTTGAAAGAAGCTGTGTCCAGCCACTCATTTGTAATCTGTGTTTCCAACATGTGTATTGCACATTTCTATTTAGATTTTTATCATCTCAGTTTCAGCATCTGAAATAGAAAATCTCCTTCCTGTCCACCCTTCATAAACTACTTTCTTTCCTAATTGCCTCATCTTAGTAAGCGCCAGGACCACCATGTAAAAACTTAGTGTGATCTTGACTTATACGTTTCCTTTTTTTTTTTTTTGAGATGGAATTGCACTCTGCCACCCAGGCTGGAGTGCAGTGGCACGATCTCAGCTTACTGCAACCTCCGCCCCCTGGGTTCAAGCGAATCTCCTGCCTTACCCTCCCGAGTACCTGGGATTACAGGCGTTCACCACCTTGCCCAGCTAATTTTTGTATTTTTAGTAGAGACAGGGTTTCACCATGTTGGCTGGGTTAGTCTCGAACTCCTGACCTAAGGTTGTCTGCCCTCCTCAGCCTCCCAAAGTGCTGGGTTTACAGGCATGAGTCACCACACCTGGCCTCGTTTCCTTCATAGTTATCTGTTACCTAGTTTTTTGTTTTATTTATTTATTTATTTATTTGAGAAAGAGTCTCACTCTGTTGCCTGGGTTGTAGTGCAGTGGCGTGATCTCGGCTCACCTGCTGTCTCTACCTCTCAGGTTCAAGCAATTCTGTGTCAACCTCCTGAGTAGTTAGGTTTACAAGCGTGTGCCACCACACCTGGCTAATTTTTGTATTTTTAGTACAGACAAGGTTTCACCATGTTGGCCAAGCTGGTCTCGAACTCCTGACCTCAGGTGATCTACCCACCTCAGCCTCCCAAAGTGGTGGGATTATAGGTGTGAGCTACTGCGCCTGGCCTGTTACCTAGTTTTAAGTTTTTCTTTGGCACTGTTTCTCATCATTCTCCCTTGCCCCCTTTTTTTCCTTACTGCTACACCATCCTGTTCCATTCCCTAATTTTCTCACCTGGCTTATTTCAAATAGCCTTTTTTGGTTTTTGTTTTCTTGAGACGGAGTCTCGCTCTGTCACCCAGAGTGGAGTGCAGTGGCGCAGCCTTGGCTCACTGCAGCCTCTGTCTCCCGGGTTCAAGTGATTCTCCTGCCTTAGCCTCCCTAGTAGCTGGGACCAGAGGTGCACACTACCACGCCTGGCTAATTTTCTGTATTTTTAGTAGAAAATGGGGTTTCACCATGTTGGCCAGGCTGGTCTGGAACACCTGGCCTCAAGGGATTTGCTCACCTTGGCCCCCCAAAGTGCTGGGATTACAGGCATGAGCCACTGCGCTTGACCTCAAATAGCTTTTAATTTGTATTTCTGGCTTTTTTCTTCTCTCCATTTTCTCCTTATTTATGGTTTTCTAAAGTATATTCTCAGGAATATAAGCTTTATAATGTTTTAGAAGGTATTATAAGGAAAAGTTCTGTGGCTAAAAACGTTTGGAAAATGGCAGGCTAAGAAAAGGTAAATGGATATATTTAAAATATTGATGTTAGCTTCATTTAAGACTGGAAAAGTAAAAGAACAATGGATTCTAGTTTGGGTACAAAAAATAGGGGGACCTAAAATAATGTGAAATATATACTTTTCCAGTTTTCAGGATTTTAAAATTACTTAAAAGGTATAGGAAAATTAATGGTAAAAATTAATAAAAACATATATAGGCCAAAAAGAAAGATAAATGAGATCCTTACTGCAGAACTTCTGATTCTTGAATATGCTGGTGTTCATTGTTATCTGTGAAGTAGGAGGGATATAATCCATAGCATTTTCTAAAAAAATGTTTTTTTTTTTTTTTTTTTTTTTTTTTTTTTTTGTAGAGACATTGTCTTCCTATGTTGCCCAGGCTGGTCTTGAACTCGTTGGCTCAGGTAGTCCTCCCACCTCAGCCTCCCAAAGTGCTGAGATTATAGGTGTGAGCCTCCACACCTGGAACAAAAATACGATTTTCCCCAGAGTATCTTTTAGGATCTGTGATCCTTGGAGTACACTTTGGGAAACTGTATAAAATTTCTTGAAGCAGCCAGAACTTTCTCAGTTGCCACCTTAGCATTCCCTTGAGAACAGCATTGCTAGTTGTTCTGAAGCTAAATTCTTATAAACTAAGAAGTATGTGCAGTGCATTTTGAAACTGTTTTTATGTTAAAATAATCTTTAAAGGAAATACTAAATGCCAATATGAGAAAATGGAAAGATAGGAGAATATGGCCAGCAGACATCTAAATTAAACTAGTATCAAAAACAATGTATGATGAAAAACCAGAATTGTGCATGCCAGTGAATAAATTATCAGGTTCCCACCTTGTTTAAATGAAGAGAGTTTGCTCTTCTTGCAGAATTGTGTTTCCGAGTAACTTACTCCATCAAGTAAGCAGAAACTGTAAAGTTATATAATAAATGGCAGTCTTTGGTAAAATGCACTTCGTATGCTCTTATATATTTTTCTTTTTTTTTTTTTTTTTTTGAGACGGAGTCTTGGTCTGTCACCCAGGCTGGAGTGCAGTGGTACAATCTCAGCTCACTGCAACCTTCACCTCCCAGGCTCAAGTGATTCTCCTGCCTCAGCCTCCTGAGTAGCTGGGACTACAGGCATGCATCACCACGCCCGGCTAATTTTTGTATTTTTAGTAGAGATGAAGTGTCACCATATTGGCCAGGCTGGTCTCAAACTCCTGACCTCAGGTGATCGGCCCGGCTTAGCCTCCCAGAGTGCTGGGATTACAGGCGTGACCCACTGCACCCTGCCCACTCTTATATTCTTGGCATACTGAATTTGTCTTAACTTTCTTTTTGATGATTTTGATTTGCACAATTTACTTTATACTTCTTTGTCCTTACATATGTTTGTATATGTCACTGTTACTTTTGGATAATAGATTACTAATTTATTTTGCTCAAGGATATAATTGGGAGTTTGGGGCCAGCCACCCCCAGAATGCCTCCCAATTACAATTTTCTTCCCTTCTGTCAAAAAACTGTCTTGACTTTTGTGGTAATCACATTTCTTTTTTTTAGAGACAGGGTCTTGCTGTGTCGGCTGGGGTTGGAGTGCAGCAGTACTATCATAACTCACTGCAGCCTGGCCTCAAATGATCTTCCCTCCTTAGCCTCCTGAGTAGCTGGGATTGCAGGCATGCACCACCATGCCTGGGTAATGTTTAAACACGTTTTTATAGGGATGCTGACTTTGTTGCCCTGGCTGGCCTCAAATCCCTGGCTTCAAGCAATCCTTCCACCTCGGCCTCCTAAAGTACTGGGATTATAGCCATGAGCCACTGCACCCAGCCCACATTTGTTTATAGTTTTGTCGTTCAAATGTGCATCCTTAGATACCAAACTTTTTTTTATTTTTTTATTTATTTTTTTTTATTATTATTTTTTTTTTTGAGACGGAGTCTCGCTCTGCCGCCCAGGCTGGAGTGCAGTGGCCGGATCTCAGCTCACTGCAAGCTCCGCCTCCCAGGTTCACGCCATTCTCCTGCCTCAGCCTCCCGAGCAGCTGGGACTATAGGTGCCCGCCACCTCGCCCGGCTAGTTTTCTGTCTTTTTTAGTAGAGACGGGGTTTCACCGTGTCAGCCAGGATGGTCTCGATCTCCTGACCTCGTGATCCGCCCGTCTCGGCCTCCCAAAGTGCTGGGATTACAGGCTTGAGCCACCGCGCCCGGCCTCTTAGATACCAAACTTCAATCTTGCGCATTGAAAAACAGCGATGATTACTTTTAGGAAGTATTTCGATGTTGTGCCATTGTACCTTTCATGTTTATGCCTTTAAGTCAGAGATTTGTCTGTGGAAAAAAATGTAGTAACTTAAGTTTTTTGATGTTTTAAAGACTAGAAAGACTTGATCTAGTGCAATAAATTATATTTCAGGGTGTCCTGATGTCAGAAGAAGAAGTGTTTGAACTTGTTCCTGATGATGAGCGACAGTGTTCAGCATGCAGAACCACATGTTTTCTCTCTGCTCTCACATGCTCCTGTAATCCTGAGCGGCTTGTATGTCTCTACCATCCAACTGATCTGTGCCCCTGCCCCATGCAGAAGAAATGTCTTAGGTATCCAAATGACCTTTTTTTAAAACCAAGTCTCGATGTTGTTTTTACTTATTTCCTTCCTTCACTCTGGACTTCTCAACTTCTCTGTCTGCTTCTAGGCTTGAAGACCAGTCCTTTAAAGTGGGCCCTAAACTTGGCAGCTGAAATTAGTTTCTTTATCAGTTGATTGCACATGTTCCTTGTCTTCTTGCGTTAAAAACGGTGGGCTGGTTTGATTTGCTCTTCACGTGAACGAAGATCCCATTCCCTTGGCCATTGTGTTCTCCTTAAGCCGATGATACTAAAACTTTATTTTTAAGTTATTGTTGGTTTTTGAGATTTTTATTTCTGTGTGTATTTGTGTTTTCTTTTTGTAGATACCGCTACCCATTAGAAGACCTCCCTTCTCTGCTATATGGTGTAAAAGTCAGGGCGCAGTCCTATGACACGTGGGTCAGTCGTGTTACAGAAGCATTGTCTGCTAACTTCAACCACAAAAAAGGTGAAATTTCCTTCTTTCGTATACATATGCTGAATTGATTGTCACTTTAAAAGAGGCTTTGTTTAGTTTTATGTTTTTTCTTTCCGTAAAAGAAAAATCCTAGGCTTCCTATGAGATTTGAGATTAATGGGTTGGTTGAATATAGACTTAATTTTCTATTTGAGAATCTTCTTTGAAATGAAAAAACTGACTAAAAATGGGCCGGACATCTAACTTGCAGTAAATTTATTATATATGTTGGGAACCCACTATTACCAGTAAGACTAACACTGGAGGCTTCTTTGGAAAGAGAAATTTATTTACCTGAGAGAAACTGTCTATAAGGATTATAAATGAGCACCTGGTTGTTAGCTTTTATTGTGTTGGTGAGATTTTCACAGCTGTTTGCTTCTACTAATTTTATGTTTCTACTAGTAGGTTGGGGACTCACTTGAGTGAGGTTGGTGAAGATTTTAGAATGGCTTTTTGTGTCTGTGGTCATTGTATATGGCTCTTTATTTATTTTTACAGATTTGATTGAATTGCGAGTAATGCTGGAAGATGCTGAGGATAGGAAATACCCAGAGAATGACCTCTTTCGAAAACTCAGGGATGCTGTAAAAGAAGCTGAGACCTGTGCTTCTGTGGCTCAGCTGCTTCTGAGCAAAAAGCAGAAACACAGGTAAACCGAAGACGAGTTTAATTATCGTTGTCCTCTTTCTTTCAGAGTAAAAGCCAAATCTTTGTCTGGCCTGCGAAGCCCTACATTGTCTGGGACCTCTTGTGGCCATGTCTCTCGCTCCCAGTGATGCTCCAGTTTTATCTCCTACCATTCTCCCTTCTTTCTTGCTCCAGCCTGCAGGGTTCTTTCTCTTGCCGTTCTTCATACATACAGGCACGTTTTTGCGTAGCACTTCATGCTCTCTCTTTACGCTGCTCGGAGTTCCCTTCCCACCGTATCCAGGTGGCTTGTTCTGTGACCTGCCTCTTTTAAGCCTTTGTTTTCAAATGTCACTTTGTTGGCGAGGGCTTTTCTGACAAGCCTTTATAAAATTACAGTCCTCTTACCCTTTTTCATGCTTTGTTTTTCTCCTAGCGTTATCACCTGCTAATATACTAATCTACTTATTTTATTTATTATCTGTCTTCTCTTCCCCATCCCCCACTAGAATGTACACAAGACTAGAATATCAGGAATTTTTTTTTCATTGTCATATTTCTTGTGCTTAAAACAATGCCTGGCACATAGTTGTGCAATAAATATTTGTAAATGAATAAATGGAAACTATAGGCTGAAGGCAGGTGGCAGCAAAGGGTAACCTTGATGGATGCAGAGGAGGTTGTTAAGCATAGAAGTATGCACCCTTGGTATGATGTAATTCCTAAGTATTAAATTTTCTGTGGTGTTTAAATGTGGTGGTGTAATTCCAGCACATTTCTTCTGTCTGAATGGCCTTTCTATAGCAATTCATATTGGGTTTTTTAATTACTTTGTAAATTTTTTATTTACCATTTTGTTAGATAACTTTTCTTAGAGACATTGATCAACGGCTCTTAGCTTGTCATTGGGCCAGTGACCCCACTTGGAGAACCTGGTAAAAGTTTAGGAATCCTCTTAGAAAAATCATATACACACAAATTTTGGAACACTTTCAGAGGATTCATTGTAACCTAAGGCAGGTTAAAGGCTCTTCTTTCACATTTTAACCTTCTTGAGATACAGGGGTAAGTTTTATCAATGAACTTAATATTCCAACTATGAGGAATTTATGTAATGTTTGAAATGTTTAATACTTGTAGATCGAAGGAACTGTAACTTGGAGAGTTGAATCTTTGAGTCATTAACTGAAGACCTTAAAAACTGTTTTGAAGTGGTCACCATTGCAGTGTAATCCCTCAAACACTGGGATTCTAGGATTGCTTAGGTTTGAATTCTGAGTAGACTAGGAGCCCTTTTGATATCAGAATGACTGGTTTTTTTCTTACTTGTATCTCAATATTATTTCACATCAGACAGAGCCCAGATAGTGGGAGGACTCGGACCAAACTGACAGTGGAAGAATTGAAGGCCTTTGTCCAACAACTTTTTAGTCTTCCGTGTGTCATCAGCCAAGCTCGGCAAGTGAAGGTGGAGTATGACATCCTTTTTTTGGGTAATGTCCTTTGTGACAGGGTCTACTGTTCTGGGTTTCACAGACTGGTATATCTAAACTAGTTTTTTGCTCCAATTTTTTTTTTCTCTCACTATATGCTGCTATTTGAGATTCTTTAATAGGCAGTTTTCTGGTTTTGTTCTTAGCCGTTATTCCCCATTTAAAATTCTGTAAGGCTGATAAAGAATTATTTTTTTCTATATTAATTTTAGTTCAGAACACCCATTTAACATAGATGTAATTGAGATGCAAGAAATTAGTTAAAATAATCTGCATGTATCAGTGTTATTAATACATGAGCTTTTAAAAATGCAGAGCTCTGAAATTACCAGCACCCTGATGGCTTAATGAATATGTAAAATCTTAAAAGTATGTATCAAATATATTAATCTCCATAGTTAATGATCTTTTGATAGTTTGGGGTGTTTTTGTGTTTTGGGGGTGGGTAGAGGTCTAAAATAGTGTTTTTTGTTTTTGTTTTTGAGAAGGGAGTCTCGCTCTGTCGCCCAGGCTGGAGTGCAGTGGCGCGATCTCGGCTCACTGCAAGCTCCGCCTCCTGGGTTCAAGTGATCCTCCCGAGTAGCTGGGATTACAGGAATGGGCCACTATGCCCAGTTAATTTTTGTATTTTTAGTAGAGACGGGGTTTCGCCATGTTGGCAGTCTGGTTTCAAACTCCTGACCTCAGGTGATCCACCCGCCTCGGCCTCCCAAAGTGCTGGGATTACAGGCATGAGCCACTGTGCCCGGCCTAAAATAGTTTTTATAGTTTTTATCAAGGTTATCAACTTGTGAAATCTAGGGTCAGTTGTGTTCCTGTCTTATTCCATTTCATAAGAGCATTTCGATAGCTGACTACTCTTTCTTGAATGCTGTTCTTTAAGCCTCTGTGACACCACACTTTCTGGATTTTTTTCTTAGCTCATTGGCAGTTCTTCTCTTAAGTCTTCCTTGCTGCTTGTTTCTCTTTGACTTGGCTTCTCAAGTGTTGGAGTATATGAGGAGTCTCGGCCCTTTCTTCAGGTGCCCCCACTTCTGATACCTTATTTGCCCAGTGACATTAAATATCACCTGTATCCTGTTGATTCAGTCCCACATCTCCAGCCCCGGATGCCTTTTTCCCTACAGACTTGTATGTCCACGTGTGTACTCTGGATTTCCTTTCGGTGGACTAAAAGGCATATTAAAGCCTTTTTTTCTTTTCTTTTTTTTTTTGAGACAGGGTCTGGCTCTGTCACCCAGGCTGCAGTACAGTGGTGTGGTCTCAGCTCACTGTAACTTCTGCTTCCCAGACTCAAGCAATCCTCCCACCTCAGCCTCCCAAGTTGCTGGTACTACAGGTGCACACCACCACACCTGGCTAATTTTTGTATGTTTTGTAGAGACAAGGTTTCACCATTTTGCGCAGGCTGGTCTCAAAACTCCTGAGCTCAAGCAATCCACTTGCTTTGGCCTCCCAAAGTGCTGGGATTACGGACATGAGCCACGACACCTGGCCTTAAGCCTTTTAATGAACCAAATGAATCAAACTCCTTGATTTCTTTAATTCCCTTATTCCCCATGTTCAATATTTATACAAGTGCTGACTGCTGTTACCTCCAAAATATATCCTAAAGCAAACCATTTATTGTCCTCTCCGTTGCCTAAACTATGCTCTACACCACTGGAATGTGCCCCTTGGATTACTACAACAGGCTTTCAGCTGCTTTCTCTTCTTTTGCTCGTCTGACATTTTATTTTTTGTTTGGTAACCAGAATGATAATCTAAACTGTAAATCAAATCACATCACTTCCCTGTAGTTAAAATTCTCCAGTGGTTCCCCAAAGCCATTTGAATGAAATTCAAACTCATTGTAACCTAGAAGATACTGTGTAGTCTGACCTCTGCTTATTTTTTAACCACATTTCTCCATCGTCCACTTGTAGCAACACACCAAGCTCATTCTTCTTTAAAAGTGTTTGCAATTATTATTTACCCTGCCCTAACTGTTCTTCCTTCAGACCCTCTTGTAGTTCCTCCCCAACCCTCAATTTAGTTTCAGTTTGCCTTCTGTGACTACCATGACATAGCTAAGTAATATGCCTCTGCCCGCTCTGGTCATTCTCTGTTGTGCTGCCCTATTTTCAGAGCAGTTGACGCTAACTGAAACATTTTATTCGTGTGTTCACTGTCTGGTCACCTGCATTAGAATGTATGTTCTCTGGGCCGGGCACGGTGGCTCTCGCCTGTAATGCCAGCACTTTGGGAGGCTGAGGCGAGCGAATCATGAGGTCAGGAGATTGAGACCATCCTGGCTAACACGGTGAAACCCTGTCTCTACTAAAAATGCAAAAAATTAGCCGAGTGTGGTGGCGGACACCTGTAGTCCCAGCTACTTGGGAGGCTGAGGCAGGAGAATGGCGTGAACCCGGGAGGCGGAGCTTGCAGTGAGTCGAGATCGTGCCACTGCACTCCAGCCTGGGCGACAGAGCGAGACTCTGTCTCAAAAAAAATAAGTATGTTCTCTGAAGACAAGGACTTTTTATGTCTTCTTTAATACTGTGTGCCTGGAAAAGTGCCTGCATCTAAATCAGCAGTCATTGAGTATTTATTGAATGAATCAACTATATTTTAAAAGTAGGAGTATAGCTAGAAGTAATTGCACAAAAGCATATTTATTAATTTAACTATCATATCTGAATATTTGGTGTTATGGTGGTGAGATTATGAGAGTCTAGAATTGATAGTGTGCCTTGACTATGTCTAGTTCATACTCTTTTTGTATCTTTTAAATTTGTTTTTCGAATTTTTATTTCTTTTGACCTTTTCAGAATCTGCTAGATGATGTGGAAGAGTTTCATGAACGTGCTCAGGAGGCCATGATGGATGAAACCCCAGATTCTTCCAAACTCCAAATGTTGATAGATATGGGCTCTAGTCTGTATGTGGAACTCCCTGAATTACCACGACTGAAGCAAGAGCTGCAACAGGCTCGGTGGTTGGACGAAGTAAGACTGACCTTATCAGATCCACAGCAAGTCACTTTGGATGTCATGAAGAAACTGATAGACTCTGGGGTAGGGTTGGCACCCCACCATGCTGTGGAGAAAGCAATGGCTGAACTACAGGAGCTCCTTACAGTCTCTGAACGATGGGAAGAAAAGGCTAAGGTCTGCCTACAGGCAAGGTGAACACATTTTGGTGACTGTTGCCTCTTTAACAACTAAGTCAGAAGGTAGAATGGGAAGAAGGAGCTTAAAGGCTTATTGCATTAAATGGCTTTTTTTTTTTTTTTCCTTTGGGATTTTAATGTGTAAGTAGCATTAGTTAAGTTGTGTAGGTGGAAAAGGCATTTCCTGATGATCCAGGGCCTGAGGGAAATGGGGAGATTCTCCTCTCTCCCTGCTTTGGCAGGCAGCTCCTGGAGAGGTGCAGGTCGGTGGCAGTGGGTACAGGCAAGCTGGAGAGTTTCTTGCTGGGCAGGAATGCCCACAGTCCACACCTTCTTCAGCCCTCAGCACCTCATTGTGTCTGGACCCACGAATGGAGTGCCAGTGCTAGGGAGTGGGTTCTCCTGTGTCTGGCTCCAACAACTGGTTTATTGTGATGACATTAAATATTTAATTAAATGTTTTGTGCCTTCCCTGGCCAATTGCTAAGTTATCAAATGGGGCTACATGTAGACAGTTTCAAATATGTGCAGACTATTGTGCAGAGTACTTTGTTAGGTACTTCATGTTATACAAAGTCGTGTTTTGTTTAGAGCCTATACTTAGTGATATTATAGTTAGGAAGTAAGAAGTATAAAGCCCATTGTAGTATGTTATTAATGTTAACCGAAAGGTATGGAAAAATGTTACAGGGATTCAGAGGGGGAAGATCATGGTGAGCTTGGGTGGTCAATAGAGAAGCTTCAGAGAAAAATAAGAACTTAGGTAGAGCCTTGAGGAATGAGTAGGATTGAAGTGGAAGGAAGGTAAGAGAAATGTCAGAAACTGAGTTTAAGGAATATTTAGGGTGTGTTCAAGTGACAGAAAATAAGTGGGTTTGCCTGGAGTGGAGGATTTATGCTGAAAAGTATTGGGAGGTGAGAATCAGGCAGGAGGAGAATGTTGAGTGGCTGTATTAGCATCAGCACCCCATTGGACTTAATGAGATTTTTTTATTTTATTTTTTTTTTATTTTTATTTTTTGAGACGGAGTCTCGCTCTGCCGCCCAGGCTGGAGTGCAGTGGCCGGCTCTCAGCTCGCTGCAAGCTCCGCCTCCCGGGTTCACGCCATTCTCCTGCCTCAGCCTCCCGAGTAGCTGGGACTACAGGCGCCCGCCACCTCGCCTGGCTAGTTTTTTGTATTTTTTAGTAGAGACGGGGTTTCACTGTGTTAGCCAGGAAGGTCTCAATCTCCTGACCTCGTGATCCGCCCGTCTCGGCCTCCCAAAGTGCTGGGATTACAGGCTTGAGCCACCGCGCCCGGCCAACTTAATGAGATTTAAATAAAGTGTTTATATCTGGCTGTATATCAGCAAATTTGGGTGATAATTAATGGTGGTGTTCTTTGTGAAAGCATTTCTCTAGCAGCTAAGATTAATATTTATATAATTTCTCTTGTGAGGATGAGGAAACTGGGGTGCATAGAGCGATCACATAGTTACTGAGTGACACAACTGAAATTTAAAGCATCTTCCACTTGATTTCAATATCTCTGTGTACTTATCTACTTTGCCAGCCACTTAACTTTGGATACATCTTGATGAGAAAATCTTTAGGTGATTTAATGAGCACAGCTCTGAGAAGCCTCTATGTGCACTGGGTATTTTGCTATCCAGATGACGTGCAGAATACATACTAAAATGTATTCATTGCGTTTCCTATTTGAACTATTCATATTACTCAGTGTCTTCAGATTAATGACGACAGTTCCAGGAGGTGGGAACATATTAAGTGGACAAAGCTAAATAACTTTGGAATGTAAAACTATGATTTTGATAACACCTGATACAACTGGGAGTAGGCTACCACATGAAATTTTGTTGGTAATAATAGTTAAACACTTTGTTTTCCCAGTCTCCTATATTTAGTCAGTCACCAGGTCCTGATGATTTTGTCTCCAAAATGTCTTTCATATCTCTCTTTCAAATTCATTGTCACTGACCTGGTTGTAGTCCTCTTATATTTTACCTTGATATTTGAGTTTGGTAAGTATTGATGGAGAACCTACTCGATGCCAGGTACTATTTCTAAATGCTATGTAGACAGTAGTGAACGAGACACACAAAGATCTCTGCTTTCATGGAGCTACCGCTCTAGTAGAGAGAGAGAGAGATGAATGAGTTTCAAATAATTAGTGTCATGAAAAAAGTAAAACTGGGACAGAAATAGAGGATTATGTGGCTGGTGGAAACAGTGGGAGTTAGACTCTTTTCTAATTTCTGTCAGAATTATCTTTCTGAAACACATCCTTAATCTTCTTGATCTCTTAGTATTGGTTATTAACTACTTACCATTATTTTCTTGAGATTCTTTCTTTGCCTTTGGCCTTCTCTCTACATCTAAAATAATGGTTTTCCTCGAGATTCTGGCATAGATACCTTTCTTTTCTCACTCTGTACAGTCTCTCTGGAAATTTAATTTAATTTCTTGGCTCCGTTTGCCTTCTTTATACTGAGTAACTCCTAAATCTTCATTTATAATATAGATTTCTTTCATAAATATCGTCTGCCTGTTAGATAATTCCAGGGGATGTCTCATAGATACCTGAAATTCCCTGCATCCCAAATTGGACTCATTAATGTCTTCCCATATCCTCCTCCTTTGCTTCTTTATTCTTTAAATGATACCACCTTTCACTCATTTGAACGGCAGGTACTTTGGTAGTTAGCTTTGACTCCTCCCTTCTTCTTTATCCTCAAACTCAGTTGTGCTGATTATATTTCCCCAGTGCTTCTCACTTTCATTCTTTTTTTTTTTTAAGTCTGCACATGGATTTATATTATATTCATTCTTTTTCAAACCCCCTCCCCACCTTCTTTTTTGAGACAGAGACTTGCTTTGTTGCCCAGGCTGGGGTGTGCAGTGGTGCCATTTTGGCTCATGGCAACCTCCACTGCCCAAGGCTCAATCTATTCTCATGCCTCAGCCTCCCGAGTAGCTGGGATTATAGGTGCGTGCCCACCATGCCCAGCTAATTTTTAAATTTTTCGTAGAGACGGGGTTTCGCCATGTTGGCCAGGCTTGTCTTGAGCTCCTGACCTCAAGCAATCCGCCCGCCCCGGCCTCCCACAGTGCTGGGATTACAGGCTTGAGCCACTGTGCCCAGCCTTTTACCCTCATGCTTGAAGGACTTTTTTGCATTAGGTGTAAAATTACTGATTGACAGTTATTTTGTCTTAGTACTTTGGATATATCATTCTGTCTGCTGTTTTGAAAAGAATCTTGTAGGATTATTCCTTCTTTTTCTCTCATTCCACTCAGGCTGCTGTCATAGCTAGCCTAGATCACAGCAGCAGGTTCTGTCTGGCCTTACCCCTCTCTGATTCGTTCTCTCTACTGCCACTAGTGCTTTGTTAACACACAGGTGTCACTTTCACTCCCTTACTGAAATCCTTCTCGAGTTTTCTGTTGCCCTCAGGATGAAGTCCAAATTCTCTAACCTGATTTATAAGGCCATCTGTCATCTAGCCTCTTGCTTAATTATATATCTAGTCTTATCTCTTGCCATTCTTCTCTTGTATCCTGTGTTCCAAACATTGTGATTTTCTTCCCAGTTCCTCAAACATCTACGTTCTTTCTCTGCATCTTTGTGCATGTGTATTTTATTCTCCTGTAGAGCACTCTTATTTTCAGCCCATCTCCTGTGGTGTACCGCTGCCAACCCTACCCTGCCCCTGGCCCCAGCTTTCCTGATTAAGCCTTATTCAGAAAGGATGAGAAAGCTTAGACATCACTTTTGGGAAGTCTTCTTTACCCACTAGGTCGATTAGGTTCTCCTACTATGTATTCCAATAGCACCTTTACTTTCATTTATCATTAGTTCTCACAGTGCATCATAAACTCCTTATTAATAATCTTCATAAAATTAAAAAGCTTCATGAGGCTGGGCACAGTGGCTCACATCTGTAATCCCAGCATTTTGGGAGGCCGAGGAGGGTGGATTGCTTGAGCCCAGAAGTTCGAGACCAGCCTGGCCAACATGGTGAAACCCTGTCTCCACTAAAAATACAAAAAATTAGCTGGGCAAGGTGGCTCATGCCTGTCGTCCCAGCTACTTGGGAGGCTGAGGCATGAGAATCGTTTGAACCCGGGAGGCAGAGGTTGTAGTGAGCTGAGATTGCGCCATTGCACTTCAGCCTGGGTGACAGCGAGACTCAAAAAATAAGTAAAGGTTTCATGAGGCAAGGACTGTCATTCTTGCTCATGAGCAATTTCCAGTACCTAGAACGGTGCCTAACACACAGTAGGATTCGTGGATGATGAACGATTTCCACCTCAGCAGCTTCCCGTTGCTTTACATGATGAAGTCTGTGGCTCTCAGGACTCCGCGTCTCTCTTCCTGCCAAATTCCCTCTTCCCGTCCCACTCTTTCTCCACCCGTTCCCTGCCTCCTGTTCTCCACATCGCCCCCTAATTGCAAACTGAACTATGAACTGCTTTTTCAGTGTTTTTCCATGCCTTTGTTCATTGTGTTCCTGGTTTCCTTAACTTCTTTAACTTTTCGTTTTGACAGAATCATACTAATTTAAGGCCTACTTCAAAGCCTTTCTCAGCTTTCCGGGGCAGAATTAATCACTGCCTCCCGTAACAGTGAGTTTATAGTAATTTGGTTTTAGTTCCCAGTAGAAGCATAATTCTTATCTTGTATTACGATTCGTTGAGGATAAGGTCTATGCTTTATTCATCTTTGTGTAACTAATGTTAATGAATGTAGTTTGTAAGTAAATGTACCTTGTCAACATTAATGGATTTCTAGTCTCTTGTTTTCTACATTGCTATCAAATGTGCATCTCTGACAATTTCAGTTACTGTAGAGCAGTAGAATAGAGGTAGTCTAGTATAGTGAAAGGATCATGGATCTGACCCTCATTCTGAATCAGTATTTCAGATGTGTCGTTTATTACGCTAAATGACTGGGGAAAATAACTTCTCTTTGAGTTAAAGTTTTCTTATCCTGAGCCGGGCGTGGTGGCGGGCGCCTGTAGTCCCAGCTACTTGGGAGGCTGAGGCAGGAGAATGGCGGGAACCCAGGAGTCGGAGCTTGCAGTGAGCTGAGATCCTGCCACTGCACTCTGCACTCCAGCCTGGGCGACAGAGCGAGACTGCGTCTCTAAAAAAAAAAAAAGTTTTCTTATCCATAAAATATTTATGTTTTATTTTATTGTAAACTTATGTTTATACATTTTCTTATCTATAAGATGGAAAAGAAAGATACTAGCTGCTTTGCCTCCCTTATAGGATTGTGGTAAGAATTCAGTGAAATCATGTAAATGAAAGTTATCTAAACATTCTGAAATATTATTTAAAGGTTGATTTCTCATGCATCCTACTCTGTTTTATTGTTCTTTTAGACCACGGCACAGTGTGGCAAGTTTAGAAAGCATTGTGAATGAAGCCAAGAACATTCCAGCCTTTCTACCCAATGTGTTGTCCTTGAAAGAAGCCTTACAAAAGGCTCGAGAATGGACAGCTAAAGTGGAAGCTATTCAGGTAAGAAGGCTTTTGGATTATCCCACCTATCAGGTAACGCCTGTTTCACGGATTAATCTTTTTTTTTTTTTTTTTTTTTGAGACAGAGTCTCTCTCTCTCACCCAGGCTGGAGTGCAGTGGCACCATCTTGGCTCACTGCAGCCTCCACCTCCCAGGTTCAAGCAATTCTCCCACCTCAGCCTCCCGAGTAGCTGGGACTGCAGGCGCCCGCCACCACGCCTGGCTAATTTTTTGTAATTTTTAGTAGAGACAGGGTTTCACCGTGTTAGCCAGGATGGTCTCGATCTCCTGACCTCGTGATCTGCCCATCTCGGCCTCCCAAAGTGCTGGGATTACAGGCGTGAGCCACCGCGCCCGGCCTAATCTTTTAAACTATTAATTCTTTAGAATAGAATAATCTTAATTCAAATGATCCCTAACTTAGATCGACTTGTGATTTTTTGACTTTATGATGGTGCGAAAGTGATATGCATTGAGTAGAAAGTGTGTTTCGAATTTTGAAGTTTGAACTTCTGCCAGGCTAGCAATGTGTGGTGTGACACTCTCTCATGATGCTGGGCAGCAGCATTGAGCCACAGCTCCCAGTCAGTCATGCCGATGTAAGGGTTCTGAGCACCTTTAAGGTAGGGTAGGCTAAGCTGTGTTTGGTATGTTAATTTTATTAAATGCATTTTCAACTTACGATGGGGACATAACCCTGTCGTAAGTTGAGGAGCATCTATAAAATAATTCTAGTACAGTTCACTTACTCTTTTGTCTGATTTTATAATTTAGAATAATTGTTACCTACTTAAATATTGCTTGTTTTTATTGACTCCCTGCTATGAAAGATGATGGAATTAGTTATTTAACTCTTTAGCAATAGGGAATTTGTTAGCTACCGTATTCTTCAAATTTTTTTCCATGTGCATGAATTACTTTTAAAATTAGAGGCAGAAAAAGAAAATGAAATTAACATTTACTGAGCACCACAATGAATTACTTTTAAAATTAGAGGCAGAAAAAGAAAATGAAACTAACGTGTACTGAGCACCACAGCACTCTTGCTACTATTCTAGGTATTTGGGAGCAGGCATGTAAGGGAAGGGTGTAAAAATAGGACTTACAGTATAAAATAGGGTATAAAACTAGAGTCTTCCAAATACATGTTTTCTAGTTGGAGAGACATATTTTACACATCTGTAATTTAAAACAGAATGAGGTAAGTGCTAGATAGAGAAAAAAGTATACTTGAATCATAAAAACCGTTAAGCAGCACTTAACAGTGTTAAATATATAAACACTCTTAATTATAGAACTGTACTCAAACAGAAAACCAACTTCCACTAAACTGCTGCCCCCAAAAGGAACATATTCTAGGTGTCAAGTTCTATTTTTTGCTTTTCGAGACGGAGTCTCGCTGTGTCGCTCAGGCTGGAGTGCAGTGGTGGTGCGATCTTGGCTCACTGCAACCTCTGCCTCCTGGGTTCAAGCAATTCTCCTGCCCCAGCTTCTCAAGTACCTGGGATTACAGGCACGCGCCACCAGGCCCAGCTAATTTTTGTATTTTTAGTAGAGATGGGGTTTCACCATGTTGGCCAGGCTGGTCTCGAACTCCTCAGGTGATCTGCCTGCCTTGGCCTCCCAAAGTGCTGGGATTACAGGTGTGAGCCACCGCGCCTGGCCTGGGTGTCAAGTTCTAATGACTTCTCTTTTACTTTCTTTTTTGTTGAGTTTTTCTGGGACCTGCTTAGCTGCCAGTGTTTCGTTTCTGTTTTTTTGAATTATTTCTGTTTTTATCCAGACAGCTTCTATGTTTGGTGAGTCTTTGACCTGGCTCAGGCAGTAGTTGTTGTCTTCAAATGTCTGAGAATCTTTAATTGGCTGTTTTATTTATAATTGAACGACTAGGCCAACAAGTGTAGGTAGCTGTCATGTGTTTCCTCTGTAATTTCGAAGGGCTGTCTCTCTACCAGGCTCTTCCCTTCAGTGCGAATACTGACTTGTAGGCTCTAAGTAAGTGGACAGGTTTTGTTATTTGGCAGACTTTTCTTTAGGCTGCGTGGCCTGGGAGCAGCGTGTGTCTAGGCTTAGCCAGAAGGTGTTCTCTAGTCAAATGGCTATAATTGGGCACGAGAAAGAATAATAGTAAATATCGTATCTTGATGTGAGCTTGTTTTCTATTCCATTTAGTTATCTGGTCCTATCTTGGTATTGTAGTAGTTTAATTATATCATTTTAATATCTTGTAGGACTAGAGCTACTTCCTTACCCCCTTTAAAAATGCATAGGTTTTTTCTTTTTTTTTGAGACAGAGTCGCATTCTGTTGCCCAGGCTGGATCTCAGCTCACTGCAACCTCCTCCTCCTGGGTTCAAGCTATTCTTGTGCCTCAGCTTCCCAAGTAGCTGGGATTACAGGTGTGCACCACTGTGCCTGGGTAATTTTTGTATTTTTAGTAGAGACAAGGTTTTGCCATGTTGACCAGGTTGGTCTTGAACTCCTGGCCTCAAGTGGTCCACCTGCCTCAGCCTCCCAGAGTGCTGGGATTACAGGCATGAGCCACTGCACTCAGCCAAAAAGTCATAGGCTTCTTGCCTATTTATTTTTCTCCATGGTTCAGTGTATCTTTCAAAATGAGTTTATAGACAAATGTATCTGTTGATATTTGGGGAATATCCTTATATTGGAATACAGTATAGATGTTCTGTAAACAATAATGATTTCATTACATGGAAAGTTGAAACATTGTGAACTTGGAAGGAAAATATTTATTCTTATTTTTGTTTGTGTAACTTAAAATGGAGGTGGTTACCAGAATTGAAATACTGCTTTTAGTTATTGGAAAAATTGTGAAAGACTTTGAAATTGGATATCTAGGTATCCTTTCAGTGGAATATTGGATGTTGTCTAGTGAACTCTCCAGGATTTTCTGATTCTAGGGGTGTGTGCCTTAGATTTTCTTTGGCCAGCCTATTTTACACCTGTCAGTTGTTTAGAAAGAAAAGGATAGCAATGCAAATGAGGTATGTCCATAGAAAGGCAGTGAAATTTGTATGGAATGGTATAGTTGATTTTCACATTGTAGAAAAAGATGATTCAGTTTTCCTCTATATTAAGCATATATTTCTATCTATTAGTAAATGCGTTTTCTGATTCCTGTTTATTTATTTATTTATCTATTTTTGAGACAGAATCTCACTGGGTTGCCCAGGCTGGAGTGCAGTGACACGATCTCAGCTCACTGCAACCTCCGCCTCCCGTGTTCAAGCAATTCTCTTGCCTCAACCTCTTGAGTAGCTGGGATTACAGGCATGCGCCACCACGCCTGGCTAATTTTTGTATTTTTAGTAGAGACAGAGTTTCACCATGTTGGCCAGGCTGGTCTCGAGCTCCTGACCTCAGGTGATCTGCCTGTCTCAGCGTCCCAAAGTGCTGAGATTACAAGTGTGAGCCACCGCGCCTGGCCTGCTAACTGCATTTATATATGTCCGTGCTTTAGATTGTCCTTTGAACTGGTTTTTATGTCTGCTGGTTCTCTCATTAATTAGTAAATAAAATCATTGATGACATGTTCATTAAAAAAATAATTTACACAAACTTTTAAAAAATAGGACATTGGAAGTTATATGAATTCAAGAGATGGAATTCCATGCAAAGAATAGTATTTAATAAAAGAACTAACACTAAACTTCGTAAGGTCTTTGAACAGTATATTGCCAGACCCCATAAGAGAACTCAAATTGTGAGAATCGACTTTGGTTTTTCAGAGTGGCAGCAACTACGCTTATTTGGAACAGCTTGAGAGCTTGTCTGCGAAAGGACGCCCTATCCCTGTGCGCCTTGAAGCACTGCCGCAAGTGGAATCTCAGGTGGCAGCAGCACGGGCATGGAGAGAACGGACTGGGCGGACCTTTCTTAAGAAGAATTCTAGCCATACGTTGTTACAGGTACTTGAACTTCAGCACTCTCATGAACTTCAGCACTCTCATAAGCCGCTGGTAATTTAAGTGGTAATAGTATTGGTGAGGGTTGTTTTCAGTGTATCTGATTACCGTTATACAAGTGATTCTTACTGGGTGATATCAGATGGTGACTTACTGGGTGGTATCAGATGGTGACTTACTGGGTGGTATCAGATGGCGACTTACTGGGTGACATCAGATGGTGACTTACTGGGTGGTATCAGATGGTGACTTACTGGGTGACATCAGATGGCGACTTACTACTGGGTGACATCAGATGGTGACTTACTGGGTGGTATCAGATGGCGACTTACTGGGTGACATCAGATGTGACTTACTGGATGGTATCAGATGGCGACTTACTGGGTGACATCAGATGGTGACTTACTGGGTGGTATCAGATGGCGACTTACTGGGTGACATCAGATGGCGACTTACTGGGTGACATCAGATGGTGACATCAGACTTACTGGGTGACATCAGATGTGACTTACTGGATGGTATCAGATGGCGACTTACCGGGTGGTATCAGATGGCGACTTACCGGGTGACATCAGATGTGACTTACTGGGTGGTATCAGATGGCGACTTACTGGGTGACATCAGATGTGACTTACTGGGTGACATCAGATGGCGACTTACCGGGTGGTATCAGATGGCGACTTACTGGGTGACATCAGATGGCGACTTACTGGGTGACATCAGATGGCGACACTTACTGGGTGACATCAGATGGCGACTTACTGGGTGGTATCAGATGGTGACTTACTGGGTGGTATCAGATGGCGACTTACTGGGTGGTATCAGATGGTGACTTACTGGGTGGTATCAGATGGCGACTTACTGGGTGACATCAGATGGCGACTTACTGGGTGGTATCAGATGGTGACTTACTGGGTGGTATCAGATGGTGACTTACTGGGTGACACATCAGATGGCGACTTACTGGGTGGTATCAGATGGCGACTTACTGGATGGTATCAGATGGCGACTTACCGGGTGGTATCAGATGGCGACTTACTGGGTGACATCAGATGGCGACTTACTGGGTGGTATCAGATGGTGACTTACTGGGTGGTATCAGATGGTGACTTACTGGGTGGTATCAGATGTGACTTGAAATCTGGAGCCTTGGGCAGATTCATTTCCAGTTAATCTTGTGCTGTCCCTAGAAAAAAGCAGTCGGCCTTGGCTTGTTATTGGACTCTAGTCATTGAAATAGTTTTGTTTTGTTTTTTTGAGACAGAGTCTTGCCCTGTTGCCCAGACTGGAGTGCAGTGGTGCGATCTCAGCCCACTGCAGCTGTCGCCTCCTGGGCTCAAGTGATCCTTTCACCTCACCCTCCCAAGTGTCTGGGACTACAGGCATGCACCACCATGCCTGGCTAATTTTTTGTATTTTTGGTGGAGATGATGTTTCGTCATGTTGCCTGGGCTGGTCTCGAACTCCTTTGAGCTCAAGTGATCCGCCCTCCTCAGTCTCCCAAAGTGCTAGGATTACAGGTGTGAACCACCACGTCCAGCCTATCGTTGAATGATCTTTTTTCTCCGAAGCACAAATTTGTATACTCATCGTCCCTTTGATCTTGAGAAGTTGAACGTAGTAGTTAAGAGCAAAGACTTTGGAATAAGGTCCTTTCAGGTTTGAGAATGGACTCCTTAATTGCTAACCCTGTGTCCTTGGGCAAGTTATTTCCTTTCTGAGCCTCAGTTTCTCTTGTTTATAAAACGTAGATACTAATACCTCCTACATAGGGTTGTTGTGAGGAATGAATTAGATCATGTGTATAAAGTCCTTAAGAAAGTGCCTCGGACACGGTTGAATGGTCAATAAATGGTTCCTTTATTATTTTCACTTCTAAGATTTTTTAAAAGCCAGAGTTTATAATGGTGGTTTTATTTTTGTAGGTGCTGAGCCCCCGGACTGACATTGGTGTATATGGGAGTGGCAAAAATAGGAGGAGAAAAGTAAAAGAACTGATAGAAAAAGAAAAAGAAAAGGATCTGGACCCCGAGCCTCTGAGTGATCTGGAGGAGGGATTGGAGGAAACCAGAGATACAGCCGTGGTGGTAAGACGTTACCGAGCATCTTGAGTTTGCTTGGTGAATACACAATTCTGTAAAGATGTTAGCAGACTCACAGTTTTTATGTTTTTAACTTTTCATTTTGATATACTTGGCTTTACGATTATACATATTTCACATTAAAAGTATTTATAATCAAGATATACAAAAAGTTTAGTATTCTGCTCTTTTCCCACAATTGTCTGTTCCATACCTCTGTTCTTTACTGTTGTTTTAATGGTCGTCTACTGTTCCATCAAATTGTCCATAGTCTGCTGAGTACAGTAAGTCCTCACTTAACATTATCAATAGCTTCTTGCACTGCAACTCTAGGTGAAGCAATGTATAATGAACCCAGTTTTACTACAGGCTGATACAAACAAGAGTTAAGTTCCTTATTTTTTAACCAGCATATTTCTGGTCACAAAAACATCATCAGACTTTTAAAATAAAGACCCCAAACACTTCTGATATTAAACACTGAGAAAATTCGAGCTAAACATACATTTAAGAAAGAGTAATAAAAACTAGATAATTATCCAATTTTTGGTAAATTAGTGAGTGACAGTGGCATTGGCCAGGAATTGATTTTTTCTCATCAATGTTATAATGAAATTACACTGAACATAAAGATGTTATTTGAAGACCTGCTGTAGTTTTCTAATTTTGAACATTTTGCCTGTTACTAAGTTTCTTATTGTAAGTAATAAAATGAACTTCTTTGTATAGCCTTTTCCTTCTTTTAAATTTCCTAGACTTGACTCTTAGGAATGTAATTACTGGGTTAGAATTTAATATAAACATTTTATGACTCTTATTACTATGTGTTTTTTAAAAGAATTATACCAGGCTACAGATTTCCATCTCTTAATGAGTGTTAAAATATTTGTAGTTGATGAGAATTATGCTTTTTTGGAGGATAGGAGGAATGTGTTAAGATTACTAGGATCCTGAGGAAATAGAAAATAAATACGAATCTGGGCAATAAAAGTAAGGAATTGCGTATGATACAGCTCTTTCTGCCTACAAATGATTCTGTTTTGAAGCCAATGAAAATGATTTCTGATTAGAGAGCCTGCCTAACAAGTCAATCTTGCTAGACAAGTAGGACTGGAAATTATTTCAAAATTTTTTCAAAGCTGCCAGTAGTTCAAGAAGAAAATGCACTGACAGTATTGATAATTAAATTTGTTTGCCTTTATTTACTTTGTTAAATTGAGTTTCATAAAACTCTGTTGTTACAATTGATCAAGTTTTGTTACTCTACTTACACATGAAGAGGCCTTCTAGAGAGAAATAAATTAATGTATATAGGACTTGCCCCAGGGAATGAATTACGAGGGGATGGGAAACTAATACTTCATTGAGTGTTTTTCTTGTGCAAGGTACCAGGTTAGGCACTTTCATATGTTACCTTATTTAATCTGTGAAACAGCAAAATAACGGTTGGTAGTATCCTCATTTTTCAGAAAATGGAGGTTCGGAAACTTGTGCCCCATATTAACAGTCTAAAAGTACAAGAGCCAGGCTTTGTACCCAGGTTGCTTGATTTCAAGGCATGCCACCTTTGTACTGCGCCCTACAAAAGAGGCCAAAGTACTGCACTGATGTACATGATCAAATGTGATAGCACTTTGCCCGTTTCACAGATGAGGAATGTTTGCATGGAAACTGCCAGGGGCCCCAAATTTTAGGAAACTGTTTATAACTGATAGCTTGGAGAAAGATCCCACGGTCTTGGGAATTTGGTAGTTTGGGAGTATATTGCAGTGACTCTTCAATTAAATGTGTTTCTTGTACAGGTAGCAGTTTTCAAAGAACGGGAGCAAAAAGAGATTGAAGCCATGCATTCTCTCAGAGCAGCCAACCTAGCCAAGATGACAATGGTGGACCGCATAGAAGAAGTAAAATTTTGCATTTGCCGCAAGACAGCCAGTGGGTTTATGCTACAGTGTGAGCTCTGCAAGGACTGGTTCCATAACAGCTGTGTTCCTCTTCCTAAATCAAGTTCCCAAAAGAAAGGATCCAACTGGCAAGCTAAAGAAGTAAAATTCCTTTGCCCTCTTTGTATGCGGTCTCGAAGGCCCAGGCTAGAGACTATTCTGTCACTCCTGGTGTCCCTTCAGAAGTTGCCCGTACGGTTGCCTGAAGGAGAGGCTCTGCAGTGTTTGACAGAACGTGCTATGAGTTGGCAAGATAGAGCACGGCAGGCTCTAGCCACAGATGAACTCTCCTCTGCCCTGGCCAAATTGTCTGTGTTGAGCCAGCGTATGGTGGAACAGGCAGCTCGAGAAAAAACTGAAAAGATCATCAGTGCGGAGCTCCAAAAAGCAGCTGCCAATCCAGACTTACAGGCAAGTTTAGGATTTACATTCTTTTTCTATTTCATGGGATATGTCAGTGTATAAATAGTAAATCGAGTCTGTCTTACCAATTGATTAGGAAAATAACAGTAACTTGTCAGCAATTATCCATTGCATTCTCATTCAACATATACTATAATACTTTTTTTTGGATGCGTACTTAGTGAACTATTCCTGGGAATGTCATTCAGGTGGACTTTGGCATCATCATCAAATAATTTGATTTCTACTAACTGTTGAAGAACTCTGTTAGCCACTTTGCTTATTCATTACATTTTGGTGATCTTAGGCACACATTAATTCCCCTGCTGGTCTCTCATGTCTTGCTGTTCATCTTGGAATTCTTTGTTGTTTAGGGACACTTACCTAGTTTCCAGCAGTCTGCTTTTAATCGGGTGGTGAGCAGTGTGTCCTCTTCTCCTCGACAAACAATGGACTATGATGACGAAGAAACAGACTCTGATGAAGACATTCGAGAGACGTATGGTTACGACATGAAGGTAGTTACACGGACAGGCTGTGTGGGTACATACCTGATCATTGGGTTTGTTTAAAAAAAAAAAAAAGCTATTGAACAGTGATGTTTGAGGCCTGAAAGTGAAAGAGAAAACTAGTCATTTATCTCTTCTGAGGTTTTAGTCATAGCATTTTTTCAAAACTCAAAAAATTACAGGTTGCTGAAATAATTTTTTTTTTTTTGAGATGGAGTCTCCCTCTGTCAGCCAGGCTGGAATGCAGTGGCGTGATCTCTGTTCACTGCAACCTCTGCCTTCTGGGTTTAAGTAATTCTTGTTGCTCAGCCTCCCAAGTTGCTGGGATTACAGGCGCATGCCACCATGCCTGGCTAATTTTTGTATTTTTAGTAGAGATGGGGTTTCATCATGTTGGCCAGGCTGGTCTTGAACTCCTGACCTGAAGTGATCCGCCCGCCTCGGCCTCCCAAAGTGCTGGGATTACAGGTGTGAGCCACCGCGCCAGACCTGAAACAGTTTTTAAAAAAATAGAATTTAAAAATCTGTATATGTTTTTCTCATCTTATAGTCCCTTATGGCTTAGAGGAACTAGAAAATCAATGCATTAAATTATGTAAAGCTTTCATGGCCAATTTCAGGTTTTCACATTTTTTTCTTTGAGTTAAAGTCTGTATACAGTTAAGTTTTAAGAATTCCATTCTAGGCTTGGTGTGGTGGCTCATGCCTATAAACTTGACACTTTAGGGGAGACTGAGGTGGGAGGATCACTTGAGTCCAGGAGTTTGAGACCAGCCTGTGCAACATAGCGAGACCCCCCCATCTCTACAAAAAAATACAAAAGTTAGTTGGGTGTGGTAGCATGCACCTGTAATCCCAGCTGCTTGGGAGGCTGAAGTGGGAGGATTGCTTTGATCCTAGGAGGTCAAGGCTGCAGTGATCTGTGATTGTACCACTGCCCTCCAGCCTGGGTAGCGCAACAAAACCTTGCCTCAAAAAAAAAAAAAAAAAAATTCCATTCCAGCTAGGCTGTGAGTCTTTTGCTCTGCTTTCTTGTCTGGATGGTGTCAGATAGAAAGTAATATTCAGAGATGGGTAATATAATACTTAGGCCCAGGTTAGAATTTGCTGAGTTCCAGTTGCAGATACAACAAATTATTTACCATCAATGTGACTGTTTTGGTAATGACACCTTACTGGTGGTGAAGAGAAGGTTTTGACAAGTTTGTTTTGTGTTGGATCCAGTTGGCTTTTCGTTCACCCTTTTTGTCAGGTGCAAGTCCTTTGCTTTTTAACCTAGTAATAACAACGTGATTAGTCAGAGACCCTGCCAGATTACAGTCAATCCATTGGTTTGTTTTATATGATTCTTAGTTGCTTTGTTTAGAATCTATTCTTGTAACCTGGGAATTCCTACTCCGATACAAAAGGCTGCTTCCTAAGAACAAGGGGAGATTCTGTCCCTTCCCCCTTCACTGTCTTTTGGCTTTTCAGCTTGCAGATCAGCTTGGTACTGCTCATTAACCTCATCAGCATTAAAACTGCTAGGGTGTAAAATTAAAACCATCCATCGTAGATGCTCGTAGATTCTTCCACTGGGAAATGTGTTTTCTAAAGATAAAAATGGATCCAGGTGACTTGGGAATTTTCAGTTATGTGACTTAAAGACTTGAGAACAGTAGAAACTTGAATTAGCCTATTCAGATAATCATCTTAAGCACGTTGTTATCCGGAAGTTAATGACTGTCTTTGTTTACGAAGTGGTATATAGGGTGACTAGGAGCAGCTGAAAAGGAACGCAACCCATGCCAAGTATAATTCGCCTTTTCCTTGAATACTGGAATCACCTGTTCACCCTGCTTAGAGGCCTTTGATATTTTTGGTGGTTGCTTTCTAGCACATTAAGTATCAGCCCCTCCTCTAGATTTGCTTAACATGATGGGCTTTGCTTGAAAGCAGACTGGTAACCTATGAAAACATCACAAGTATTGATGATTTTCAGGACTAGGGATCACAACTGCAGTTTGATACGGTTGGATGGAGTCATCTTTTTTTGGAGGAAATTATATGAGAATCTTAGCTTACTGTCTGGTAGTAGGTATTGGCAGGGTAGAAAAATAAGATTATGGATTTTCTAGTGTTAGTAATGTATTTGACAGCTGAGAAGAGAAGAATGGTGGCAAGACGTACGGTAATTCAAGTTCAAATTTACTTTGCTGTCAGATGCTCTGCCACGGAGCTATACCCTGCCAATTTACTTTGATGTTGATCTCTTTGAATGAAAAAAAAAAGCCTGTACTGTTGAGCATTTGCCCGCAGAGCAAGTGATAATTGTATAATAAAAGTTTTATTTGCCAGTTTATTTGCATTTGGCTGGTGGTTTTTTCTTTGTTTGATGTTCTCTGTTGTGACCATAAATTCATACTTAAAATACTTTGAACATAGTATTCTTGCTTGAGGAGGAGCCCCCTCTTGGTTTAGGAAGAGGAGTAGGTAATTATTTAGTAAAATAAAATCAGTCATTTTATCGTAGTTACCATCCAGAAAATCATTGCTTACAAGGTACATATTTAATGAAGCAAAGTCTGTCCTGCATCTTTTGGGATTGTGTCTGTGTAGGTGAGCTTGTGGGTACGGATTTCAAGGAGACTGATCTGAGACCTAATCAGAGCTCACTTAACATTCCAAGGACTTTAAGTGCAACAGTGAGATTAATGAGCAGTACCAAGCTGATCTGCAAGCTGAACTTATTTTTTCCCCTCATCACTGTTACAATGAAATGAAAACAACTTTATTGAAAGACCTGCTACTGTACTTCCTTTTGCTTAAAGTCAGTTTCCAAGAACCTACTGATGACGTTACATGAAGACTTACTGTAATCTGTATATTGTCAGTCAGACATATACTTATGTTAAGTAAGAGCAATTGGTAAGATTCTAGGTTTGAAAACCTCTAGAGAGGATTAAATGGTTTGTGTCCTTAAGCTGTCACATCTAAATTTGTCTTCCCCTCCTTAGCTTGTTGGTATAGGAGTTATTATAGGTTGTAGACTATAGAAGGTGGATTACTTAACCATAATTTTTTTTTATTATACTTCAAGTTCTGGGGTACATGTGCAGAACATACAGGTTTGTTTCATAGGTATACATGTGCCATGGTGGTTTCCTGCACCCACCAACCCGTCATCTACATTAGGTATTTCTCCTAATGCTATGCCTCCCCTAGCCCTCCACCCCCGGACAGGCCCTAGTGTGTGATGTTCCCCTCCCTGTGTCCATATGTTCTTCTTGTTCAACCCCCACTTATGAGTGAGAACATGCAGTGTTAGGTTTTCTGTTCTTGTGTTAATTTGCTGAGAATGATGGTTTCCAGCTTCATGTCTCTGCACAGGACATGAACTCATCCTTTTTTATGGCTACATAGTATTCCATGGTATATATGTGCCACATTTTCTTCATTCTGTCATTGACGGGCATTTGGGCTGGTTCCAAGTCTTTGCTGTTGTGAACAGTGCTGTAGTAAACATACGTGTGCATGTGTCTTTATCGTAGAATGATTTATAATCCTTTGGGTATATATCCAGTAATAGGATTGCTGGGTCAAATGGTAATTCTAGTTCTAGATCCTTGAGGAATCGCCACACTGTCTTCCACAATGGTTGAACCAATTTACACTCCCACCAACAGTGTAAAAGTGTTCCTGTTTCTCCACATCCTCTCCAGCACCTGTTGTTTCCTGACTTTTTAATGATCGCCATTTTAACTGGTGTGAGATGGTATCTCATTGTGGTTTTGATTTGCAATTCTCTAGTGACCAGTGATGATGAGCATTTTTTCGTATGTTTGTTGGCTGCATAAATGTCTTCTTTTGAGAAGTGTCTGTTCATCTCCTTTGCCCACTTTTTGATGGGGTTGTTTTTTTCTTGTAAATTTGTTTAAGTTCTTTGTAGATTCTGGATATTTTAGCCCTTTGTCAGATGGATAGATTGCAAAATTTTTCTCCCATTCTGTAGGTTGCCTGTTCACTCTGCTGATAGTTTCTTTTGCTGTGCAGAAACTCTTTAGTTTAATTAGATCTGATTTGACTATTTTGGCTTTTGTTGCCATTGCTTTTGGTGTTTTAGTCATGAAGTCTTTGCCCATGCCTATGTCCTGAATGGTGTTGCCTAGGTTTTCTTCTAGGGTTTTTATGGTTTTAGGTCTTACCTTTCAGTCTTTAATCCATCTTGAGTTAATTTTTGCATAAGGTATAAGGAAGGGATCCAGTTTCAGTTTTCTGCATATGGCTAGCCAGTTTTCCCAACACCATTTATTAAATAGGGAATCCTTCCCCATTTCTTGTTTTTGTCAGGTTTGTCAAAGATCAGATGGTTATAGATGTGTGGTGGTATTTCTGAGGCCTCTGTTCTGTTCTATTGGTCTATATATCTATTTTGGTACCAGTACCTTGCTGTTTTTGTTACTGCAGCCTTGTTGTATAGTTTGAAGTTAGGTAGCGTGATGCCTCCAGCCTTGTTCTTTTTGTTTAGGATTGCCTTGGTTATGCGGGCTCTTTTTTGGTTCCATATGAAATTTAAAGTAGTTTTTTCCAGTTCTGTGAAGACAGTCAGTGGTAGCTTGATAGGGATAGCATTGAATCTGTAAATTACTTTGGGCAGTATGGCCATTTTCACAATATTGATTCTTCCTATCCATGAGCATGGAATGTTTTTCCATTTGTTTGTGTTCTCTCATTTCCTTAAGCAGTGGTTTGTAGTTCTCCTTGAAGAAGTCCTTCACATCCCTTGTAAGTTGTATTCCTAGGTATGTTATTCTCTTTGTAGCAGTTGTGAATGGGAGTTCACTCATGATTTGACTCTCTGTTTGTCTATTGTTGGTGTATAGGAATGCTTGTGATTTTTGCACATTGATTTTGTATCCTGAGATGTTGCGGAAGTTGCTTATCAGCTTACGGAGATTTTGGGCTGAGACGATGGGGTTTTCTAAATATACAATCATGTCATCTGCAAACAGAGACAATTTGACTTCCTCTGTTCCTATTTGAATACCCTTTATTTCTTTCTCCTGCCTGATTGCCCTGGCCAGAACTTTCAATACTATGTTGAATAGGAGTGGTGAGAGAGGGCATCCTTGTCTCGTGCTGGTTTTTGAAGGGAGTGCTTCCAGTTTTTGCCCATTCAGTATGATATTGGCTGTGGGTTTGTAAATAGCTCTTATTATTTTGGGATACATTCCATCAGTACCTAGTTTATTGAGAGTTTTTAGCATGACAGGCTGTTGAATTTTGCTGAAGCCTTTTCTGCATCTAGTGAGATAATCATGTGGTTTTTGTCACTGGTTCTGTTTATGTGATGGATTACGTTTATGATTTGAGTATGTTGAACCAGCCTTGCATCCTAGGGATGAAGCCAACTTGATCATTGGTGGATGAGCTTTTTGATGTGCTGCTGGATTCAGTTTGCCAGTATTGAGAATTTTCACATCGATGTTCATGAGGGATATTGGCCTGAAATTCTCTTTTTTTGTTGTGTCTCTGCCAGGTTTTGTTATCAGGATGATGTTGGCCTCATAAAATGAGTTAGGGAGGATTCCCTGTTTTTCTATTGTTTGGAATAGTTTCAGAAGGAATGGTAGCAGCTCCTTCTTGTGCCTCTGGTAGAATTCAGCTGTGAATCTCTCTGGTCCTGGACTTTTTTTGGTTGGTAGTCTATTAATTACTGCCTCAATTTCAGAACTTGATTGGTCTGTTCAGCGATTCGACTTCTTCCTGGTGTAGTCTTGGGAGGCTGTATGTGTCTGGGAATTTATCCGTTTCTTCTAGATTTTCTAGTTTATTTGTGTAGATGTGTTTATAGTATTCTCTGATGGTAGTTTGTATTTCTGCGGGATTGATGGTGATATCCCCTTTATCATTTTTTATTGCGTCTGATTCTTCTCTCCTTTCTTTATTAGTCTTGCTAGCGGTCTATCTATTTTGTTGATCTTTTCAAAAAACCAGCTCCTGGATTCATTGATGTTTTTAAAGGGTTTTTCATGTCTCTATCTCCTTCAGTTCTGCTCTGATCTCAGTTATTTCTTGTCTTCTGCTAGCTTTTGAATTTGTTTGCTCTTGCTTCTGTAGTTCTTTTAATTGTGATGCTAGGATGTCAATTTTAGATCTTTCCTGTTTTCTCTTGTGGGCATTTAGTGCTGTAAATTTCCGTCTACACACTGCTTTAAATGTGTCCCAGAGATTCTGGTATGTTGTGTCTTTGTTCTCATTGGTTTCAAAGAACGTCTTTATTTCTGCCTTCATTTCATTATTTACCCAGTAGTCATTCAGGAGCAGGTTGTTAACTTTCCATGTAATTGTGAGGTTTTGAGTGAGTTTCTTAATCCTGAGTTCTACTTTGATTGCACTGTGGTCTGAGAGACTGTTTGTTATTATTTCTGTTCTTTTGCATTTTCTGAGGGATGTTTTACTTCTAATTATGTGGTCAGTTTTAGAATAAGTGTGATGTGCTGCTGAGAAGAATGTATATTCTGTTGGTTTGGGGTGGAGAGTTCTGTAGCTGCCTGTTAGGTCTGCTTGGTCCAGAGCTGAGTTGAAGTCCTGGATATCTGTGTTAATTTTCTGTCTCATTGATATGTGTAATATTGACAGTGGGGTGTAAAGTCTCCCACTATTATTATTGTGTGGGAGTCTAAGTGTCTTTGTAGGTCTCTAAGGACTTTATGAATCTGGGTGCTCCTGTATTGGGTGCATATACATTTAGAATAGTTAGCTCTTCTTGTTACATTGATCCCTTTACCATTATGTAATGCCCTTCTTTGTCTCTTTTGATCTCTGTTGGTTTAAAGTCTGTTTTATCAGAGACTAGGACTGCAATCCCTGCTTTTTTTTGCTTTCTATTTGCTTGGTAGATCTTCCTCCATCCCTTTATTTTGAGCCTGTGTGCGTCTTTGCAAGTGAGATGGGTCTCCTGAATACAGCACACTGATGGGTCTTGACTCTATCCAATTTGTTAGTCTGTGCCTTTTAATTGGGGCATTTAGCCCATTTACATTTAAGGTTAATATTGTTTTGTGTGAATTTGATCCTGTCATTATGATGCTAGTTGGTTATTTTGTCCGTTAGTGGATGCAGTTTCTTCGTAGCGTCGATGGTCTTTACAATTTGGTATGTTTTTCTCAGTGGCTGGTACCAGTTGTTCCTTTCCATGTTTAGTGCTTCCTTCAGGAGCTCTTGAAAGGCAGGCATGGTGGTGACAAAATCTCTCAGCACTTGCTTGTCTGTAAAGGATTTTATTTCTCCTTCATTTATGAAGCTTAGTTTGGCTGATATGAAATTCTGGATTGAAAATTCTTTTCTTTAAGAATGTTGAATATTGGCCCCACTCTCTTCTGGCTTGTAGCGTTTCTACGGAGAGATCCGCTGTTAGTCTGATGGGCTTCCCTTTGTGGGTAACTCGACCTTTCTCTCTGGCTGCCCTAAACATTTTTTTCCTTCATTTCAACGTTGTTGAATCTGACAATTACATTTCTTGGGTTTGCTCTTTTCGAGGAGTTTCTTTGTGGTGTTCTCTGTATTTCCTGAATTGGAATGTTGGCCCGCCTTGCTAGGTTGGGGAAGTTTTCCTGGATAATACCCTGAAGAGCGTTTTCCAACTTGGTTCCGTTCTCCCTGTCACTTTCAGGTGCACCAATCAAATGTAGATTTGGTGTTTTCACATATTCCCATATTTCTTGGAGGCTTTGTTTGTTTCTTTTCACTGTTTTTTCTTTAATCTTGTCGTCTTACTTTGTTTCATTGAGTTGATCTTCAATCTCTGATATCCTTTCTTCTGCGTGATCAATTCAGCTGTTGATTCTTGTGTATGTTTCACGAAGTTCTCGTGCTGTGTTTTTCAGCTCCATCGTGTCATTTATGTTCTCTATACTGGTTATTCTAGTTAACAATTCCTCTAACCTTTTCTCAAGGTTCTTAGCTTCCTTGCATTGGTTGGAACATGCTCCTTTAGCTCGGAGGAGTTTGTTATTACCCACCTTTGGAGGCCTCCTTCTGTCAGTTCGTCAAACTCATTCACCGTCCAGTTTTGTTCCTTTGTTGGCGAGGAGAGTTGATCCTTTGGAGGAGAAGAGGTGTTCTGGTTTTTGGAATTTTCAGCCTTTTTGTGCTAGTTTCTCCCCATCTGCGTGGATTTATCTACCTTTGGTCTTTGATTTTGGTGACTTTCGGGTAGGGTCTCTGAGTGGACGTCCTTTTTGTTGATGTTGATACTCTTTCTTTATGTTTGTTAGTTTTCCTTCAAATAGGCCCCTCTGCTGCAGGTCTGCTGGAGTTTGGTGGAGGTCCACTCCAGACCGTTTGCCTCGGTATCACCAGAAGAGGCTGCAGAACAGCAGAGACTGCTGCTTGTTCCTTCCTCTGGAAGCCTTGTCCCAGAGGGGTACCGGCCAGATGCCAGCCAGAGCTCTCCTGTATGACGTGTCTGTTGACCCCTGCTGGGAGGTGTCTCCCAGTCAGGATGCATGGGGGCCAGGGACCCTCTGGAGGAGGCAGTCTGTTCCTTATCAGAGCTTGAGTGCTGTGCTGGGAGATCTGCTGCTCTCTTCAGAGCCGTCAGGCAGGGAAGTTTAAGTCTGCTGAAGCTGCATCCACAGCTGCCCCTTCCCCCAGGTGCTTTGTCCCAGGGAGATGGGGATTTTATCTAGAAGTCCCTGACTGGGACTGCTGCCTTTTTTTCAGAGATGCCCTGCCCAGAGAGGAGGAATGTAGAGAGCAATAGTAATTTTTTGGTAGGTTTGTTATCTCTGTGGATTGTTTTTGACCTTAATACTGTCTTTTGGCTTGAATCTGTAGTCATTATGTTCCTGGATAGAACAAGGTCTAGCTGCTTTTTTCTCTCAGTCCAATAAGAAGATGCAGACTGACTGAGAAAGAAGGGAGTTTATTTCTGCAACTGGTTATGGAGTAACTCACCAGACCAACTAAGTTACAAGTTTTTTTCAATACTTGTATTCATTCTAAACTCTGTGTCTATGTGTGGGAGGCGCACCTACAAGCGAGGATCTTTCATTCCGACTGTATCTAGGTTGGGGTCCGGGGTCTGGAAGGCTTTCTGTAGAGACTTGGAAACATTTCTTAGTCTTCAGTGGGCCCTGGCACAAGGTGTGTGTGAGAATGCCTTCATAATCTTATCAGGCTTTAGGGTCTGAGAAAACCCAGGTGAAAATCTTAATGGGTTTGTTTTCACATTTCAGCCCTTGTACGAAGGCCATAGTTTCTCCATTTCTTTACTATTTGACTTACACATTAATTAGAATTATAGTAATGTGTTAGTAGAAACTGTTCTGGTTGCTAATGGAAACCTGGCCTGCCACAATTACGGTTTTTCTCCCCAATGGACATTTTCTATCCTGTTTAACATCAGATATTTAATTTTAATCTCATATTTTTAGTATATTAGAAGCTTTAACCTGAAAGCCTCCATTTTGGGCCTTGTCATAAAATAAGTTAAATGACTCTAATTCTGAATACTTCTCTTTGTTTCTTCTTCAGGACACAGCCAGTGTGAAGTCCTCTAGTAGTCTTGAACCCAATCTTTTTTGTGATGAAGAGATTCCCATCAAATCTGAGGAGGTGGTGACTCACATGTGGACAGCACCTTCATTTTGTGCAGAGCATGCTTACTCTTCTGCTTCCAAGAGTTGTTCTCAAGGTATTACTCCTTTAAAAAACTGGGGGGAAGATAAGCAGAAAACCAGTGAGAAAAACATTATGTTAATCAAGAATGTGAGTCCCGTTTGAGTGGAGTACAATGGTTGGCCATGAAATGCTAATGGAACCTGAAAATGCTGTTTTCTTTAGGAAAAGCCAATCCCTGTTTGCATTTTCTGTCATCACAACCTGAAAACTTACGAAGAATTTTAGAGTCCTAATTAGAAGAACTTGAGGGGCCATCTAGTCCCATGCCTCGGTTCTAGAAAATCCCGGATAGGTAGTCCCTCGCCCTCTATTTGGTCGTTGTCAGGTGTTGTGGAACAGCTGCTTTTTAAGCACATTTACTCTGTTTCTGGGCTACTTTGATTGTAGAAAGTCTTTCCTTTCCTTGGAGGGTGATTTTCTCTGTGATGCTCGTTTTTCTCTCCCTCAGCAAAAACAAATCACATTACTTTAGGTCACAACTTTGGAAAATGGAGGGTGTTTATCTCTTTATAATAAAATTCAGGATTTTATGGAACTGTGTCTTATTTTCTGTTCATTAGAAAGATAACCAGTTATTTATATAAGGCAGCCAAATGCTTTATTAAATGCTTAATCTTTTGGTATACTCTAAAATGGAGAGATTCTGGTTCCTTGCTCCCCTTGCCACACGATAAAAACTCATTAGAAATTAACATTCAGGATAAAGAACTACTTTTTTTATTTGTTTTTTTTTTGAGATGGAGTTTCTCTCTTGTTGCCCAGATTGGAGTGCAGTGGCGCGATCTTGGCTCACTGCAACCTGCCCCTCCCAAGTCCAAGCGATTCTCCTACCCTTAGCCTCCGGAGTAGCTGGGATTACAGGCATGTGCCACTACGCTTGACTAATTTTTTGTATTTTTAGTAGAGAGGGGGTTTCACTATGTTGATCAGGCTGGTTTCGAACTCCTGACCTCAGGTGATCCGCCCGCCTCTGCCTCTCAAAGTGTTGGGATTACAGGCGTGAGCCACCACGCCCGGCTGGAAGAACCGCTTTTTATTAATAACCCCAAACCATTTTTTTTTTTTGGAGTGGGCCTTGGAATTGTTTGCCCTTTTGGTCTGTATTTGTTTCTAATTGTGTTTACATTTTCATACGGATGGAATTAATCCAGATATCTGAAGTTAGTGTTGGGGGTCTGGGGGCCTATTGTAAATATTTACTTTGAAAACATGTTTTTTCCATAGTTTTAATTTTTATTTGCTTTGTTTTATGGTATTTTTTGGGAAAGGTTCTAGCACCCCAAGGAAACAACCTCGGAAGAGCCCTTTAGTGCCCCGGAGTTTGGAACCTCCGGTGCTGGAGTTGTCACCTGGAGCTAAGGCACAACTGGAAGAACTTATGATGGTTGGAGACCTCCTAGAAGTATCTCTGGACGAGACTCAACACATATGGCGGATTTTGCAGGCCACACACCCACCCTCTGAAGACAGATTCTTGCATATCATGGAGGTGTGGATTTAATACTTATTTAAGCAGTGGTTATAAAACTAGAATGCCTAGGTTCCTTAGAGGTATCATTAATGTTGGCAGAGGGATGGCTGAGGGCAGTAATCTGGCTGGCCTACTTTCCCACTTCAGTCAAAGAAATTGGGCTTTATGGCTTGCCGGCTTGCCTGCCTGCCTTCCCGCCTTCCCCCCTTCCTCCCTCTTTCTCTCTTTCTCTCTCTCTCTCTCTCTCTCTCTTTCTCTTTCTCTCTTTTCTTTTTCTTTTCTCCTTTTCTTTCCTTTCCTTTCCTTTTTTTTCTTTTCTTCTCTTTTCTCCTTTCCCTTTTCCTTTCCCCTTTCCCCCTTTTCTCCTTTTCTCCTTTCCTTTCCTTTCCTTTCCTTTCTCCTTTCCTTTCCTTTCTTCCCTTTCCTTTTTCTCCTTTCGTTTCTCCTTTCCTTTTTCTCGTTTCCTTTCTCCTTTCCTTTCCTTTCTCCTTTCCTTTTTCTCCTTTCTCCTTTCCTTTCCTTTTCCTTTTCCTTTTCCTTTTCCTTTTCCTTTTCCCTTTCCTTTCCTTTCCTTCTCTTCTCTTTTCTCCTTTCCTTACCTTTCCTTTCTCCTTTTTCCTTTCCTTTTCTTCTTGTAGGACACCAGAGATTTGACTTAGGGTTTTCTTTATTAAGCTTTTAGGTAGTATCTAAGTTGAAAAAAATGGCCATTTTTGCTAAAAAGAAGCGGGCAAGGGTGTGATTGATAACCATCTAGTTTAGAACAACCTCTTTAGCCCAGACTGTCATTATTGGAGGGCCCAGAGATAGGGGAGAATATATAGTAGCTATAAAAAAGAGGCACAGGGATGGTTAAATAGAAGTAGATTGGGTGGGAGAGAAGGTCCACATTCATATATCACACTTACGTAGCAATTCCATGAGCTCATTTGATGAGACAGTGATACCATATCCATGAGCTCATTTGGTCCTTACCACCGTCTTGAAGAGGAATGGGTAGAGGAGTGAGAGGGCAAGTATTTTACCCATTCTGCATATGAGGAAAGTAAGTATGAGAGGTGGAAAATTAAGGTCACACATCCAGTAAAAAATAAAGAGACCTGGATTCGAATTCTGCCATTTGACTCGTATTCTTTTCATTAGTTTCCTTCTTTCCATGTAATGGAACGGTACCATGCCACCCGGAGTTGACGCAGATGTATTTAGCATATACTATAGTTTGTTTTTGTTTTGAAAGTCAGGTCTAGGTAACCTAATTTAGATAGTGTTTTCCAGTCTGCAAAGCATTTTCTTCACATTCATTGTCTTACCCAATCTTCTTTATTTTACAGATAAGGAAGCACAAAGTATTAAGAGGTTAAATATCTTATTTAAGATGTAATAGACTTAAGGCACTTATAATCCAGTGTTCTTTTGGATTCTGCTGATTCTTAGGTTCCTGTCAAAGATTTTCAAGTGTCAAATCTATAGAAAAATGAATTTTCAAGGGAATTATTAGGTTTATGTTATATTTCTTCAGTATTTCTTTCTCTGATGCCCCCTCCCATTCTTTCTGTTACTAGATACACTTTTACCATTAAAATTTTAAATGTTTATTACATCGGCACCTACTAGCTACAGTATTAAAAAGCCAAAAACAATAATGACGATTTTTTTTTGCTTTGTCACGCGAACTGTTTTCTACCCGTTGGCAAAGTCACTATATATTCTGTGTAATGAGATCGTGGACACGATTTTATGTTTTTCTGACTTTTTAAAAATAACTACCAATACTTTTATTATTTGGGTTAAGAAAGAACTTTACTAGTAATAAATGAAGACCCCAAAAGTTATTACATGAGTTAGTACAGTTTGCTTTTTGTGTATGTTTTCGTCTCTAACAGAGACGCTACAGACTGTGTTAATACGCTGGCACTGAATTGTTGTGTGTGCCCTTTTTCTCCTAGTAAGCTAATACAAGATAAATATTTCATTTCAGACTTGTGATTTTCTACTGTTATCTTCATTGAATAGTACACTTGCCTTCTTAAAATGTCTTTTAAATATCTTTAGAATAACATAAATCCTTTTTGTGTTTTTTGAGATGGAGTCTTGCTCTGTGGCCCAGGCTGGAGTGCAGTGGATTGATCGCGGCTCACTGCAACCCCCGCCTCCTAGGATCAAGCCGTTCTCCTGCCTCAGCCTCCCAAGTAGCTGGGACTACAGGCATGCACCACCATGCCTGGCTAATTTTTGTATTTTTAGTAGAGTCGGGGTTTCACCGTGTTGGCCAGGCTGCTCTCGAACTCCTGACCTCAAGTGATCCACCCGCCTCGGCCTCCCAAAGTGCTGGGATTACAGGCATGAGCCACCGTGCCTGGCCCATAAATGTTTTTTATTGTAGCATAATATACATAACATAAAATTTACCATTTAACTCTTTTTAGGTAGACAATTCAGTTACATTAGGTAGATTGACAGTGTTACGCAACTGTCACCACTATTCATTTCCTGAATTTTTTAGTTAGCCCCAACAGAAACTATACTCACTAAGCAAATCTTCATTTCTTCTTCCCTACAGCCTCTGGTAACCTCTGTTCAGCTTTCTGTCTCTTTGAATGTGTTTATTCGAGGTACCTCATATAAGAGAGTAATACTAAGTAGTTTTTTAACTGTCTTGCTTTAAAATTGTTCCCAATTTTATATTTTTGAAGGATGACAGCATGGAAGAGAAACCACTAAAAGTGAAAGGAAAGGACTCTTCAGAGAAGAAACGGAAACGGAAGCTAGAAAAGGTAGAGCAACTTTTTGGAGAAGGAAAACAGAAGTCCAAGGAGTTAAAGAAAATGGACAAACCTAAAAAGAAGAAATTAAAATTAAGTGCAGACAAATCAAAGGAGCTGAATAAACTGGCCAAGAAACTAGCAAAAGAAGAAGAGAGAAAGAAAAAGAAGGAGAAGGCTGCTGCAGCCAAAGTTGAACTTGTGAAAGAGAGCACTGAAAAGAAGAGAGAGAAGAAAGTGCTGGACATTCCCTCAAAGTATGACTGGTCAGGAGCAGAGGAGTCTGATGATGAGAATGCTGTGTGCGCAGCACAGAACTGCCAAAGGCCCTGCAAGGACAAGGTGAGTTCCAGCTGTTTATGGTCAAGCATGAGAGGTCAAGGAACAACAGTTGTGGAGACACATGTTTGATATCAATATATAGTATGTTTTTGATTCTAGGATTTGGACTTCCAACATAATATCTTTTGTACAATTTCTATAAACTGTTTTGAAAAGTGAGGCTCTTAGTGTGCCTAGTAGAAGTGTTGTATTTTAGAAATCATATACTTAGTGAACATAATGAGACAGGAGCAGAGAGAAGCGATGTGACATTCCCTGGCAAATGGTGCATTTCATATGCAGTGGGCTTAACAAGTTTCAGAATAATCTTGTGCCTTCCCTGTAAGGTGACTCAGAGAACGAAATACCTTGTCAAATAGTCCCAGTGGCCTGAAGAAAATCCTGGGCCAGTATTGTGAGAGCTGTGGCCAATTGCATTAAGATTGGATTCCAGAGACCTGAAACTTTTAGTCCATATCTTACTCACACTCAGACCTGTAAGCACTCTCCTAAATGGAAAATTTTCTTCAAATCTTTGGGAACAAATAATTCAAACCTATAAATGCATTATTTTAGGCTGCGCACGGTGGCTCATGTCTGTAACCCCAGCACTTTGGGAGGCCGAGGCGGGTGGATCACCTAAGGTCAGGAGTTTGAGACCAGCCTAGCCAACATGGTGAAAACCCATCTCTACTAAAAATACAAAAAATGAGCCGGGTGTGGTGACGTGCACCTGTAATCTCAGCTACTCGGGAGGCTGAGGCAGGGGAATCACTTGAACCCGGCAGGCAGAGGTTGGAGTGAGCCGAGATTGCTCCATTGTGCTCCAGCTTATGCAAAAAGAGTGAAACTCCATCTCAAAAAAAAAAAAAAAAACCAAAACGTTATTTTAAAATTTCCAACCCTAAAATTTAAGTGTAGTAATTCTGTTTTGGCCGTTCTTTAGATACGAACTTTTGAGAGTAATAGACTTTATGAAAAATTCCAGTTGTTTAAATGATTGGAGGCCCCTGTTACAGTTCTTATCAAGAATATTGATAAATCTGTAGTTTTAATTTTATTATACTCATTATACTATTTGATGTTTAGAATTCTCATAGTGCCTCAGTTTGAAAATATAAACAAATAAAACTGCATCTCTATTCCCTGTAGGTTATGCCCTCACTTTTTCAATGAAATACTTAAACATTTTTAGAGCTTGAAGGGACCAAGAGTTTACCTTGTTCAGGCTGCTCATTGTACAGCTGGTGCAACCAGGACTCAGGGAAGGTAATTACGTGACCAAAGTTACAGAGCTGTTCAGCAGCAAAACCAAAAGTAGATCCCTAGATCCCAGCTCTCAGACCAGGCTCTCTCCACTAACACCTCTGCCCCGTCGGTAACTGAGGTGTAAGTACAAAAACACATTCCAAAACTAAATGACACATATTTAAATGAGATGTATTAGGGGTATTCTGTTCATTTTTTGGAAAATGAATGCTGCGTATAGTAAAATACATATCCTGTAGTCTAATCTTCCAAGGCAGACAGCTGTAAATATTTTAGTGTTTCCTTCCCAGTTTTTTTCTATGGCATTTGTTTTATGTCATTGTCAGACTGTTCACTGACTTGCATCTATTCATTGTATAAGCATTCTATGTTATAAACATTTTAAAGCATTTTAGTACATATATATGTGCATATTATTTTTATCTTTAATTTTGCGTTTATTTCCATCTGAGTTTGTTTATTAAAGAGGCTGAGGAAGAGTTAACTTTCTCTTTGGGCACCAAAGTGCAGCGGTTCAGCACTGGCAGAGCCTTCTCCCTTTTCTTTCTCTCTTAATTTTATGGTAGTTTAAAGATGAGCAGCAAGGTAGGATGTTTTCCGTTTTAAACTTTCCTGTCATTCTTTCTATCATGTTTGTATCTCATGAGCCTTTTGTCTTATTTTTGTACTTTTTCTCCTTATCACTTAATCTTTCCCCTCCCTTCTGCTCAGCATTTAAATAGGATTCAGTTCATCTATTATTATTGTTGTCTTCTTTTTTTTTTTTTTTTTGTGACAGAATCTCGCTCTGTGGCCCAGGCTGGAGTGCAGTGGCCGGATCTCAGCTCACTGCAAGCTCCGCCTCCCGGATTCAGGCCATTTTCCTGCCTCAGCCTTCCGAGTAGCTGGAACTACAGGCGCCTGCCACCTCGCCCGGCGAGTTTTTTTGTATTTTTTAGTAGAGACGGGGTTTCACTGTGTTAGCTAGGATGATCTCGATCTCCTGACCTCGTGATCCGCCCGTCTCGACCTCCCAAAGTGCTGGGATTACAGGTTTGAGCCACCGCGCCCGGCCTACTGTTGTCTTCTTGTAGCAATATAAACACTTAGGCTGTTTTTTTTTTCATTTGCTTTGAAATTGTCAAATTAACAGGTGCCCTGCCTTATTCAAAGGGTTATGATGATAAGACGAAACAATCTCTATGAAAGCACTTGTTAACCAAAAAATGCAACGTAAGTGCTAAGATGTGATCATTAGTTTTGAAAGAACTGTGAGATTTGCTTCTAATAGTATAGGTGTTTTGTAAACAAAATCTTTAAACAAAATCTAGAGTTATCATCTACATTTTGATGGAGCAAAAGGAGATTTGGCTGAGTGCTCAGAGAAAGTGTTTATTTTGAACTGTTAAAATACATAAAGGTGAGCAATGTGTGCCCCACCCTATGTTGTTAGTTTATATAATGTGTTTCATTTTACGCAAAAGTTATTTCAGATTATAGATATTTTGCCTGTTACTGCTATTTTGCGGTTTTTATGGTTCTACATGTTTGTTCCTGACATTGATTTTACTAAATAACAGTTACAGTTCTATGAAAGTTTCTGTAAAGAATGTTAAAACTTTCTCAGTGTTTAGTATTTCTCTGAGAAAACTTAATATACAACACACATGTTTAGAACAAAATAAGAAAAGAATGCTTTTGCCAGGTGCAGTGGCCCATCCCTGTAGTCCCAGCTACTCAGAAAGTTGAGACAGGAGGATTGCCCGAGCCCAGGAGTTCAAGGCTATAGCTAATGTGCTATGGTTGCACCTGTGATTGCCCCACTGCACTCCAGCCTGGGCAAGACAGGGATACCCTGTCTCAAAAAGAAAAAGATTGGCAAGATGATGTTAAAAAAAAAAAAAAAGAAAAGAAAATCATGCGTTTTAGGGCAGTTTGTTCTTTAAAATATCATTCTGCAAAAAATAACTTCTAGGGTTCACTTGTTTTTAGGTGAATTCTCTGACCAGTAATTACTATTATTTCTCTAACCAATAATGACTATGACTTTTCCCCCAAAATATGCAGATAGAAATTTTTTTTTTTTGAGACAGGGTCCTACTGTGCTGCCCAGCCTGGAGTCCAGTGTGTGGTCATGGCTCACTGCAGCCTTGATCTCCTGGGCTCCGGCAGTCCTCCTACCTCAGCCTCCTCAATAGCTGGGACTACAGGCACATGCCACCACGCCCAGCTCTTTTTTTGAGAAATACTCTTTTAAAAATTAAAAGAAAGATTAAATGAGGCTAGTTTAAATATGCCTAGCCTCAATTTCAAGGTGTTTTAGAAAAAGAAAGACAATACCAGAATAATATAAAAGGTTTTGAAAAAATAATTTTTCCTTTGATTATTAAATTAATGTCAAGCTGAAATTATTATTAACAAAGAACTAGTTTTAAAAAATTAATTTTAAAGTTCAGAATCTTTTTCTGTCAGAACTCTTTATTCAGTCTTATTGGTACCAAAGATAAAACAAGTTAACTGGAAAAAGACCAAATTCTTTCAGGCTACTAATTTAAGTAGTATTTTTCTTCTGTATTAGAATAAACATTTAGTAGTTTTACTTATGAAAATAGTCTTCTTTTTCTCTTCACTTTTTTTAACCCTCTTATTGTCGGCCTTTTCCTTTACCCATTCCTACTGACATGAGAAGTTTTGTGTGGTAAATTAAGAGACTAAATTTGTGAACTCTGATTTTTACTATTTATTAGCCACCCTGATTTAAGATTTTCACGGGGGTGTTGCCTCAATCAAGGTATTTGCGTTTTCAACGGCTTTACTAGTTCATACCTCCTTTTGGCACAGATAATCAAAGACTAAGTTACCTAAATGTGTGTAATACACACACACACACGCGTGCACACGCGTGCATGATGTTCAGCTAGAGTAACCAACTGTCCCAGTTTCCCTGGGACTTTCCCTGTTTCAGCACTGAAATTCCCACATACTGAGAAATCTGTCATTCCTCGGCAAATTGGGAGGGTTGGTCACTGAATATTGAGAGCACCAAGAAAATAATACACAAGGATTCTGAACGTGTGTTGTAGTTCACTAAATGAATTGTTTTCCTTTTTCAAATCTTGCTTTTACTAGGAAACTTGGGGTGCAAGATATTAAATGCCAAAATAACAAAAGCTCAGTTTAATTACTAAGCTAAGAATATCACTAAATTACCAGATTTTCTTCTTTCCCAGTGCAGTACTATTCTTTAAGAAATGAACAAAATATACTATGCCAAGTATTTTTTCTTAAGTGTAAATATGAAACCATACAGCAAAACATGAATATTAAACTAATATTTCGTTTTAGTGTATTTCTTTTTAAAACAGACATTTCCCCCAGATCTAAACATAGTAACCTATTTGTACTGTGATGTAGAATCTCTTATCATTTAGTATTTGAACAGTTCACAGCTGTGAAGTTTAATAATTCTTTTTGTGATTCACTAAATACATCTCCCTAGAAATAATGAAAAGGGAAATGACAGTTTATACAGTTTTCCAAATTCTGCGTTCTTGAGTTTTCAGGACACTACCTGGTCTGTTGCCCCTGTGTCAGAATCATCTGTGGCTTCGGTTGGCATCCCAAACTTTAGTTTGCTTTATGATGCTGTGGACCTTTCACACAAGAGTAGGACTCACATTTGATTGTTAGTAGATGAGCGTGATAAAAAAGATATTGGTAAAGAGAAGGACTATTTTTACTTGTTCTATTATCAGGCTAAATTGTTACATAACCTGTAGTCTAGGTTAGAATTTGTGTACCAATATCTCAAGAAAGGTTATAGATCTTTTGAAATGCGAGATCTAGGCTTAGGAAGGGATCTTGAGTGAAAATCACAAAAGGGAAAGTCTTGTCTTATTTGCGAGAGAATTTTGGGAAATTGTAAGCCAGTGAGTATAGTGCAAACACTAGGTTTCAAAAGACCTGGGACACTTCTTTATAGCAAATACTGATACATTGATAACGTTCTTATCCAATGGATTAGCATGAATGGGGACTAGACTGGATTAAGAGGGTTGGAGGTAAGGGTAAAGGTATCTGTTGGTTCACGGGTACCATCATAAACAGCATGGTATCTCAAACCTGGGCAGCACAGAGAACCACAATTTATCCAGTTCCCTTTATGTGTCCCAAACAGCCAAAACACTTGAGTGCACCTACTCTAACAGCCAGCATTTTGTGAGTCTTTACTGCTTGCAGTACTTTAATTTTTACATTTTGCACAGATGCCATTATTTCCCTTTTTATTTTTTGGTCTCTGATTAGTTTGCTACAATAGGAACATTTTGGTGAGTTTTTTTATTGCACAGACTTCAGAAGCTAAACAAACAATTACAGAACAAAACCAAATCTGTTTAGGAAGGTATTGTTAAGTTGCTCTGAATTTACAGGAAGTGATGTCACAGAGGGCCAGCAGCAATCGGATTTAGAATATATGAGAATCACTTGGGAGCTGATTAAAAATGTAAGCTTCTGGCTTGTACTCCCCAGACATTCTGAGTTCATAGGGTGATAGGTCCCAGCTGCATGTTTAACAAAACACAATAGATGATTCTGATGCCAGTGGTCTACACACTTTGAAAAGCAGTGCTGCAGACAGTTATATCAAGGTGCAAAACGTTTTGTGTAATGTAGGATAATGAGTAGAGCCACGAGACCATGACTGAAAAGTGCCTCCAGTATCCTAGGCAGTGAATTAGGTGTTTTGCCATACATTATTTCATTGGATCCTCTCGGTAATCTAGTAATTAATGTCATCTGCATTTTTCAGATGAGGAAATTGAGCCACTCAGTGAGGTTAAGTGACTTGCTTGAAATTACACACTGAAACTCAGAACTTCTGAGTTGAGTAATCTTTATGTTAAACAGTATTGTTTCTTAAGATCTAGAACTTTAGAATAGGAACAATACAAGTAGAATATCATTTTGACAAATTATTTTTCCCACCCCTTATTACAAGCCTAAAACTACTGACATGACTACTGTGGTTTGACAATTGTTTTATAGGACATGGAAACGAATTTTGAAAACCACTCACTTTCTGTGAATGAAACTCATTTACCTAGCCAAAACCTCCTTCATCTGTTCTTTCTTATAAGTTGTATAGAGTTACTTCTTTGATCCCTTTCTGTTCCTTCCTTTGATATCTGGTAAAGCTCACGGTTTTAAGTGGCTTTTTATGTTGCCAGTGAAATGACCAACCTTTGTATTGAGTTGAGGGAGAGTGGCTCTTTTCAACTTAAATGTTCTTGTCTGCCATGACATTAGCTGTAAAAACTACCACAATCAGCCTTCAAATACAAAAGCCAAAAGTCACTTTATTGTTAACTCTTAAGTCCAAGGCTTAAAGTCACCAAACTACAATCCCTTCCTAGCCTCCTGTAATCAGAGTATTGTCAGAAGGGTCAAGTCTGACACCTGCCGCTGACCTGTCAGGTTTTCAGATTTGAATTTTAAGCCCCAGAGTGATCTATTGACCTGTGTCTTTGACTGTTATAATTGGATAATTTGTAAGATTTGACATCTGATATTTGCTAACTTTTTATAGGGAGTTGTATTTGTAACGGAAGAAGAGAAGAATAAAAAATATTAGTTTTAAAAGTGGCCTATGTGACTGCTTTTCTAAAAAGGTATTTAATGCTCTTAGTACTTTGGCTTATCTCTTTGAAATAAAGCTAATACACAGGATTGCCTTCACATTGTTGTACTCTTCCTTTCTTGATTGATAATTGCATTGTCTTAGAGCCTAGAAATTGTTAATATTAGCTAAAACTACTTGGCTGCTCTATTAGAAGTTCCCTTTTTGTCAAATTTTTCTCAAACATGTTTCTGCCTCACAAGGAGCCCCAGGTATTCATGAGGTAATGGAGTACCTAAGAGGCCTAATTTTGTGGACACACTATGGTAAAATATAATTTTGGGGTATTAACTTCTCAGCTTCTGTCTTTAAAAAATAACCCCATAAGAAGTCATTGCCTATCTCTAGATATCCCAGTTGTTTGCTATCATTTAAGCCAAGAAAGCTCTTTGGTTTGCTTTTATTCTAGGCTTAATGTTTATGTAACCTTAACATTCCCCAATCTTGTTTCCTACAGGTAGACTGGGTACAATGTGATGGTGGCTGTGATGAGTGGTTTCATCAAGTTTGTGTGGGTGTATCTCCAGAAATGGCTGAAAATGAAGATTACATCTGTATAAACTGTGCAAAGAAGCAAGGGCCAGTTAGCCCAGGTCCAGCACCACCTCCTTCCTTCATAATGAGCTACAAACTACCAGTGGAGGATCTGAAAGAGACCAGTTAGCAGATGCTTGGTTAGTTTGGGACATGGGGGGAAATGGACCACATTGAGACCTTAGTCATCAAGTAGAGTGGTTTCTATCCACTTGGAATGTTGCTTCCAAAGATGAATGGCCTTCAGAGAAAGTCCTCTTAGTGCTGGCTTCCTCTTTGCATGGACTCGGGGGGTTACATTCTCTGTCAACATATCTATGCAGAGGGTGTCTTCTTTGGTACAGCAGCCAATAGTTCATGTCTCCTTTGAGTGTGATTTACTGCATTAAGGCCAGATGCTTGATTGAGCTCTAGGGTGGCTGGTTAGTATTAATACATTGGTGTGCTAACAGGGCATGTAGGATGTGGCTTTTGTCCAGCTGATAGTAGTTAGAGACTTACAACTTAGGAACAGCACCAACTGAAGGTGCTAATTGCTTGGATCACCTTCACTGGGATAGTTGGAGAGGGATTGGAGTACCACTTTCCTTCCACTGTTACCTGGTACTTAATGCCCTAAAGATACAACTAGGAGTAACAGGGCCAAAGTTATTTCTGTTAGACGTCAAGGAATGGTATCACAGTCTATTGACATCAGCTATTTGTGCTTGTTTGTGCTAGAAGAACACCCCAAATAGGAGAACCTCTCAGCTGGGGCAGGTCACCTTTGTAAGGATGAGGATGTCATCTAGATCAGAAATCGGACTAGATTGGATTCTGGGGAGAAGAACCTGCTACAAGGCAAGGAGCCGTTTTTTGGCATTGAAAAGTCTTGCTGTCTTGGGTCTACATTTTAGGGAAGAGCAGGTACATGGATTCAGGCCTCTGCCAAAAAAAAAAAGAGAAGAAGATGACGACGATGACCAGTCATACTATCTTACTGAGCCACAGTGATGCATGCTTTTCGGGGAAAACTTCATTCACAAGTATTCCAGACACCAGGCTTCAGGCATGGCCATGAGCAAGACCAGCAAATAACAGCTTTTTGCCTTGCAGCCCTGACCCCAATGTCTGCTGTTTCCAACACTGGCAATTTCTAACTACGGCCCGCAGCAGATGCTGTTGAATAACGCCATGGCTTCATCAGAGGATGCGGGGTTGTAGTACCTCTGGGTGATGAAGTTGTTTTAGTAAATCCATTTTTAAAAAGAAAAAAAAAGGACTTGTTTTTACTTTTTTCTAAATGTCTCTGACTACTGACTGTTCTATAAATAGATTATTTTTCCTTTTTTAATATACATATATGAATATATAAATATATATATTTACTGTTACCAGCAGCATATGACAGAGTTTCAACATCAAAAATCCATTTGGGGGCTTGCTTTTTCTTTTTTGCTTTAAAAAAAAAAATCCCATTCCTTCCTTGTAGTACAAGGAGTTAGCACTCCCTCCTCCATCCCAGCCTGACCAGATCTTCCATTTTGCTTTTGTTCATATAGATAATTATATGTCCTTTGTATGTTGGGACTTGTTCCTGTCTGTTGGGAAACTTGGTCTCACTCTAGTCTGTGCTGGCTGTTTTTTCTTTTGTGTGTGAATGTTTGAAACTATGGTGCTGTGTCCTCTTCCCTCCTGTTGTGTTCTCTGTTCTTAAGATTTTAGGTAAGCTGTATGTAAACTCTTAGTAGAAGGGGACTAATTTTTTTTTAAAGGACAAAAAAAAAAAAAGACTAAAAATAGTGTTTTGTCATCACTGTCTGTCTGGTGTGTTTATTTTGGTTTAAAAAAATCTGTGGTTTGACTTAAATTCATCAGTTTTCCTTTTAAAGGGGGGATTGGGGTGGACCTAGCAACGGCTTATAGTCTCCTTTTCCCTTTTTGCCCCAGTCTCTTTTAAAGAACTGTCTTCTAGTAACTAGAAGTGAAATGTACTGTCCAGTTACAGTTTGAGTGGGTATGAGATTTAACTCAAAAGGCATCTTACAAAAAAAAAGAAACATGTTTTCTTATAAAATCCAATTTATGTAAATGTTTTCTCTGTAGTTCATACTACCTACTTTTTATTCATTCTTTCCTTAATACTGTATAACCTTTTGAGTGTTTTGACTTGTCCAGAGGTTTGTTAGTGTTGCTGTGCATGTGTCTTGAGGTCTCATCTCAAGTAAGTTTGTGTATGATCCAAGATTTCAGTGGATATTGCAAGGCAACTAATGAACCGATTTCATAAGTTTTCCTTTTGCCAAACTAACGATTATCAATTAAGAATTTCCTCTGGTTGATGTTATACAAGAAAGCACAATATTTTTTGCCTTTTGGTCTTCTTTGTAAAAGTCTTCAGATACTTGTGGGTTAAAAATTGAATGTAATGTTAAGTGACAGATGCCTGGAATACATTTACAATTTTTATTTTTCCTTCCTAATCATCCATTAACTAGTCCACCATCAGTGGCAAGTCATGAGGATGCTGAGAAAGTATGACTAGCTTCCTGTTACCTTCTGACGTTTTGAAACTTAAATATGTCTTTTCATTGATACTGTGGGATTTTCTTTATTTACTTGAAAGTCATGGAGGATTTGGTATGATTTGACCGCAGGTTTAGACCAAGGCTGAGAAGAACAGAAGGGAGAAATTAATGGCAAAACAAAAAAATAAACAAATCTGCAGTTTTGGAATTAATGAAACAAGATTGATCTATTTAAAGAAATGTTGGTGTTCTAATACAAAGCATTATTTTCACTTAGAGAAAATTATTTACAACGTGCTCTCTTCTGTATTGTAATATTTTGTATTAAGACATGATTTAAAATGTCTTTCTACCCTTCTTATCTCCTCTGAACTGCAACTGAAGTTGCAATTCTTCGTCATTAGTATTTTAACCTTGGCAAAGGTTATAGAAAGAAAAATGGAAAAATGGTAGGCCTTTGGTATTCTTAAAAGCTAAGTCATTAGAACTATGCAGATCCCCAAGTTTAGAAGTACAAATGTAGCACTAGTAGTTAGCTTTCTAACTAGGGGAGGAGACGGAAGACTTTCCTTCCACAGATGTTTATTTTGCTTCCTGATAGGTCCTGTAGCAAAGCCATGTTGATGTGTAGATGCGGGACTTCCTCACTGAGCTGCTGCACACCAGCTTTGCCTGCATGATTCAAATTTGTGCCTCAGTAAAATTATAAATTATTGCATGTCATACTCTGAATAATTGAAAAGGCAAACATTAAACCTGTGATTGCCCACAGTGTACTTTAATAATAAAAAACATGGCAGCCAGGTGTACTCCAGTGCAGTGTAGTCAGGAGGCTGAAGTGGGAAGATTGCTTGAACCTAGGAGTTTGAGTCCTGCCTGGTCAACAGTGAGACCCTGTCTCTCTCTCTCTCTCTCTAACCTTTTTTTTTTTTTTTTTTTAAAAGAAAGGACAAAGGCTGACCTGTAAGATTAGCATGATTTTACCTGTGCTTTACTTCTGTTCTTCTCTACTTTTGTCTTTAGTACGTGTCCAAAAAATGTCTTTTTGTGCTGCTTAATTTTTGGATTCTGGATGCAATTCAGTGCATGTAAAGAAACTACTTGCTTGTCAGTATTTTAATTCTGTAGTACATTTGTGTGAATATCAACCAGCACTTACACTAGGAGAATGAAAAGAAAAACTGAGACAGCCTCTCGTTGAAAGGATGGGATAATCCACTTTTTAAGGGAGAAAGTGACAGTTTGGAGTGGGATTTGAAAAGTGTAAATGGTGGAAAAATTTGAGCTGTTGAAGTCCCACATATAACCAGATTTGATAAAGTTTCACATGTGGATTAGCTTTGTGTGTGTAGAAGGTGCTTTTACAGCAGGTCCTTAAATACTCCTTTTGAAATTCCTTTTTTTAAAAAATCATACCATTACTTCTTTGGATAAGAATGTCCCAAGTGGTATCTCATACTGTAGTATGAGGAAGAATGGATGTTAATGTATTGTTTTGAATTTTGGTCTTCTCTTGTCCTGGATCATATCCAGTCACCACTATGCAACAAATGATGTGCACTGGGCAAGGATATGATGGGTTATTCAAGCTGTATCTTGCTTGTTTTTTCTTTTGCAGTACTCCAAGTGGTCTAAACAGGAATGTCTTGTAAACCTCAAGACTCCCTATTGATTATTCCCTTACATATTTATTTACAATTTATCAGGGTAATTGGTGGTGCCTTATGAAAAGCATAACTTGATTTCTTGATCTTTGAGCATGTTTTGTGTTTCTTCTGTTTTCTGAAAGAATATTAGATATGGTTGATTGCATTACATCTAAAAGATTTAAAAATTATGTGTATGCTCAGGTTCCCCACACCCACACCCACCCCTACCCCGTGTCATTTACTTTGGTGGCAACTTTAAATGGTAACTAAGTAAAAGTACATTTTGGTAAGGAGTATTGATAATCCTGAGGAAAACTAGTGAGTATATGGGAGCCACCTTTAACCTGTGCCAAAGCAGTTTCTAATTTCATTTGCTCTCTAACTGCAAAATAAAGAACTGAGCTGAAATAATTTGATCAGTGGTGTGATTAGCCTATTATCATTGCTGAGAATAGTGTTTTTGGAGTGTGAAGTGATTCCTGAAGATTTCACCTGCCTTCTGTTTCCAGCAAGAATCCAGTGATGACCAACACATTTCCTCACCTTTGGTTCTTGAGAAGTTTATCCCTTTGCAACAAACCATTAATAGGGAAGACAAGGAAATGCTTTCCTTTTCTCTTTGGCTTCTTAACCAATTCAGACCCCACGTTACTTCAGAGAAGCAAATGGCACCTTTTCCCCATTGCCAAGGATCCCAGCTTATGCAGATATGAAGGACAGATCGTTTCTGAAAATGTTAAGACTCTGCTTGCTGTGAACTTGGCCTCAAAACAGTTTCATGAAATGTGCAGCTCTCTCTGTGTGTGTGTTAGGAGGAGGGCTGGTGGAAAGAGCAGGGGCGGGGGGGAAATCTGATTACCTCTTGGGAAATAATTTTCTTGCCAACAAAAAGATACACTTGAAGTTTCTTAAGGTGGCAAATCCATTAAAAAAAATTGTGTTGGACTCTCCCAGTTTAGATCAAGTATTTCTTGGGGATCTTGACATTGTGGTCGATACCAGTAAATGAAAGATCCAGAATATTTTCATTTAAAGCTCAACCATGAATTGGAACATGGTGAAACATTTTACACATTATAAAAGTAGGGAACAGTACAAAAGAATGCAATCAAATACTATATTATGTAAATAAACTAGAGTGATTTTGGAATTTCACTCTCTTCACTCCTTCTCACTTGTTCTTTGAAGTGTATTTCTACCTTGGTAGGAAGAAAGACTTGATTTAATCTTTCCTTAAAGATCCATGAAATTTCTTTATTAGGCAGAACTTTTCCCTAGCCTTATCTCTGGAGCTAGGTTGTGTATCTTGTCCGTGGGGGGAAAAAGGCACCACAAGAAGAAGCTTTAGAAATGGCTTGGTGGTCCCACCTTGTGTTAAGGAGCCTTTTTGAAGGTGTCAGGGACATAGGATGAAATCAGAATTTTCTTTAGTTTCAAAAAAGGTTTTCAGAAGCCCAGATGAGAACCTTAGAATTACGTAATGTAAAGAACACTGGATTTAGGAATAAAATAATCTGGGTTTTAGCTCTATGTTTGGCCCCTTATGTGAGTTGCTTATCTATTGTGGACCTTGGTTTCCTACCGTATGCAAGTTAGTCACAAAGAAACAAGTTATAGCCCCTCCCCTTGACAGGGTAAGACGTAGATGATTTCTAAGGATGTTTCTTCCTAAAAAGGTTATAGAATTTAAAGATGACAACAGAGGCTGTATAGTCCAAATCCCCATTTAATGAGAGAAAAATTGATTCGGCACTCCTGAGGACAGAACATACAGTGTCTGTCCTATTCTTGGAAAAATCTAAGTATTGGTCACTAACATGTATCGGAGCTTGCCTATAGTCTTCCCTCTGCTGGGGTCTGAATTTTGTGGCATTTTCGAGCACTTTCCCTTTTGCCGTGGGACTAGCATATCTGCATCTCTCTATTCCATTCAGTGCTGAACTCCTGGGAGGTAAGGCGAGAGTGTTAGACACATTTGACAAACCTAGCCTAACCGTTCCGTCATCTGTGGGCCCCTTCCCTCTGCAGATTCTGCTGCTCTGTTGAGACTAGCAGCTTTAGTCTTTCTGACCTAGCCCTGCCATCTCTAACTGGGGCTAAACTTCACTGAGACACAAAACAGCATATCATTCGTGTTGTCTTTGGAACCTTGAATAACAATTCAAACTCATGTCACCTTGGTCACTTCCCAGGACTTGTTTTGTCATAGAAGCATCTCGTTCCAGAGTTCAGTTGAAACATTGAGAGACTGGTTTGATTCCCTTTGCTTCTCATCCCTATAATGCATTGCTGCCGTCTGAAATAAGCCCATCCAGTCATCAGGCCTCAAACTGCTACCTGTTTTCCTCAATTCGTTTTACCGTTGCTGCCGTCCTTGCCAGTTCTTTGCATTATAGAGATTTTCATTCCCTATTCCTTTGTAAATATGCTTTTCTGCTTTTTCATTAACTGGAAACGGACTCTCCCTCAGCCATACTTGCCTTAGGACTCTTTCAAGTGGAGAGTGTTCGTCTTCTCACTTTTCTGCCGGTGAATGGATGGACTACAGGGTCTGCTGCCCCTGTGTTCTTGATCGCCACTGCTACACCGTTGTTCTGTCCCGAGGCTTCTGCTGTTCAGCTGCACCGTCTGTCCTCCTCACCGCCATCTCTGGTCACTCCCCTTCATTTATGGAAGGGACTTTGATGATTGATGGGCATCTCTTTCCCCAGTGCTGCCATCATTCTGGGCAGTTTCATTAGTCATGGATGACCTTAATTTCTGGACCTCCATCTCCACTAGTCATTTTCACTCCATTTAGCAAACCAGTTTTAAGTCAACACTTTGGACTCATCAGAAATTTATTTTCTGAAATGTAGAATCGATAATTTCTTCTATGATTTTAATGTCCTTTAATTTCTTCCTCTCAGTATACAGTATACTTATTCTTTGACCTCAAGAAGCCTCCAGTTCCTTAACCAACCTTCCCCACCCCCCGCACCCCCGTTTGTCAGTTTACTCTGGCTTTACCGCTTCCCCGTTTAGCATCGACTGTGGCCTGTCGCTCTGGCTCTGCAGAAACTTATCCCTGGATCAGTTTGGCTGTCTGACTTCCTTGCTTTCATGGGCGGCTGCGTACTACTGAGTGTGTCCCAGTGGTTGGTGGCACCACAGATGGACTTGAGTAGGTAGGTGCTTGAAGCAGTTCAGCGGCCCTGGCCGTCCAGCAACCTCTTCCATTCTTAAAGACTATTTCAGATTTTCACCCCTTGTCAAATAGCCTGTCACCTCTGCTGCCTCTGCAGAGACCTACCCTCCTAACGGGTAAATTGAAGCTAACAGGAGAGCTGCTAAGCTTCTTCCTCAGTTATCTATATCATCCTCATCTGTCCCAGAGGAGGGGTCTGTCCTGTGGTCAACACTATGAAAGTATAGGTGAATGAGCTAATCAGTGAATCCTATCCCATTGTAACTCCTTAGAGACCTTGTTCTGTCAGTCAGCCCTTTATCTTCCGCATCTTTCATTCAGCATATAATTTCAAGCTCTGTATTGAACAGGAGAGCTCAACTCCTATATGTTTTCCCTTGAGCCTGTCTCTTTTCCTGTTCTCCTCTTCTTCTTGAAATGCTACCTCTTCAGAGGCCCCCATGTTTTCTCTTGCAATGGCCTGTTCTATTCCATTAGGGGACTTTGCCATATATGGCATGTTTGTGTAAAAGTTCCACGAGAGCCTAGGTTTTGTTTCCTTTATCTCTCCATATGCAGCAACTAGAACAATACTATGCGTAAACATTCAACAGATAACTTGAAGGAGTGCTGTTTCATGCCTTCGTTCCTTCCTATACATTATTGCTCCCCTGTTGTTCTCTGTTTGGACTGCCATAACCTCATCTGCCTTTTCTCCTTACTACTTTCTCATTCTTCAAAATTCAGCTCATCCCCAAATTCCTCTGAGAAGTTCTTCAGGTTACTCCTCTCCATCTAATCTGAGTTAGATGTCCTTTCTTGGAGCTCTAATAGCGTTTAGACTAGACACCGGTCCTCAGAGTGAGGCTTCTGCATGGACAGCGTCACCGTCATGTGGGAATTCATTAGAAATGCAAACTATGAGGCCCTACCCTAGACTTTCTAAATCAGAAACTGGGAATGGGGCCAGCAACCTGCGTTTTAACAAGCCCTGAAGGTGACTGTGATGCATGCAAAGTTTGAGGACCACTAGAACATAGTCCCTGTAGAATACATCTCCAGGATCTGACACAACACACAGAACAGGATTATTGTGAAGATCTTCCTTATAAAGACCTGAAGTCTATCTTCCTGTAGCCTCATCCATCCTAGTTGAGCATATGAAAAACTAGTTCAGTTGCATCTCTGTTCGGCAGCCTTACAGCATTTGAGGATAGTGGTCATCTCTACTTCTGCACCTCTCGTCCCCAGCTCCTCTGGTTTAATATCTTTTTTTTTTCTCATGTGCTCTAACTTTGAATCCCTTCACTTTCCTCATTGGGCTTCTCTGGACAATTCCAACTTACTTCATATCCATCTTAAATACATATTCAAAATACCCTTTTAGCTTTTAACCTACAGCTCTGAAAGGTGGAACTATACATGTCTATAATCACCCCAGCAAGACAGAGTTCACAATGAACATAGAATTCCATTTGTACAGTTGGAGGTGTTCCCAGGTGGGTGGATTGCTTGAGGTCAGGAGTTCAAGACCAGCCTGGCCAACATGGCGAAACCTCGTCTCTAGGAAAAATACAAAATTTAGCCGGGCATGGTAGCGCTCGCCTGTAATCCTAGCTACTCGGGAGGCTGAGGCACGAGAATCAATTGAACCCAGTAGAGGCGGAGGTTACAATGAGCTGAGGTCACGCCACTGCACTCCAGCCTAGGTTTCAGTGGGAGACTCTGTCTCAAAAACAAACCGAAGCTGTCGCTCCCATCCTAGACCAATCTAATTGCAAGTATCTCACAGGGAGCCCAAGTATCAATGTTTTTCTGTGCGGCTTATTTTAATACATGATTTTAGCAAATTTAAAGAATTTGTGCAACCCTTACCACGTCATACAAACTTCAGAATGTTTCCATCACCCACAAAGAAACTTCATGTCTATTTGGTCAATCCCTGTTTCTACTCCCAGCCCTAGGTGACCATTAGTCTGAGTCTCTCTAGAGTTGCCTTTTCTAGACCTAAACATCAGGATTTTGTTTTTCTGCAGTCAGAATTGAGAACCGTAGTTCTGAATGCATCATGAGAGACAATGATTTTTAAGGATTATGTAGAATAAGTATGTTTTACGTATTTTCATATTTATGACTCCCATCCATACAGTGAATGCATCTATCACCAGTAAGACAAAGATCATTAATTTGATAATGGAACTTAATAGACCATTCTACTATTTTCCTTTTCTACATTTTACTATCGTATTCAAAATGGCCTCCCATTCTCTCCCAGGTTATTTTAAAACATCTCCAGTCTGCTTTTTTCCCCTTTAGCTCATAAATGAATAGTGCTGGATGATATCTTAGGAGCATTTTCCCTGAGATAATGTCTTCGGTAATGATTGCACGTATTGGTGTTGATTCCATCCTTGAAGTTATTTTCCTTTATCTTTCTCATTGGTGTTTCTTCACTAGAGGTTTTGCTGTCTGATTAACTTATCTGCCAAATAAATGGACTTTTGCTTCATAGGTACACAAACATTTCTAAAACTTTTTTTGGAAAATATATTTTTTTTTAAAAAAACAAATAGCGCATGCACATTTAAAAAAGAAAGAAAAAATATCCCAAAATGACCAGTTAAGATTTACTTTCAGACAACTCCGTGCATATTTACATATGCTTCTATACAACCATGTACACCTTTGCGTAAATGAGACCACACTCTACGTACTGCTTTGTAATTTGCTTCTTTCACTTAATACTGAGAACATTTGTACGTGACCATAGATATAGATTTGTATTGTTTTTAATGGCTGTATAGTTTTGCATTATACTGAATCTTAATGATGTTTAAGAGCTATGTATATTGAGGACATTATTTCTTTGTTTTGTGTTGCAAATTTTTGACCATGTTGTTATTAGTCTTTTAACCTTATTTATAGTTTTTTTTTGTTATAAAAGTTAAGTTTTATGATGTAAACTTAATCTTTTTGATTTTATAATTCCTGGTTTTCCTGATGTGCTTAGAATGACCTTCCCTACTACAAGATAATAAAAATACCTCCATGATTTTGCTTAAAACTTTTATTCTTTATATTAAATCTTTGTTACATCTTGAATTGATTGGTGTGAAGAATGCCAAGTTTCTTTATTGCTCTGTTGACTACATTTCTTAAGTTTCTTAAATGGTTTGTGTGTCTATGCATGTGTACATATAGTCATTCCAAAACCTCTGATATGCAAACACACTTTACAAATGTGTATACGTTCAGTATTTACTGTATTTGTTATCTACTGCTGCGTAACAGTATTACCACAGACTTAGCAGCTGAAAGCAACACACATGTATTGCCTCACAATTGCTGTGTCAGAAGTCAGGGCACAACTTTGCTGGTACCCTGCTTCAGGGTCTCATGAGGCTGTCATCACAGTGGTGTTCAAGGCTGTGTCATATCTGAAGTTTGAGGAAGAATCTACTTCTAGGCTCATGTAGTTGTTGGCAGCCTTTAGTTCCTTTTGGGTCATCGGAATAAGGGCCTTAGATTTTGGTTGGCCACTGGCCAGAGGCCAGCTTCAGTCCCTTGGCCTCTGCGCTTTCCCAACATGGCCACTTGCTTTCTCAAAGCTAGCAAGATCAGCTTACAATCTTACGTAACGTAAACGTGTATGTATAATCACATACATCCTGCCACCATTGCCCTATTCCATTGGCGAGAAGCAAGTCCCAGGTCCTGCCCATGCCAAGAGACAATCAGAAGGATGTGAGCACCTGGGGAGGCAGGGATCGCGGGAGGCCACCTCTGATTGTGTCTGCTGTCCTCACACAGAATGTGCTGCGTCATACAAAGACTGAAGTGCCTGAGAGCATAAGCGAACTTCCTTAGGCTTAATATAGGCTGGTGCAAAAGTAATCGCAGTCAATCGCAAAGACCACAGTTAGTTTTGCATCAACCTATAAAAGTCGCTCTATCCATACTTTCCTATTCAAATTAGATCAAAAAAGGTAAGTGTAATGTCTTTCTTTTTTAATGCTCATGAGAAGAAATGCAGTAACTTTTTACACTTGGGCTAACATTTTATAAGACTGCTGCAGTTTGAAGTATTTATAACTGCCCTTTGGCCAATATCCTGCATTCAGTAGAACAAATTTACTTCTTAGGAAAATAGAAATCTCCAAATCTTGTCAACCGTGTTCTGGGTTCCTTAACTACTGATTCTCCTCTGAACACCCTCCAAATGGTTCATATCCCTTTTAATATCTATGCAAAGCATTCTCTTAGTCTTCAAATTACAATTCTGTCTGAAAGAATCAGATCTTGAATTTTAAAATTTATAGTATCCACAGTGTTAAGTATCTTTATGAATTTGTTTCCTCTCCATACATTTTTCTTCTACAGCCTGTGCTCTTGGAAGCTGTCAGCAAAAATTGGTGTGATTTCCATCCAGAAATGGAAACGTGAGGATTTCCTCATCATTGAAATTTGTCCTTTCCTGTGCATCACAAGAATCTCCGTTTTGTTCCTAGGGATGGATGCATTGGGGGTTTTGTAAATTGGTGGTACGTGTGGTATGACAACATAGGAGCCAAGAGAAGAAACCGAAAGCAGAATTCAGAGTTTTAAAGTACTTCATCCCAAGTTTGTCAACTAGGAAGCAATGATTTCTTTCCAAGGTAATGGTATTGCCATCGCTGCTATTGACAGGTGACTCTTCAGACTCGTTTACAACGCGGGAAGGGCGTGGATCCGTGCTGGTTCTGTGTGTTTGTTTCGCAGTTCTTGTTTGGAAGATGTTTAATATTCTAATTGCTGTAGGTTCTGTGGATTAATACATACACATCTTAAGTCATGTCTTAGAATTACATAGCCCTAAGATTCTCAGGTATCCTAACGTCAACTTTTCTGTGCTTCTGTTACCACTAGGATGGTGTCTACACATTTCTAAAAGATGGCCTGCACCAAAAAAAAAAAAATGTATTTTGGAAATATGTATAGATTGCCTAGTTCTATCCTGGTTTTTCTAATATTATGAATTCAGTTACCATTGTATGGTAAATTGTGACTGAGTAAAGATTTTTCTCATTTTTCAGATGGTTATAGCGGGAGGTATTAAAGCTCTAGGAGATGACAAGTGGACAGGACAGAGCGAGAAAGAAATGGTGTGCTGAGTTCACCTGAAAGCCTCAGTTCCCAAGCTATTTCTTTACTAAACTGTGTTTTTCCAAAGTTGTATCTGCACCCTCTCTGGTTTGCAAAGAGGGGACAAAAGAGGGAAATTTATACAAATAAAGTCTAAAGAAGAGAGATCTGATACCTAAGGTCAAGGTATAGGGAAGGAATAGTATATAGTGTTAGAATATTTTGATGGGTAAATGTGAGAGGTTATAGAAGTTGGAATGAAATGTGAATGTCAGTATTAGAGCCTGCCTAACAGAAATTGAAGTAGACAACAATCCCCCTTCTTCCCCCCTTTTCAAGTCACAACAGCACTGCTTTTTTGGCTACAGAAAGCAGCTGAGGCTCAATCCCAAAGCAGCAGCAGGTTCTGGTCCAAAGTGCAAACCAAAAGAAGCAGCAGGAGGGGTGGAACAGAGTCATTACCAAAGATTGAGTACAGAATAAAGTGATCTACGAAAACGAGCATGGAAGGGCATGCTACAGGCTAAAGCCAGACTCAGGAAGGCCTGCTGTGAGGGAGAGGAAATCTACAGCCCCGGCATGGGAGGAGAAAACCATGGGCGCAGAGTAAGTGGGAAGACGGAACAGTGAGTGACCCCGGCCACATGACTCAAGGCAAAGCCATACTTTACCATTTCTTTAAAGAACCAGCGTAGGTTCCTAGTGCAGAAGCTGGCAAGGATTCCTCTTGAATTCGTGTTTGAAAAATACCCTCAGATTGAAATTACTAAACAAGATGGTAGTGTTTCTGGTTACATGGAAAGCTGAGTTCAGGGACGGATCTAGATTTTTGTAGATACTGAAGCTTAGACAATTCGCGGAGGGTCCTCTTTATGGAAAATGGCACAAAATTAATAATTCAAAACTAGGTACAGGGGATTGGAAGGCACCCATGCAAGGGAGGGGCCCCAAAGCTTATGTTGTATTAACTGCAAGGTAAATCTGCTTGAGTGGAACAGAAGGAGCCCGGGCAGACAGACGTCCAGATCCTACGTGTGTCACTTCGGCAGAAGGAGCCCGGGCAGACAGACATCCAGATCCTACGTGTGCCACTTCGTAGCTTTGGAATCTTGGGCAATTTAGTTTTCCTGTCTGTGAAACTCAATCTCTTACCTATAAAACAGGGATAATGCCAGTCTTTCTGGCTTGTCAATAAAGACTAAACGAGAGATGTATGTGAAGGTGCCTAGAGTGTGCCATAACTGCTAATATGGATGACTTTATGTGGTGCTAAGTTTTGGAAGGATGATTATTGATGAAAAGTGAGTATCGGCCGGGCGCGGTGGCTCACACCTGTAATCCCAACACTTTGGGAGGCTGAAGCGGGCGGATCACCAGGTCAGGAGTTCGAGACCAACCTGGCCAACATGGTGAAACCTCGTCTCTACTAAAAATACAAAAATTAGCTGAGTGTGGTGGTGGGCTCCTGTAATGCCAGCTACTTGGGAAGCTGAGACAGGAGAATCACTTGAACCCGGGAGGCAGACATTGCAGTGAGCCAAGATCGTGCCACTGCACTCCAGCCTGGGCAACAAAGAGCGAAACTTCATCTCAAAAAAAAAAAAAAAAGGAAAAAGAAAAGTGAATATCGATTATTCTGGTCATTATTGTTTGGAACTCTGATTCCTGGAGGTTAAGGAAATGTTTAAAGTATCTGCTGAGAGAGCTAAGCACTCCTAGGCTTTTATCTGTATGCAGGAGATGGCAGATGGCACTCTACTGTCTTCAAGAAGCTTACAGACTAGAGGTGCGAGTCTGGGCTATCATTATTGGCTGTTGGAATTGGGAATATAAGAACTCTTGGAATAACTAGAGTTGCTGAAGAAAGAGCTGTGGCCAGAGCAGTTAGAAGAGGGGTGATCAGACCAGCAGTCTCTTTCTTTCCAAGCCTGAGATCAGCTGTGGAAGACTCAGAGCTGACGTGAAGCCTGGGGATGGCCCAGTCTTACTCTCTTGTTTTATGCATGAAAAACAGAGTCCTAGAAAGGCAACATGGATTGCCCAAGATTATGTGGCTGATTCAGGTCATATCCAGGACTAGAATTTTGGAGTTCTTCCTCCCAGGTTATACATTTTTTTCATCACACTGAACTTGGCTCTAACTCATTCTCCTTTTATGCCCCTTCTTTAGTTTTCCTTCTGCATTGTCCATGTAGCAGAACTCTATGGAAGGCCACCCTGGTCCAACAGTCAGGCTGTGGGACCTTCTTCAGGCTGCTTCTGCCTCTTAGTCTGACATGTAGGTAGAGCTCTCTCCGTTGCTGATTTCTCCATTGGTGGAAACTGCAGAGCTGAAGCGAGCAGTACTAGCAGCCAGCAGGCAGGCAGCAGAAAGGGCCCGCGAGGGAGCTTTGGACACCAGTGCTTGACAGGGATGTTTAGAACCTGGAGAGCTTCCAAAGGAGAGCAATGAAAACAGTGGGTGGGGGTGAGAAGGAAGAACTCTTAGGAAAGATAAAAGGGTTTCAGATTATTTATCTTGGAGAAGAGAAGGCTGAGAGTGGCTTTGAAAAGGAGTTTCAGAGATAAGACCAGCTGTACTACATCTTCCCTGAGGATAGACTAAGAAATTAGCTAACAGCAGCAATTAGGCTACAGAGCTTTTCAAATTTAGCTGCCTCTTAGAGACTTCCAGAGAGCTTTTTAAAAAATCTCGATGTTCAAGCTTCACCTCAGAACAATTAGAATCTTCTCTTCAGGAGTGGGCATTAAACATCGGTAATTTCTTTAATGTGTCCCGGGGTAGCCAACATGGATTTCTGATTCAGAAAATTTTAAATTTTAATCTTATGGAATAATTGGGAGGAAAATTGCCCAATGATGTCAAACTATGCTAGGAAAAAAATGCATTTTTTTTTTTTTTAATGGAGGGAATAGGGGTAAGATATAACAAGAGTGGGAAAAGTTGGGATTGGGCTTAGTGTGAAGGAGGAGAATATAGGTGAGAGGTGGTGAAAACCCATGGCCGAGGCCTTGAGAACAGGTACAGGTGCCTTCCTCCCACTACAGTCACCACGTTCCGTTACGTCAGTTCACTTCTCCGAGTGTACGTGGCTATTATGGCCGAGGAAGAGAAAAGAAGCCCCTGACAGCTGGGAATTGGACTGACACTGTCGATTAGGCTTTGTATTGCTAGGAGCTGCCCTGGTGTTCGTTCTCACATACCAATGTCATGCAAGGCCACTCTGTGATCATGGTGGATCCAGACACAAATACACAAATAAGATCACTCTATGATGATATCTGAACAAAGACAACAACGTGAACATCGTCCAACCCACACAAATGATCAAACATCCGATGCTGGCTAACACAAGTGACTGCTCCTTCCTTACCAATCACAGCTTTTCGCTTCACTTCGTTTTTTCTGCTTTCTAGATAAAATCCATTAAGAAACCCAATTATAAAATTCCTCCTCCTTCCTCACAGCATCCGATCCAAAGCAAAGCCCGGCTTCCTGAAGCCGCCTCAAAATCACCTAATACAAATTCATCCAGTAACACGTCCTCAGTGACACCCTCTGACTGAGACACCTCACAGTTTACATTGTGTGCACGCTCCCTCGTTGCCATGAGTAACGAACCCAGCTTGTTTAACTGTAGGTGTGTTCCTCATGGTCTTTGGCTCATGGGCATTGACGCCACACAGTTTGAGCAGGCCCTGTCTGTTTCTTGTTTGGGGAAACCAGGACGGATGAGAGCTGTCATGTTTCCCAGTCATGGGAAACCAGTCGCGTGTCCCTTCTGGGTCCCCTCCCTCTCTCTGGGGTGAGACATGGGAGATGAGGTTCCAGCCACACTTTGCATTCCACATCAGTCAGCCGCATGACCAGTGCATCGGTAGATTTTGCTCATCACAAATAACGTCCTGCAGTGGTGTTTAAAAATGTTTAGGATAAAAGACTGTCCAGAGATTGAAGTTGCTTTTTTTGAATGTTGCCACTCTGCCCTCACCCCTCACCACAGCTTAATGGTGTCAGGGCGTCTCCGTTCCCTCAGAACCCCTGCTCACTAACTGTTCATCAGGAACTTCCCACTGAGACTAGTTACATAAGGGTTGCAAACTCTGTGTACTCTGAAAGTCGGACAAGAAATCAGGGAAACAGGGATTGGAAGAAACTGGATAAAATTGGAAAATAACTGCAACTACTTTTTCTAGAGTTAAAGACAAAAGGTATGATTTTCCTTAATAGGGAAAGCAGAGTAGTAAAATTGTGGAACGCATTGGGATGGGAAGAGAGCCTTCTGATTAGATTCTTTAAGTATTCTTCAGGTCTGATGAGATTTTCAGTGAAAGCAACCTTTTTCTTGTCATTTTCATTGTTCACCTCTTTCCTGAGAAAGTTATATTTAATCCCACGGGCCAGCAATAGCCAAAATAAACAGTACTAGAGTTGTGCTTCTTAGTGTTTCTCTTGTCTTTTTTCCTCCACCTCTAGACTTAAAGTATAGATAGCATGGTAGCTATAAGTAAATAATGGACTTTAGAATTCTACAAACCTGAGTTCAAATCCTGGGTCTGCCATTTACTAGTTATGTGGCCTAGCAAGTAATTTAATTATCTTTAAGGCTTTGTTTTCCTATCTTTAAAATGATCTTGTCAGTAATTCTTGTGTCATAGGTTTGTTCTGAGGATAAAATGAAATGGTGCCTGTATAGCACTTAGCGCCATGCCTGGCACGTTTGAAGTGCACAACAAACGTTAGTAATGGTAATGGTTGGTGTTATTAACACCATGCCTGGCACGTTTGAAATGCGCAGCAAACGTTAGTAATGGTAATGGTTGGTGTTATTAATATTCTTTGTCGTAAGTCTTGTTTCTTTCGGACGTTGGGTCTGATGTGGTGGCTCACGCCTCTAATCCCAGTGCTTTGGGAGGCGGAGGCAGGATTGCTTGAGGCTAGGAGTTTAAGACCAGCCTGGGCAACATAGCAAGACCCTATCCCTATAAAAGATTAAAAAATAATTAGCTGGGCATGGTAGTAGTCCACACTACTGGGGAGACTGAGTTGAGCGGATCCTTTGAGCCTGGGAGGTTGAGGCTGCAGTGACCTATGATTGTGCCGTTGCACTCCAGCTTGGGCAATAGAGTGAGACCCTCATCTCAAAAACAAAAACGAGAAAAGAAAACAAATTGGAGCTTACAGAATTTAGGTGAATTATCCCATCTGGGATCAAACAGAAAGGTCTTCAGAGTTTTTAGTGACCTCTCTGGTTTCTGCATGTAACATCCCAGAACTTTTCACAGCAGGGTCAAGTACTTGGGCTGTAATAGAGTGTAAACAAAACAAAAAAAAAAAAAAAAGAAAAAACTTTATTTTAGACTTACAGAAAAATTGCAACAATAGTACAGAGAGCTTCCATCTTTCACTCAGCTTCCCCTAATGTTAGCGTCTTTCACAGCCATAGTACAGTTGTTGGAACGAGGGAAGTAACGTTGGTAGGGTACTAGTAAACTAAAGACCTTATGCAACCTTCACCAGTTTTTACATTCATGTCCTTTTCTATTCCAGGATCCTATCTAGGATCCCATTCAGGACCCCACATTGCATTTGGTGGTTGTCATTTTCCCTTAGTCTCCTGCAGCCTAAAACACTTCCTCAGTCTTTCTTGTCTTGTCTGTCTTGTCTTTCGTGACACTTTTGACACTTTTGAAGAGTAGTGATCAGTAATTTTGTCAAATGCCCCTCACTTTGGGTCTGCCTTATGATTCTTGTGATTGAACCACACTTTTGGCAAAAGAATATCACAAAAATGTTGTGTCCCGCTTAGTACATCATATCCATGCTTCATGATACAGATAGATATTGATGTCTTATTACTACTGGTGGTGTTGACCTTGGTCATTTGGTTAAGGTGGTTTCTGCCTGGCTTCTCTACTTCAAAATTACTATTTTTCCCTTTGTAGTTAATACATATCTTGGGGGAGACACTTTGGAATTGTAAAAATTCTGTTCCTCCTTGAACTTTCACCACCAATGTTAGCGTTCATTGGTAGATCTTGTCTGCAACAATTATTATAGTGGTGTTTGTCTAGTGGTGATTTCCTAGTTTTCTCTTTCCTTCTACATTTATTAAGATTTCTTTTTCTTTGAGTTGGGGTCTTGCTGTGTTGCCTCAAACTCCTGAGCTTAGGTAATCCTCCCACCTCAGCCTCCCTGAGTAGCTGAGATTACAGGTGCACGCCACCATGCTCGGCATCCTTCTATATTTATTTATTGGAATTCAACTGCAAGGAAGAATGATCCTTTCATTCCTACTTACTAACGTATTGGTGGTTTGTATCAGCATGAACTTATTAGTGAATTTTGTTCTTTGGGCTACAATCCCATACTATCATTATTCATTTTGTTGTTCGAATGATTTCAGTTATAGCAAGCCATAATTTGTTTAGTCTGTTCTACTTGCTGTTTTCTTTTCTTTCAGTGTGATATTCGAAAAGGGATCCAAAAGGTCAGCAGGTTCCTGACTCCTGCAGTTAAACAGAACTACATCTCTTAATTTAAAGGTCTGCAGAGGAGAACCCACCACTTCCTTTGCCACCTTGATGTTGCTCAGAAATGTTTATTCCACTCCTTGTAGAGTCAAACAATTTTTGGAAGAGCATATCATGGCGTACTGTCATTTAAACATACCTGGGATGAACTTGGTATGAACCAGACCTCCTAGGCCTGCTTTTTGCGTGGCTCACTTCATTTTATACAGTCCTGTTGTGGGAAGCGCAGCCTTCAGTATCCTCACTAACAATCTCTAGTGAGTCTTAAAACTTATGCAGTCTCTTGAGTAAGAACTCTTGAATACTAATTCTGGTGTTACTTGTTTTCAGGTTTCTTGACTTTGCACCCAGCAGACCAAAGGATGATGGCAACGTGAGGTAGATGCCAGGCTAGTCACGCCTGTTTTGTGTGGAACCCCAGACAGGAAGTTGTGAGGGACTGTCACCAACATTTATCTACCAGTGTTCTCAAGCTTTTTGTTGTTGTTGTTTAACTTTTGTCAACCTAAGCAGGACAAAAAACCTACCATAGCCGTTCCCACTTTATAGGGGAAAAAGAAATTGGGGATAACAAAGATTTGGAGAGGAATTAAATAGGAGTCAACATGTGGTAACATGGCAGCAGTTATGTAAAAACAAAAGAGTTGGTAAGTAAAGCCAACATTCCTTAATACAAGAGCAGCAACTTAACAGCCAACTCAGGATAAGCCTGATGATGTCCTTATCACTGACAGTCTTTCCTGGAAACTGGGAATTGCAACCGTTTGCATATATGAGGACACAGAAGGGGCTGTGCAACATTGCCAAAGGCTGAATGGTATCTGAGAAAAAACGAGTTATCTGGTAATTTTAGATTACAAATGCCAAAGTTTATAATGCATAATAGGCCATTAGTAAGTACCACTCAAGGATGAGTAAAAATGGAAGTCAAGAGCACTGCTTTGAAGATGGTCTTTTTTTACGCGAGTTTGTAGGCTGTCTCAGGACCCTTTTGGTTTATGGCTTTAGATGGCTCAATCTAACAGATGAAAGCTTGAAAGGGGAGAGGAACAGGGGCAGCTGAAACATAAGAATAATTTCCAAGAAGCTTGTGGGAGGCTCTCCAGGTGTTCCCAGGCAGTGTTTCCTGCCCCTGCCCCTGCCTCATGCCCTTAAGTCAGATGAGGGATGCAGGAAATGGAAACTACCTTAGACCCTTCGATTCATCTTTCTTTCCACACCTCTCTGTCATCTCAAGATGTCTGTGTCACCTCACTCACCCATTGCCCCATCCCCTCCCTAACTCACTCTCTCACAGTCTGGCCAGAGCCCAGCTTAGCTCAGGGGTTCCCAGTCCTGTCTCCCTCAGGAAGACTTCCCTGCTCACTGCTACCATTTACAGTGAGTCACCATCTCCTGACATCTCAAGCTGGACAGTCGCCTGTGTAGGACTCAGACCCCACACTCCCCGGTGTCAAGGTCTAAGCAGGTTTCCTGCATGCACTGTGCTTCGGCACGTGGCTGAGGTGGGGCTCTGCCCTGTCCTAGACTCCAGGCTGAAGGAGCTGCTCTCACAGCCGCCTGTGTGGGCTGTTCCTGCAGAAAAACGGAGCTCCCTGGTGACCTGTGCCTCGTGCTCACTGCCAGCTCCTTCACTGATGACAACTTTAGGGCTTTGCTTTATTTTAAACTTTGGCACTTCCTTTTCTCTACTGATTTAAAAAATATTTTAAAATTATAGCATATTATTTAAAAATCCAAACAATATTGATAAAGTGGGGAAAAAAACTCCCTTACTGCCATCTCCTGATGTCAGTTCCACTCTACAAAAATAACTACTATTAACCATTTAGTGAAAATTTTTTTCAGACTTCTGTGTGTATAAATGTCTGTGTATGTTTGGGAAGTTTTTCTGACATCTCCGAGTTCTGTATCTATGTATCTTTTGTTCTAAATCATCGTCCATTCCACATTGCAAGCTGCAAAACGGTAAGATAAATGTATTTTTAAATTAATCTACACAGCACCTGACCAAAGGAACACCTATTCTTGATGGATTTATAGGAGCACTTGTGTTGGAGACAGGGGTGGGAGGCAGGATCCCTCCAGAGAGACCCCGAGCTCACCAGGTGGGAAGTGCACATGAGCTCCAGGGAAGAGACCATGCTTCATAAGCTCACTAGCAACTGGCCCGACCTGCCAGGGTGTGCACACTCCCCAGACTGCGGAATCACTCGTGTGCGGGTTGCCCGGTGGCCGAGGGAGGGGTGGGGAGAAAAGTGGAGGGGGAGGCACAAGGGTGGAATGTGGGCTGGGCCAAGTTTAGAATTACGAGTGCCACAGAGGCTCCTGGAACCACACTTTAAATAGCCGGCACCTTCCCCTTCCCCCTTAGATAATTCTCCCCGACTGGACCTCTGGCGGCAACTTCAGTAAGGTTCGAAATGTTTTCTCTTTTTTTTTTTCTGTTTCTGGGTCTGAGTCTGCAGGTTGGTGGGATCCATGGGACTTACAACCAAAGGACTTTTTTCTCACCCTCTCCTAGAAAATATGCTTCTGACATTTATGTGTGCAAATGCCAAGATTATATACTACTTTCTTGACTTTCTGCAACTTGGGTGGCTGTTGACTTAAGTGACAATGTGATTTGGAAAGAGAGAGCCCTAGATTGAGAGGAAAGACAATTGGATTTAGCTCCAAGAAAAATCGGATTTAACTCTGAGAAAAGAGAACAATGATCAACTCTTTGACAGGACTGAAAGAAGAAAAAAATTTGAGTACCTGTTATTCTATTAAGTGCGTATATATATGTATATTTCCTCATTTAATTCTTATAGCTAAGTATATCCTATCAATCATCCCTACTTTTACAGATGAACAAACTAAGACTCAGAGTCATTTATTAACTTCTCTGAAGTCAGACATTGGTATGAGAAAAAACTAATGTTTGAACCTGGTCTCATCTGACTCTACAGCTCATGGCCTGTCAGACACAACACGCTACGTCTGAGAAGCAGCTCTAATGGGGCTAAGGGAGCCAGGAAAGGGCTACTGTTTCCCCCAGAGTCTGGGAGGGTGGAGAAGGGAAGGCTTTTCCATCACTGGGAGGGATCCATCCGCTGGTAAAGGGAGGGGAGGCCTCCAGCAAAGTCAGTACCTTGACAACCTTCCCAAAAGGACTGGGGAGGCCTCTTGGGACCAGTTACTTGGGTTTCTCCTTTGTAGAAAGGAGCTAATTCCCTAATTTATCAAATAAAAATAGATACCTGCTGTTCCCTGACTTTCTTTTTTCTTTTCTTTCTTTCTTTCTTTCTTTTTTTTTTTCGAGACGGAGTCTCGCTTTGTTGCCCAGGCTGGAGTGCAGTGGCGCGATCCCAGCTCACTGCACCTGGTTTCATCCGCCTCCTGGTTTCAAGCGATTCTCCTGCCTCAGCCTCCTGAGTAGCTTGGGTTACAGGTATGTGCCACCACGCCCGGCTAATTTTTGTGCTTTTAGTAGAGACGGGGTTTCACCATGTTGGCCAGGCTGGTCTCAAACTCGTGACCTCAGGTGATCCACCCGCCTCGGCCTCCCAAGTGCTGGGATTACAGGCGTGAGCCATTGTGCCCGGCCTGTTCCCTCACTTTCTGACTTCCTGGGTCAGAGCCAAAGGAGAGTCTGTGGCCAGAAGAGGTTACTGCTGAGAAAGTTCTGTTAACATGAACTTTGCTTGAGGGTTAGAAAAAAGTCCGTCTGCCTACTTCTCCAGAAAAGAGGCCACTCTGCAAAATCAAGGCAGAGTCATTAGAAGAAGCTTTTAGTAGACATGCCAGTGAACCCAGGCAGCCGTTGTAATCAAAGGGCTGGGACTGAAAGAGCAGGGGCAGGTGGGTTGAAGTCCTGGCTGTGCAGTTTACTAGCTGCATGGCAGCAGCAGTCACATTATTGAACCTCTCTGAGCGGCAACTTCTTTATTTATAAAGTGGAGGTAGTAATGCTTACATGTCAGGGTTGCTGTGAGAACTAAATGAAATGAAGGCATGTGAAGTGCCTAGTCTGTAGTAGTTGCTGACTAAATGGGAGCCACACCCAGTCATCCTCAATCCCAACAGTCTGGAATGGGCCACTTCTGACAGTGAATGGTTAAAACTGTGGCTTTTTAGTTTATGTCATCTTCTCTACTGTCACAGACTCCATTTGTCATCACCAGAAAAGAAAAAGAGCACATAGCTCATCTCTCCCTTCTGCTGATTTCAGAGAGACATAGGAGGAGTACTTAGTCCACCTCATCTTACTCACAATTCCTGGTCCCCTCAACTCTCCCAGTCCTTTGACAGGATTTTTTTTTAAAACTGGCTTTTATTTTTATATTACAAAAGTAAAATATTTTTTGATGTAAATGTAGAAAATACAGATAAGGAAATGTTCCTATAACCCAGCTGCTGAAAGAAAAACATTTTGGTGGCTATCCTAATCTTTCAATGCCTATAAATACTTTCTAAGATGTTTGTCAAGCATGATCATATTGTGCGTACCGGTTTTTACTATATATTGTGAGCATCCTTTTGTGCCGATACACTTGTTTCTGTAACACAGGTTTTAATGATTATATATAGTAGTCCATTATATGAATGTGCCATAATTTATCAATATATCTACCATTTTTGACAATTTATGTACTTTCCGATTTTTCGCTGTTATGAACAATAAATATCCTAATGCTACACCTTTCACTCACAATCACAATTATTTCCTCAGGGTAAATTCCTGCAAGGGCAATTGGTGGCTTTGAGGACATGTGAAATCCCATCCTTTCCACGTGTCCCAGCATAGAGAGTAAAGAGACGGAAGCACGTGCTAATCCCGGTGAGGCTGACTGTAGGGCGGCAGGGAGAATTTAGACAGCACAGCGGCCCGTGAACTCCTCCATGTCTACAAGCCTCAACCCAAGAGGGCCTTGTAGTGGAAGCAAAGGCTGTCCTTCAGCACCAGCACTTTCCTCCTGAAACAGGAAAGGGATACATACGCTCAGTAGCTGTCACCCAGCTTCCACCACTGAGAAGTGCTAAGGAGGACACGGTCTGCAGGGAAGGGCATAGCATTCGCCTCTTCCAGGGCATTCATCCCCTTATGGATTTGTTGGAAAAGGAGGAGGAGGAGGGGTTTCCTTCTGGGGTTCCCAACAGTAACAGGGCATCCCACTTGTTTTCCAGGTGGGATGGATAGCAGGGCCTCAGGCACAGCCAGTAATGGAGAGACAAAGCCAGTGTGTCCAGACATGGAAAAGAAGGAGGAAGATGGCACCCTGGAGCGGGGGCACTGGAACAACAAGATGGAGTTTGTGCTGTCAGTGGCCGGGGAGATCATTGGGCTGGGCAACGTCTGGAGGTTTCCCTATCTCTGCTACAAAAATGGGGGAGGTGAGAGCCCTTGTGCCGCCCCACCCACCCCTGGAAGGACGATGCTTCCATCTCCTGCGCTTACGGCCCCTCTGGGGAGTCCCATAGATGCGTAGGATTCTGGAGTTGGAAGGACGCTTAGAGGTCATCCAGGACTCTGTAAGAAACTAAGACCTAGAAAGATGCGTGACTATCCCAGGGCTCTTTCTGTTGTAATGTGGCATCGTAGAAATGTGAGCACAAGCTGGAACCAGGTGGAGGAGAGTTTGGATCCTGGCCCCGCTGCTCACCCTCTGTGTGATCTTGGACAAGTTACTTAAGCTCTCAGAGCATCGGTTACCGCTCCTGCAAATCGAGATAATAATGCCTGCCTTTCAAGGTCGTCGTAAGGATTAGAGATAATGTGTGTAAAGAACTTAATAAATAGTAGCTTTGTTGATGATGATGGCAATACCAAACTGTTCTGTGGTCTTGAGATTCCCCAGCCTTGGCCTGGTGTCTTTTTCTGACTCTGCTGGCAGGGGGAGGTTCCCTAAGCCATCCCTTACCCAACCCCTTCTAGTATAGGCTCTCTTTTTAAAAATTTCCCAGTACAAATGTGTGCGTGTTGTAGGGAGAGCATTACCTCCAGCTCTTCACTGTGTCATCACTGGCTTCTCATTCTCCTCTCTTCCAGCCGCCTGGGGTAATTCTGCTATCCCCGCAGCAGTGACAGAAATTTTGCAACCACTAACCCACATTCAGGGAATTTTGTATTTCTGTGGGAGGCCCCAGAGGGATTTTCCCAAGTACTGGAGCGTTCTGGGTGACCAGTGGGCTAGGAATAGCTCCTTGCTTATGGGTAAAGCTGATAGGGCTGGGGTTCCCAGGTCTGATTTGGTAGTGAGACTGCAGCCAGGCCTGGAGGAACGTGGAATACAGAGGTGGGCCATCAGGGAAAATGATGAGAGGAGTGGCAAGTTCATGGGCCACAGGATTTGAGGTTCTTTAAAGCAATACCTACCCTTTTGCAGGTGAGTAAGAGCTGCCAAAGGCATCCAGCTTGAGTCTCACAAGGATTTTAGAGAAAGAAAGCCTTCAATACAGAGTGGAGGTGTGGGAACTGGAGGAGAACACGAGAGATGCTCTGGGCCCATGGAGTCTGGTTCCCAGGTCTGCGGCAACTGGGGATTGTCCCTGGGTTGGAGGTTAACTTGTGTTTCCAGAGGGAGGAAAATGGGCTGGTGTGTCCGTTCTTCCTGGGAATTTCTGGCCAGTGGCCTGAAATCCCAGGAATTTGCTCAGTTTGCGCTATGAGGGAAGAGGGAAGGTCTACCCACTTTTTACCTGGTGCTGAGTGCTCCACGTGCTTGTTCAGGAATTTAGGCCTGAGTACCCTCCCTCTGGAGAATCAGGGGAGACGGAGCTGGCCCAGGGCGAAAGCTGGAGGCTTGGGGACTAAGCTGGCGTTGGGACTCTGGGTCTGGAACCTGGTAACCAGCTCAGCTCCTCACATGGCAGAGATTAGGAGGTGAGCAGCTTTCCGCAAGCCTCTCTGGAATTGGGTAAAGGTTGGCCTGGGAATTAGCAGGAATGGCACGAAGAGGTAGGAGAGATTGCCTTCCAGGTCTAGTGCAAACCACTGGGCTGACAGGGGCAAGTGGAGGGGAGCAGTGACAGGAACGCGGGGGATGAGGGACTCTCCCTGGTCCTTTGTCTGGCAGTGTTTGGGTCCCAGGGCTCTGTGGTGAGTCTGTGTGGGCCTGGGAATGTGTTGACTGTGTCTTGTGTGGGAACAGAGGCCTGAGGGGAAAAGAGCACCCACAGCCCTTGGTTGGTCACGTGGCTCCTGTGTGGGGAGGTGGAGGCAGCAGGGCGGCGGCTGTGGTCTCCTTCTCCCTGGGTAGAGCCTGCCTTCCAGCACGCTGATTCCCTGGAGAGTCCTGACATGTGTGGGAATCCTGCCATCCAGTCGAGTTCTCTGTTTAACCCTTACACTGCCTACCCATAACTTCTTCCCTTACCAAGCGCGGGGCCTGAGCACTCCTCTTCCCCGTTCGCTGGTGGATGGCTTCAGCTGGAGGGGAGTGTTCTGAGGGACTGGGGAGCTGCAGGCAGGGCCCGGGTTTGCTCTGGAGGGCATGAGTGACCCAGGGCCGCGGGCTGGGTTAGTGAAATGGCTCCTTTACCACGGTAAGCGGGCTGATCAAGGATGTGTGTGGTCAGTAGAGGAACCTGGACCGGCCTATTTTTCTGTTGTTTTGGTGTTCTCAGCAGTTTAACCTTTCTGTCATCAGTTAACTCCTCTCGCCTCCCAGGCAAAGCAAACTCCTACAGAGAACGGGCCCTTAAGCTTCATCTCGTCATCTCCCTGTCCCTTTGCCGAAGAAGAGACTGCTGCCCCTTCCCGAAAGGACCCTTTGCTGCTGCTGTGGGCAGGAGGCTGGGAGGTGGAGACCCTTAGATTGGTTTGACCCCTTTCCTCCTGGTTTAGTGCTTTTATCGGAACTCACCATTCTCAGATTGGGGCCTGGGCTCCTGGGCAAGGGAAGAGTGTTCTGAGCAAGCCCTGGAGAGGATGCTGGGGTACTCCCGGGTGTGCCATCCTCCCGTAATGCACCTTATCAGCCTGCTTCTGGGCCCTTTCTTGAAATTCACAGCTCCAAGTAGCCACTCTTGTGCTTGGCGGGGAGGGGAGGGCAATCAAGGAGTTTGATTCGTCGTCGTATTTGTTTAGTGAGAAGCTCAGGGATGAAGACGTCCTCAAAGCACAATTTTACTTCCAAACTAAAAATATAAGTGACATCTTTGGTTTCTTCCAGCGTCAACATTTGGTAGATCTAATTTGAAATGAGTTCCAGAGCGGGGAAAGGGCTGAGGCAAGGCTATGACAGAACACAAGGCAAACAGCTGAAAACTGTAGTCAAAAGGCAGGCAAGCTGAGAAGGTGATACAAAGAAGCCCATCCGAAGTCGGAAGCAACAGGGAGGCTTTTAGGGAGGCGAGTGAGAGGGATGCCCACCTCCACCGTCTCCTAGGTAAATAATCTCCCTGCTGTCCAGGACCTGTGGCTGATCCACCCCCAAGCACCTGCTTCAGCCTAATGGCTTTAGAATTTCCAGGCTCTGTCCGTTGCCTCGGCGCACACCCAGCCAAGCCCTGAGCCTGACTGTGTCATTCACCAGCAAGTACTTACTGAGCACGTAGCATAAGCCAGGAATCGTTCTAGGTGGTTGGGATACATCTGGAAACAAAACGGACCAATTCCCTGTCCTCACAGGGCACACATTCTAGAGCAGGGAGACAGACAACGCACAATAAATGGGATAAACGTGTAAATTAGATAGCATTCCTGAATGAATGAGTGCTATAGGAAAAGAACGAGGGGAGCTGGGTAAAGGGGATCAGGAGTGTGGGTGTGGGTGGTGGCAATTTTTAAAACGGTGGTCATTGAGAGCATTTGAGCAAAGTCTTGCCAGGAGTGACAATTGGCCTTGTGGATATTATGGGGTGGGGTGAAAGTGCTTTGCTCCAGGCACAGGAAACAAAGGTTGAAACAAAGCAAGAGCCTGGCTGACTTGTTTGAGGGGGACTTGAGCCTGGAGCTGGGCAAGTGAATAGAAGGTCAGGTCAGGGAAGAAAATGGGCTGGGACAGGGAGGCGGGCAGATGAGGTATGCCAGGTTGGCCACTCTCAGACTTCAGCTTTTGCTCTAGTGACATTCAGATGCAGACAGGGTTTTGGGCAGCAGTAATCTTACATTTTTTCCCCCCAGCTCCTCGAGATGGAGTCTCACTCTGTCACCCAGGCTGGAGTGCAGTGGTGTGATCTCAGCTCACTCAGCCCACCTCCTGGGTTCAAGTGATTCTCCTGCCTCAGCCTCCCCAGTAGCTGGGACTACAGGTGCGCACCACCATGCCCGGCCAATTTTTATATTTTTAGTAGAGACGAGGTTTCTTCATGTTGGCAGGCTGCTCTCGAACTCCTGACTTCAGGTGATCCACCCACCTTGGCCTCCCAAAGTGCTGGGATTACCGGCATGAGCCACTGTGTCTGGCCAGTCATCTTACATTTTAAAATAATCTCTAGCTGCTATGTTAGAACTGAGTATAGGGGAGTGAGGGCAGAAGCTGACCAGTTATAAGGCAAAAATCTTGGAGTCATCCTTAATTCTCTCATAACTGTTGACTGTACCCAAACACGCGGGTCCTGGGAGCTTCAGGACCTCTCCAGCTCCCTGGACCCTGGTTGCTGGCAGAATGAGTAACTCAGCATCCAGAATGCCTGGGACTGGATCCCCCCACCCATCAGATGTGCAGGACCCGACCACGTCTCATCCCCTCCACTGCTGGCACCCATCTAAGCAATCCAAGAGTTTTCACCTGAGTGACTGGAAGGAAGGAGCTGCCGTTCACTGAGATGTGGAAGGCCATGAAGGGAGCAAGCTTTTGTTGTGGGTTTTTGTTTTGTTTTGTTTTTTAACAGAGATGGGGTTTTGCCATGTTGGTCAGGCTGGTCTCAAACTCCTGGCCTCAAGCGATCCGCCTACCTCGGCCTCCCAAAGTGCTGGGATTACAGGCATGAGCCACTGTATCTAGCCCCAAAGGAGCAGGTTTCGAAGGGAAAGTAAGGGGGTGAATTTTGGGAAAGTTGAGTTGAGGTATCTATCGGATGTGCAAGTGGAAATGGCAACTGGGCAATAGAATGTGAGTTTGGAGTTGGTGAGAGAGATCTGGCTGGAGGTGTGTATTTGGGGACCATTAGCATTTTGATGGTATAAGAAAAGAAAGTAAGGACTTTAGTGGGTCTGGGAGAAGACGAGAAACTGGTAAAGCAGGAATGAAGTGTTTTGGAAAGCCAAGTGAAGGAATCCCATCAGGGAGGAGGGAGAGATTAACTGCAGCAAAGGCTGTGGATAGGTTTAAAAAATGAGGAGAGGAAATTGATTGTTGGTTTTAGCAGCTGGGAAGTTACTGATGACCTTGGTAAGAGCGGTTACAGTGGAGGGCTGGGAGCAATGACTGATTGAAATGGATTTAAGATAATGGGGGAGATGGGGAGAAAAGAATTGGAGATAGTAAGTGTGGGTTATTGGAGCAAAATGTGGGAGCAGGTAAAATCCACCCTTCGTTGTGTATTTCCCTTCTGGGCGGAAGGAGGCCGTGTGAGTCCTGCGTAGCAGCCACAGTGTGCCAGTGACCAGGCAGCCTTAGTGATGGGGCCCTGAGCTGGCGAGGCGGCTGAGGAAGCTGTACATCTGAACTATTCCTCCAGCCCTCCACCCTCAGCTGCCAGGAGGGAAAGCAAATGTGATTTTCTACTAGGGCCTGCCCAGCCAAAGTTCCAGTCATGGGACAAGGAGATGCTGGATAACGCAGGAGGCGTGATGTGGGAAGAAGGCAGCGGGAGAGGGTTCTGGTAACACGACTGTCCGTAGCCAGCAGGGAATTTAAACCACCTTCCCGCCTATCTCAGCCCAGATGAAAAAACCGTCTGCCAACATTTTCACTGAATTTCTAAGTCCAGGTTGCTGAAATTTCACTAGGGGCAGAAGTTACCCATGCCAAGAACCTTTAATTTTTCCACTGGTCTCAGGACACCAGCTGGAGACGACCTTTAGTGAGGACTTCCTCCCTGTCCCCTCCAGCTCCTCTTCAGAGCCTCAGTCTTCCAATACCCAGGTCCTGGGTGCTTCAGAACACGGGCCTTCAGCTGAGACCTCTCCAGCTGCCTGGACACTTGCCGCTGGCAGGCCGAGTTGCTCAACACCCCGAATTAACTTGGGACTGGAGTCCCCATGTGAGGCCACGACAGCAGGACCTCTCAGAAGGGCCTGGAGGGGAAACACCCCGCAGCTCCAGCCTGTAAAGGTGCACGGGGATGGCCACACACAGAGGATTCCCTTGGCAGGAGGGAAAACCATTAGCCCTATGCTGTTTCTAGATAGCGGAGAATAAAGAGAAATAAGAAGCATTTTTCATGTGTTCCTACAGAAGTAATGGTTATTTAGCAGTGCGTGACAGTGTGTTATCAAGTGCAGTTAATGACTCAGGGCCTGCTGTTGGTCAGGCTCAGGCCGAGGACAGCACATAACACCTCTTGGAAGCTCCTCACTCTTCTGTTGCTCGAGTGGACGATCGTCAGTTCATGCCTTAAGAAATCAGCTGGGGGCTGGGCGCGGTGGCTCAAGCCTGTAATCCCAGCACTTTGGGAGGCCGAGACGGTCGGATCACGAGGTCAGGAGATCGAGACCATCCTGGCTAACACAATGAAACCCCGTCTCTACTAAAAAAACACAAAAAAACTAGCCGGGCGAGGTGGCGGGCGCCTGTAGTCCCAGCTACTCGGGAGGCTGAGGCAGGAGAATGGCGTAAACCCGGGAGGCGGAGCTTGCAGTGAGCCGAGATCCGGCCACCGCACTCCAGCCTGGGCGACAGAGCGAGACTCCGTCTCAAAAAAAAAAAAAAAAAAAAAGAAATCAGCTGGTGACACCACAGAGCTGCTGCTTTTGAGAACGGGGCCAAGAGAGTGATTCCTTTCTGGGATGGGGATGTAGCCTCTCCCATCTCATGGAGACAACGCCAGCACGTTTTAGAATTTTCGAGGAGACTAGTACACATGCTACGGGGTGCAGGGAACTGTGAACTCCGCCCGCCATCCCCAGGACTAACTTCATCTTGTGACGGTGGTGCCTGTGGAGGGGAAGAGGCGGAATGCCCTTCAGGACTCCTCAGTCTGCACCTGGCCCCCTTGGCTTCCTCCTGCCCCGACCCCTCTCACGCTTCTAGGGCCTGTAGCTCCCCCTGCAGGTACGGACTTTGTCCCTCTTGCCAGGCCGCCAAGGTGCTCAGCGAAGCCGCGGAGGTGGGAGCAGCTGACCACGGGGCCGGTGCAGTTAAACATTGGCTTGGTTTGTAGAGAAAGAGCAGGCAACGTGAATACGGGGGGCTGCTTGGGCTGGGCCCATCGCTGTTGCTTTCTGGACTGGGCTCCCCACAGTGACTGTTCCTGTCAGCTGCTGGGTTCTCTCTTTCCTGTTTTCCCTCCTGCTCAGCAAACCTTGGATTGATTCATGGACTTCTTAGGCTGAATTGTTTGCTACCTTTCTTTCTTTGTCCTCATCATCAAGTCTCCCTTAGTGCCTGAATGATGGTTGTGTAGATTACAACCTTGAGAAGTGGAAGGTGAAGACCTGGAGAACTGGGTTCCTCATTAACTTACAATAAACCACACATATTTAAAGTGTACAATCTGATAAATTTTGAGATATGTATATACCCATGAAACCACTGCCACAATTGAGATAATAAACATGTCCATCACCTCCAAAACAGTTTCTCCTGTCTCTTTCTAATTCCTTCCTCCCAACTTCACTCCTGCCATCGTATCCCAGTGCAATCAGTAATTCTGCTAAATGCAAACTAAACTAGTTTGCTTTTCTTAGAATATTATATAGATGGAATCATACAGTGTGTTGATAATTATGATAATTTGATACCACCATACATTAGTTTGCATTTCTTAGAACATTATATAAATGGACATATTTTGATAATTATGATACAACATAATTCTTTTGAGATTCATTTATAGTTTTCACGTATCAGTAGTTTACCCTTTGTTATTGAGGTGTCTTCAAATATTCTAACACACAAGTCCCTTAACAGAAATGCATTTTACAAATACTTTTTTTTTCATTCTGTGTTTTGTAATTTTCCTTTTCTTTTTTTTGAGATGGTTCTCACTCTGTCGCCCAGGCTGAAGTTCAGTGGTGCAGTCACAGCTCACTGCATCCTTGACCTTCTGAGCTTAAATGATCTTCCCACCACAGCCTCCCAAGAAGTAGCTGCAACTATAGGCATGTTTCACCATGCCCAGAAAATTAAAAACTTTTTTTTTTTTTTTTGTAGAGACGAGGTCTCACTATGTTGCCTAGTCTGATCTCAAACTCCTGGGCTCAAGAGATCCTCCAGCCTTGGCCTCCCAAAGTGCTGGGATTACAGGCATGAGCCACTGCACCTGGACTGTTTTCCTTTTCCTAACAGTGTCTTTTGAAGAGAAGGCATTTTAAATAAATAAATAAATAAAGATGAGGTCTGGTTTATCAATTAGTTATTTTACAAACCATACTTTTGATGTCATATAAAGAGATCTTTGCCTAACCAAAGGCCTCATGTTTTCTTCTAGAAGAGTTATAGTTTCAGGTTTTACATTTAGGTCTATGTTTCATTCTGGGTTAATTTTTGTATGCAGTGAAGGGATGGGTTGAAGTTCATTTCTCAGGGGTTGTGTAGGTATTCACTTATGCAACACCATTTGTGGAAAAGACTATCCTATTTCCAGTGAATGGCCTTTATTCCTTCATCAAAAATTAGTTGTTTGTATGTATGTGGGTCTGTTGATGAATTCTACTCTGTTCCATTGATCTGTTTATTTTGACACCAGTACTGTCTTCATTACTGTGCTTGAGGATAATATAAATACCAGGTGGAATTAAGCCTAAAATTTTACTTCAGTTCTTCTTTTTCAAAGGTTTTTTTGTTTGTTTGTTTGTTTTGTTTTGTTTTTGAGACGGAGTCTTGCTCTGTTGCCCAGGCTGGAGTGCAGTGGTGCGGTCTCGGCTCACTGCAAGCTCCACCTCCCAGGTTTACGCCATTCTCCTGCCTCAGCCTCCCGAGTAGCTGGGACTACAGGCGCCCGCCACCTCGCCCGGCTAATTTTTTTTTTGTATTTTTAGTAGAGACGGGGTTTTACCGTGTTAGCCAGGATGGTCTCGATCTCCTGACCTTGTGATCTGCTCCCTTCGGCCTCCAAAAGCGCTGGGATTACAGGCTTGAGCCACCGCGCCCAGCCCTTTTCTTTGTTTTTTTGTTTTTGTTTTTTTTTTTGTTTTTGTTTTTGTTTTGGCTATTTTGGGTCCTTAGCATTTTCAGATGAATTTTAGAAAGAATTTGTGAATTTCTACAAAAAAGTCTGTTGTGCTTTTGATTAGGGTTGTATCAAATCTATATATCAATTTGGAAAGAATTGAGATTTTAATGATATTAAGTCTTCTGATCCTGAATATGGTATGACTCTCCATTTATTTAGCTCTTCATTAATTTCCCTCAGCAATGTTTTGTAGTTGTGAGTGTACATATATCTTTCACAACTTTTGTCAGATTTATTCCTAAGTATTTCATATTTTTGATGCTATTGTAAATGGTATTATTTCCTACATTTTATTTATGGTTGTTTGTTCCTAATACATATACAATTGATTTGTATATGCCCATCCTGTATCCTGCAAACTTGCTAAACTCACTGATTGGTTCTAGTTGGGGTTTTTTTTGTGTGTGTATTCCAAAGGATTTTCTATGTAGAATATCATGTTTTCTGAGAATAAAGCAGTGTTATTTTTTTCCTTTTAAATTGGAATAACCTTTAATTCCTTATCTTGCCTTATTGCTTTGGCTAGAATCTCCAGTACAATGTTGAATAGTAGTAAGAATAGACACTTGTTTTATTCTCAGTCTTAGCAGTCTTTCACTATTAAGTATGATGTTAGCTGCAGGGTTTTTTGTAGATGCCCTCTCTCAAGTTGAGGAAGTTCTCTTCTCCTCATCATTGCTGGCAGTTTTCATTAGAAATGATTGTTGGATTCAGTCAAATACTTTCCTGTACCTATGAAATGATCATATAGCTTTTCTTTTGTAATTTGTTAACAGGATGAGTCACATTATTTATTTATTTATCCATTTATTTTAAGAGCTGGAGACTACAGCACTACGTTGGTTTTTAAAAATGTTAAACCCACTTTGTATCCCTGGGATAAACACTGCTATATAATATGTTGTCCTATTAACATACTGTTAGGTTTGATTTCCTAAAATTGTTTAGAATTTTGGTGTTTATGTTCATGAAATATGTTGATCTTTAACTTTCTTTTCTTATAATGTATTTGTCTGCTTTTATTATCAGGGTAATGCTCACTTTATAAAATTGGTTGGGTAAGCATTCTATCTTTTCAATTTTTTGGAAGAGTTTGTGTAGAATTGCTGTTATTTCTTCCTTAAATATTTGGAGGATTCACCACTGAAGTCATTTGAGCCTGGAAATTTTTGTGGGATGGGTTTAAACCAAAAACAAAATTTCCTTAGTAGTTATAGGGCTATTCAGACTATTTCTTTTTGAGTGGGCTTTGGTAGTTGTGTTTTTTGAGAGAATTTTTTATTTTACCTATTTATATATTGCACTTACTGGCATAAAGTTCTGCATATATTTTCTTATTATTGTTTTAATATATATATAGAACCTTTACTGATGATACCTCTCATTTGTCATGCTGATAATTTGTATCTTCTAAAATTTTATCGATTTTATTATCTCAAAGAACCAGCTTTTGGTTCATGGATTTTCTCTATTTTCCTGTTTTCCATTTTATTGATTTCCACTTTGATTTTTATTTCCTTTGACTTACTTTGGCTTTCATTTGCTCTTACCCTCCCTCTCTCCCTCCCTCCCTCCCTCCCTCCCTCCCTCCCTTCCTTCCTTCCTTCCTTCCTTCCTTCCTTCCTTCCTTCCTTAACTACACCCTCATTTCAGCAATAATTTCTCATTTCTTAAGGTGGAAGCTGAGGTAATTGATTTGAAACTTTTATTCTTTTATCATTTAGTAAATCTCCTAAGTACTGCTTTAGCAGCATGCCACACATTTTGATACTGGGTTTCATTTCATTCCATTCAAGATACTTTCTAGGCCGGGCACGGTGGCTCAAGCCTGTAATCCCAGCACTTTGGGAGGCCGAGATGGGCGGATCACGAGGTCAGGAGATCGAGACCATCCTGGCTAACCTGGTGAAACCCCATCTCTACTGAAAAATACAAAAAACTAGCCGGGCGTGGTGGCGGCGCCTGTAGTCCCAGCTACTCGGGAGGCTGAGGCAGGAGAATGGTGTGAACCTGGGAGGCGGAGCTTGCAGTGAGCCGAGATCTCACTAGTGCACTCCAGCCTGGGCCACAGAGCGAGACTCTGTCTCAAAAAAAAAAAAAAAAAAAGATACTTTCTAATTTCTCTTTTGATTACTTCAATAGAGCCATAGGCTATTTAGAAATGTGTTACCTAATTTCCAAAAAGGTGGAAATTTTCCAAATGTCTTTCTCTGATAGATTTCTAATTTAGTCAGAGAACCAATTTTATGTTACTTGGATCATTTTACACTTACTGAGATTTGTTCTCTGGTCTAGGATATGGGCCTATCTTGTTAGAATATTTCATGCTCACTTGAAACTAATGTATATTCTGCTGTTGGACTGCTGGATAGAATATTCAATAAATGTCAACTAAGTTGAGTTGGTTGATACAATTTTCAAATCTTTTATGTCTATACTGATTTTCTGTATACTTATTCTATAAATTATTGAGAGAGGGCTATTAAAATTTTTAACATTTATCAGGAATTAGTTTATATATTTCTCTTGGTAGTTCTGTCAGTTTTTGCTTCATGTATTTTGAAGCTGTTATTAGGTGAATATGCACTTGAAATACTGATTGATTAATGGACCCTCGAGTAATTGACCCTTTAATCATTATGAAATGACCTTCTTTACCCTTGGTCATATTCTTTGCTCTGAAATTTACTTTGTGTAACATTAAGATAAACTTTACAGATTTATTTTGAGTAGTATTAGCATGGTATATCTTTCTATCCTTTTACTTTTCACCTCTTCATGTCTTTTTTATTCGAAGTCATTTTTTTTAAGGCAGCATATAGTTGAGTCTTGTCAGTTTTTTAAAAGCCAATCTAACAATCTCTGTCTTTTATTTGGGATACTTAGACCATTTGCATTTAATACAATTATCCATATAATTAGGTTTAACTCTATCATCTTATTATTTGTTTTCTATTTGTACTATCAGTTATTTGTTTCCCCTTTCCCTCTCCTCCTGCTTTCTTTTGGAATAATTGAATATTTTTTATTATTCCATTGTTAGCTTTCTTCTTTTTGTTGGCTTATTAGCTGTAACTTTGTTGTGTTATTTTAGTGGTTGTTTTAAACTTTGTGGTATACATCTTTAACTTATCACAGTTTATCTTCAAGTGATAATGTACCACTTTGTATATATAAGAACCTTAAAATGTTACAATTTCATTTCTTTCCTCCTGATCTTTGTGCTATTGTTATACATTTTTATATGTTATAAAATCCATATTACATTGTTTTTATTTTTGTTTACCAATTATCATTTTAAAATATTTGAATAACAAGAAAAACATTCTATGTGTTTATCTGTGTAATTACTATTTCTAAAGTTCTTTATTACTTTGTGTAGATTCATATTTCTATCTGGTGATATCATTTCACTCTCCCTGAAGGAGTTTCTCCAACGTTTCTTATAGTTCAGTTCTGCTTGTGATAGATCGTTTCAGGTTCTGCAGGTCTTAAGAACAGTTATTTCACTTTCATTTTTGAACAGTATTGTTGCTGGGTATAGAATTCCAGGTTGACAGCTTTTTTCTTCCCGCCCCCCTCCTTTATTACTTTAACAAATGTGCTTCCTCATCACTGTCTTCTCTTTTGCATTGTTTTAAATGAGAAATTTGATGTTATCTTTGTCTGTACATATGTGTCCTTTATCTCTGGTGACTTTTAAGGTTTTCCCTTAAAAGCTCCATATTCTGGTTTAAGTAATGTGATTATGATGCACCTTGGACTAGTTTTTTTTTTATTTTTATTTTTTTTTGTCTTGGTGTTTGTTGAACTTTTTGGATCTATAGGTTTATAGTTTTCATAAAATTTGTAAACATTTCAGTTATTATTTCTGTAAGCTTTTTCTCACCCTTTTATTTCTTTCATCGACTCCCATTACATTAAGCTGTTTGAAACTGTCTCAGCACTTAGGCACACCTGTTCTTTTTAAAATTTTTCTTTTTTTTTTATTTCTGAGATGAGTCTCGCTCTGTCGCCCAGGCTGGAGTGCAGTGGCACAATCTCGGCTCACTGCAAGCTCTGCTTCCCGGGTTCAAGAATTATCCTGCCTCAGCCTCCCAAGTAGCCACTATGCCAGGCTAATTTTTGTATTTTTAGTAGAGATAGGGTTTCACTGTGTTGGCCAGGCTGGTCTTGAACTCCTGACCTTGTGATCTGCTCGCCTCGGCCTCCCAAAGTGCTGGGATTACAGGCGTGAGCCACCGCGCCTGGCCAATTTCGTATTTCTATAAATATTCTTGAGCTCTGTTCTGGGACCAGTGAAGTTACTTGCTCTTTTTACATCTTGCTTTTAAGATTTGTTAGGTAGGACTAGAAGTGTGCTCAGTCTAGGGATAAATATTCCCCATTACTGAGGAAATGCCCTTCTGCATACTCTGCCTAATGCCTGGTGAATCTTGAGATGATCTACTCTGGCAGCATGTGAGCACCATTACCTTTAATCATTTTGAATGGTTCTTTCCCTCACCTCAGTTTTCTCACACGAATGCACTGACTAGTACTCAGTTGAAAGCTTGAGGGGACGCTCTGCCGATAAGCAGATTTTCCTCTCTGTGCAGCTCTCTCTTCTGTGGTATTCTGTGTCCCATGAACTCTCCCGTCCACTTTGCCAGCAGATGACAGGTCCATGGTAGAGAAAACATCAGTATATCTGGCATCAGTCGTCTTGTCTCCACCAATGCTTATAGAAGCAGAAGGAGACAGATTATTAGCTTAGTTCATTTCGTGTTGCTACAACAGAACACCTGAGATGGGTCATTTATAAGGAACAGATATTTATTTCTTATCGTTTTGGAAGTTGGGAAGTCTAGGGCAGGAGTCCACCTCTGGTGAGGGCCTTCTTTTTCGTGTCATCCCATGGCAGAAGGCAGAAAGGCAAGAGAATATTCATGCAAAAGACAGAGAGCCAAATAAACCTTTTTTTTTTCTTTGACAGGGTCTTGCTCTGTCACCCAGGCTGGAGGGAGGGCAGTGGCACACTCACAGCTCGCTGCAGCCTCGAACTCCCAGGTTTAATCAATCCTCCCACCTCAGCCTCCTGAGTAGCTGGGATTACAGGCACACACAGCCATGCCCAGATAATTTTTTTGTATTTCTTTTAGAGACAGAGTTTTCCCATGTTGCTCAGGCTGGTCTTGAACTCCTGGGCTCAAGTGATCCTCCTACCTCAGCCTCCCAAAGTGCTGGGATTACAGGTGTGAACCACCATGCCTGGCCCAAACTGACTTTTATAACAAACACATTCTCACAGTAATAACATTAATCCATTCATGAGGGCAGAGCCCTCATGACTTACATCTTATTAGGCTCCACGTCCCAACACTGTTGCAGAGGGAATTAGGTTTCCAACACACACACTTTAGGGGATACATTCAAACCACAACAATGACTGAAAGGGCTTCTGATTTCAGCCTACTAAAAGACTACCTGACATTAAGAGCAATGATTTCTTCGAAAAGAATTATGGACTGTGGGCTTTGCCAATGCTCCTAGACATCTGTTTTTTAATAAACTCCTTGTTATTGCCAAAAGTTATGTGTTAGGCAGTAATTGTTCAGTGGGGAACAAACTTTAATAGGTATAGACTGAAACTTTGCAGTGAAAAAAGGCAAGAGACCGTGTAGATCTCACGTAACACGGTGACTCTTGATCTCTGCTGTGGTTCCAAACATCTAGGCAGCTGTCTCCTGCGGCTCAGCATGTTCTCTACCTCCGAGATTCTGACTGGCAGTATGGGTTGGTCATGGGAGGAGGTGAGTGCAGACCAGGAGGAGAATAGACCCAGGAAATGAACAGCCTGTTTTCTAACCACAGGTGCCTTCTTCATCCCCTACCTCGTCTTCCTCTTTACCTGTGGCATTCCTGTCTTCCTTCTGGAGACAGCGCTAGGCCAGTACACTAGCCAGGGAGGCATCACAGCCTGGAGGAAGATCTGCCCCATCTTTGAGGGTGAGTAGCTCTGTACCTGATTCTAAAGCATCTTCATTAGTGGTTATGAACCTTATTTGGAATGACTTGAGTGATTAGTAGCAGTTCTGAGGTTAAGATAAGACTGTGAGTCTCTACGCTAAACCCTTGGTTTGTGGGCTGCATGCTAAGCTAGTCAGCTGATCCATCAGAGAATGGGCGAGAAACAGCAGCGAGGATGGGGCTAAGGTTTTAGGTTAAGTAAGTAGAGTGCAAAGCTACTTTAGCTATATGTTTTAAACACATAACTATGTTGTTGTATTTTAAGACATATTTAAATCAATTATAAAAATTTTAAAAGAGAACTTTAAATGAGAAAAAATTATTTCATTAATAGTTCTATCTTGGCTGGGCGTGGTGGCTCAGGCCTGTAATCCCAGCACTTTGGGAGGCCGAGGCGGGTGGATCACCTGAGGTCAGGAGTTTGAGACCAGCCCGGCCAACATGGTGAAATTAAAATACAAAAATACAAAAAATACAAAAAATTAGCTGGGTGTGGTGGCGGGCACCTGTAATTCTAGCTACTCAGGAGGCTGAGGCAGGAGAATCTCTTGAACCTGGGAGGTGGAGGTTGCAGTGAGCCGAGACTGCACCACTGCACTCCAGCCTGGGCGACAAGAGCGAAACTCTGTCTCTTAAAAAAAAAAGAAGTTCTATCTTGACACAAGTATTTAAAATTTACAGTATTTAATTTCATTATTTCTCCATATATAGGATTTTCTTTAGTTTTTATTTTGAAATAATTACAGATTCACAGGGAGTTACAAAAATAGCAGTTTTCCTCAATGGTAAATTGAACTCCCAGCCTCAGACAATCCTCTCACCTCAGCGTCCCGCATAGCTGAGATGACAGGTGCACGCCACCGCCGTCCGTCTTCCCTACCCCAATTCTGCAGTTTCCCCGCAGGCATTGGCTACGCCTCCCAGATGATCGTCATCCTCCTCAACGTCTACTACATCATTGTATTGGCCTGGGCCCTGTTCTACCTCTTCAGCAGCTTCACCATCGACCTGCCCTGGGGCGGCTGCCACCATGAGTGGAACACAGGTACAGTCATCTCCCGAGGTTCCGCTTCCTCCTCCCGTTCTGCCACATTCACCGGAAGTGGGATTGTCCCTGTATCCCAGCTTAACACGGACACACCAGAAATCACCCAAGCAGATCATGGAGAGCTTATGTCAAGAATAAGATCGAGAATTTACCAGCCTCCCAGGCAAAATGTCAGGAACTTTTTAAAGAAAAAATTAACATCTTCAATGAGAACTGACCACTGTTATGTTGTTTAGCCATTTACTAAATCAACTTGGAATATGGTTAGTTTGATATATGGATACATGTCTTGTTCATTCATTTGTTTCTCATATCTTCTTTCTGATACATTTTAGGTCTTTCAAACTTGCAATTCATCCGGACTTGCTTGTGGGGGTGGCAGAGGCGGGAGAAAATCCGCATACAAGTGGACCCGCACAGTTCAGATCCATGTTGTTCAAGGGTCTGCTGTGATTTATAATAGCAATTGCAGTCGTGTGTCACTGAATGACAGGGTACACTCTGAGAGATGCACTGTTGGCATTTTGTCCTGTATGAACATCACAGAGTGCACACACACACCCCTACATGGCACAGCCCATCACACACCTGGGCTGCGTGCTGTAATACTGTACTGAACACTGTAGGCACGTGTAGCACAGTGGTAGGTGTTTGTGTATCTAAACATAGTGAAACCTAGAAAAGGTACAGTGAAGATGCAGTATTTTATAATCACACGGGAACACTGTCATATAGGTGATCGACTGTTGACTGAAATGTTGCTGTGTGCTGCGTATCTGTAATTTCTCCTGTGCTTGTAAGACTACCTGAGCCACCCATGGTAATAGAACTACTGACTCTAATGTATAGAAAGTAACGAAAACAGGCCGGGCGCAGTGGCTCACGCCTGTATTCCCAGCACTTTGGGAGGCCGAGGCGGGTGGATCACGAGGTCAGGAGATCAAGGCCATCCTGGCTAACACGTGAAACCCCGTCTCTACTAAAAATACAAAAAATTAGCCGGGCGAGGTGGCGGCACCTGTGGTCCCAGCTACTCGGGAGGCTGAGGCAGGAGAATGGCGTGAACCCTGGAGGCAGAGCCTGCAGTGAGCTGAGATCGGCCACTGCACTCCAGCCTGGGTGACAGAGCGAGACTCTGTCACAAAAAAAAAAAAAAAAGAAAATAACAACAACAACAAAAATATCTAGGGAAAAGCTGTCCGAAAGAACTGTCTGTAATGACGAAAATGTTCTTTGCACTGTCCAATACGGTAGCTATTAATACCAGCTACGTGTGGTTATCTATTGATTTACCTTTTCTGGGCAGTCGCAGTGAACCAGTGTAGGTTTGGCGTGACTCCTACATGTGGTTATTGCGCATCTGAAATGTGGCAAGTGGTCGGAGGAACAGAACTTTGACACGTGCATGGAATGTTAACTTAAACAGCCACAGGAGGCTCGTGGCTGCCCCAGTGGACAGCGTGGCTGGAGAGCACAGGGGGCATTCTTCAGCTTGGATTCTTGGCGCATCCCTCTCTCCTTGTCCAAGTGTCTTCCAGTGCCAGTCAGCGAGGCCCTACCCCTTCGAAGTGGGCTAGCCGTGATTAACTCTGTCTTTCTTTTTTGTCTTTCTGTGTGTTCGAGATGGAGTCTCGCTCTGTCGCCCAGGCTGGAGTGCGGTGGTGCGATCTCAGCTCACTGCAAGCTCCGCCTCCCGGGTTCAAGCAATTCTGTTTCCGCATCCAGAGTAGCTGGGATTACAGGCGCCACCACCACGCCCAGCTAATTTTTCGTATTTTTAGTAGAGATGGGGTGTCACCATTTTGGTCAGGCTGGTCTTGAACTCCTGACCTTGTGATCCCCCTGCCTAAGCCTCCCAAAGTGCTGGGATTGCAGGTGTGAGCCACTGCGCCTGGACCAATTCTTTCTCGCTCAGATAAGTTACTCTTACTCAATTCTGAACTGGAGTTTGAATCCTTTACTTACCCAGAAAAGCATTTTGCGTGGTTAGCATGATATTCTTTATCCCTTCATGACCTGACTCCTGCCACCTCACCTTTACCTCTCTCGCCTTGTACTTGCTGCTCCCCTTCCAGGCACGTCTTTGTGCATCACTGCCACCACCTCCATTCCACCCTGATTTTTCAAAGGGAAAGTAAACCTTGGGGGTACCTCCTCTGATACCCCAAGATCGCATGAGGCTCTTCTTAAATGTGTCTGGTGGCACCTGCACTGGCCCCGGCCCTACTGCTGCACTTCCCTCACTTTTCTTCTGCTTGTTGACTTGATTTTCCCACTAGTCATCAAGATCGTGAGGGCAGAAAAGGTGTCTTCATCTCCACAGCTTCTGTGTCTAGCACGGTGCTGGCTCTATCATAAGCACTCAAAACTATTGACTGAATGAATCGGGGTTTAAAGATCTGTTTTATTATAATTAGTCTGGGGGCAGTGGCTCACGCCTGTAATCCCAGCACTTTGGGAGGCTGAAGCCAGTGGATCCCTTCAGCTCAGGGGTTCGAGACCAGCCTGGGCAAGATGCTGAAACCCCATCTCTACTAAAAATACACAAATTGTGCCGGGGTGGTGGCACACACCCATGGCCCTCGCTACTTGGGAGGCTGAGACAGGAGGATCGCTTGAGCCTGGGAGGTGGAGGTTGCAGTGAGCCGAGACTGTGCCACTGCACTCCAGCCTGGGTAGTAGAGAGAGACTTGGTATCCAGAAAAAAATCTGTTTTATTGTAATTCTTTAGCTTTATATATATATTTCTTTTCTTCGTTTTTATTTTATTTTTAAAAATATCTTTGTGTACTGAAACCAGCCTTGACAACCAGCTTGTCAGAGGGTAAAGATTTTATCCAGATCTCAGTGGAGTCCCTCTTAAAACGATTTTGTCAATTTTTGGTGGCCTAGAGCGTTTGCTTCAGGGCATCGTTAGGCCTATCTTCCTTTGGATCGACTGGCGGTCTCTGGGACAATTCTGAGGCAAATTGAATACCTGAGTGTTATTTTTTGACATTGTTGACATCTCTCCCGGTGAGCCTGGTTTTACTCAGAGCCTAGCATTTGAACAGCACAAGACACGCCGTCCTGCCAAGATGAAATAATGCTTTTCTGGGTGTGCTGCAGTGTCAAGGAAAGTGAATGGTTTAGTGGACAGAGCTCCCAGCTGGCCTTCAACCACCCAACAGATATTTGTTGAGCTCCTGCTATATGATACCAGGCTCTGTTCTGAGCACTGGGAATATGGTAATAAACAAAAACAAAGACCCCATCCTCCTGGCCACCCTCATTCTAGCGGTGGGAGGTAGAGACGTAAACAAGACAAGTGGACGGGACATGTCCGGTTAGAAAGCAGCAGGACATGTCATGTTAGAAGACGGGCTACGGAGGAAAATAAGACAGAGACTGAGTTTTATGGGTGGGGTTGCAATTTTCAGTGGCATGGTCAGGAACGGCCTTACTGAGATGCCCCTTCAGCACTGGTCTCAAGGAGGAGGGGAATGAGGCATTGAGCTGGGGGACAAGAACTCTAGGAGGAAGGAGCTGAGGCGGCACCTAACACGCCCCGTGTGCGCAGGGAACAGGGTGGATGTGGGAGGGCAGGTGGCTGAGGGAATGGTGCGGGAATGGATCCAGTAGGGCCTTGAAGGCAACTAAAGGGGTTGCGGCTTCTTCCTGTGAGTGGGATGGGAAACCGATTGGAGGCCTTGACCTGGGGTGTGACATAGAGTGATCTAAGGTTTAACAAAATGGAGATTTCACGAGGGGAGCAAGGGTGAAAACTGAAGGCCAAGTAGGAGCCCGGAGCGGATGATGCCTACCCTCTACCAGGGTGGTGGTAGTAGAGGTGACAAGAAGGATCCGTCTAGGTATTTTGAAGGTGGAACCCAGACAACTTGCTGACCTGGGTTCCGGCCTACACTTGCTCATTCACGAGCAGATACAGGCCATTTCTAAGACGATCCACTGTCTTCATGGGCACAATGGAGAAAACAGTATCTGTTTTAATATTTCCCAGGATTATTGTATTTATCAAACATAAAAAAGTCAATACTCTTTGTAAAACTCCAAAGTCACATACAAATAATAAAGAGCACTCTACCTCCACGTGTTCATTTAATTTCTTATCAATCCTACGCAATGGATCTTACTATCTACAGTTTGGAGACGAGGGAAGCCAAACACGGAGAACTGAGTTATAACTTACCCCCAGACGCACAGTTCATACCCGGGGGGTCAGCATTCAAGCCAGAGCTAACCCGTGCTCTTGGCCATTCTGACACGTCACTTCCCCAGAAACCGTTCTTCTTATTCCTCAAAGGTGGTGACTTTGCACAGGGTTGCCATCTGATCATACTTAAGGAGAATATATACCCAAGCATCTATGTACCCACATGTCCAAGTGTGCAGTAGAGAGTCAGCTGCGTTTGTTGAGGTTACTGTGTGTGGGAGGATGTTTTGTGCAGATAACCTTCGCCTGGCTTCTGCCAAATACCTTCCTTCCCATTCTCCTGGAATTTCACCCCGCTCTCTAGTTGTGTCATATGCTGGCTGGTGATTTTTCTCTTTTTTCCCTCCTCGTGACCCATGGCTAGAACACTGTGTGGAGTTCCAGAAGACCAACGGCTCCCTGAATGGTACCTCTGAGAACGCCACCTCTCCCGTCATCGAGTTCTGGGAGTAAGTGAGACCCTTCCCCACCCAGTGTGGGCCATGTGTTCAGAAGAAGGGTATGGGGAGGAGGTCACACCAAGGTCACTCTCAATAGACAGCAAGGGAAGAATTTCCACTAAGTGGCTTTTTTCTGTGGTGCCTGTGTTTGTGGTTATTGCAGGACTTGCTTCAGAGATAAGATTCCATGGCCGGGCGCGGTGGCTCAAGCCTGTAATCCCAGCACTTTGGGAGGCCGAGACGGGCGGATCACGAGGTCAGGAGATCGAGACCATCCTGGCTAACCCGGTGAAACCTCGTCTCTACTAAAAAAATACAAAAAACTAGCCGGGAGAGGTGGCAGGCGCCTGTAGTCCCAGCTACTCGGGAGGCTGAGGCAGGAGAATGGCGTCAACCCGGGAGGCGGAGCTTGCAGTGAGCTGAGATTAAGCCACTGCACTCCAGCCTGGGCAACAGAGCAAGACTCCGTCTCAAAAAAAAAAAAAAGATTCCTGCAGTTCTCTTCGGGCTGTGCCTGGCCTTCCTTGCCTGCACCCCTGCCCCACGTCAGAGAGTGTGTGTGCATATATGCTCTCACTCCGCACTTCCTCCTCCCTGTGGCTACAAGTGTGTGGACTGTGACCCACCCCTCCCCCCAGTACTGATATTCACCCAGGGCAAGAGTCCTGCTGTCAAAAAGTCCTGAAACCTTGGTTGGGAACGTAGGTGCCTGCACCTCCTTCCCCTGGCTGGAGACAAAGCACTCAGAGCAAACTTACCTGGGACAGTCTCCATTCTCCACCTTTCTGCAGTCTCCGTTCTCCACCTTTATGTCCACCTCCAGCTCTGCAGTCTCCATTCTCCACCTTTCTGCTGTCTCTGTTCTCCACCTTTATGTCCACCTCCAGCTCTGGGCTAAGGATGGCCTCATGTGAAGAGAGCAGAGAAGCCTTCGGACAAGAGCCGGGACGCACAGCTCGGCTCCACTGTCCCAGGAACGGGGCCACAAAACTGAGGCTGGCAGAAAAAGTAAGCCAGGTTCAACCCTTCTTTCCCCAGGCGGCGGGTCTTGAAGATCTCTGATGGGATCCAGCACCTGGGGGCCCTGCGCTGGGAGCTGGCTCTGTGCCTCCTGCTGGCCTGGGTCATCTGCTACTTCTGCATCTGGAAGGGGGTCAAGTCCACAGGCAAGGTTCGTGTGGGGAGCTCCTGCCCCTCCCATCCCTGGACTCCCTGTCCTCACTAGGGGCTGTCACCCAGGAGTTCTGGAAGCTGTGGCCCCGTCGAGGATGGGAGGCGATGACCCAGCAAGGATTTGATGCAGCTTCCGTCCTTGCTTCTGTGCCTCTCCTGGATTCACGTGCTTCTCGATTTTGGGACTGGAAGAGAGCGAGAAAGACAGGAAGGACACCTCCAGGGTAATCTGATCTTGGAACTGATGATGTGTGGGCACATTGCGAATTGAACACGAGTCATGGTTCCCTAATTCATACAACAGTTCTTTGGAAAAAGAATTCCATGAAGACTCTTCATCTCAAAATGACTCTTAACCAGCTCAAGAATTCCGGGGGACTCTTTGCCCTGGAGCAAAGAGGGCATTCTGAATTCTTCCTAACTCTTGCCCTGGGAGCCTCTCCTAATCTGGCTGCCTGGTTTGTGCTAAGCTATGTGAGGACAGGGGTCATGTGTCACAGATCTTTTCATATCTGACAATCCTTGCCATAAATGCCAAGCACACTTGTTGGGAGAATGCCAAATGTCAGTCACTCAACAAATATTTATTGAAGATGTGTCAGGAGAGGCGGGAGCTTTTAGCTGGAGGGAGGAAGGGAAGAGGGGAGGCTGTGGCTCAAGGGATAGGGGAGATGGAACTATATCAGGGAACCGGCCTCCAGTATTTCAATGTAGGTTCTTTCTATTTTCCATAAGTGTCAGCCAACTGAGAAATAAAGAGAGACAGTACAAAGAGAGGAATTTTATAGCTGGGCTGCCGGGGGTGACATCACATATCAGTAGGCCCGTGATGCCCACCTGAGCCTCAAAACCAGCAAGTTTTTATTAAGGGTTTCAAAAGGGGAGGGGGTGTAAGAACAGGAGTAGGTACAAGGATCACATGCTTCAAAGGGCAAAAAGCAGAACTACTAATAAGGGTCTAACAAAGATCACATGCTTCTGAGGGAACAGGACAAGGGGCAAAAGTAGAGCCACTAATAAAGGTCCAACAAAGATCACAGGGCAAAGGGCAAAAGCAGAACTACTAATAAGGGTCTATGTTCAGCGGTGCACGTATGGTCTTGATAAACATCTTAAACAACAGAAAACAGGGTTCGAGAACAGAGAACCGGTCTGACCACAAATTTACCAGGGTGGAGTTTTCCCCACCCTAGTAAGCCTGAGCGTACTGCAGGAGACCAGGGCGTATCTCAGTCCTTATCTCAACTGCATAAGGCAGACATTCCCAGAGTGGCCATTTATAGACCTCCCCCCAGGAATGCATTCCTTTCCCAGAGTATTAATATTAATATTCCTTGCTAGAAAAAGAATTTAGTGATATCTCTTCTACTTGCACATCCACTTACAGGCTCTCTGCAAGAAGAAAACTATGGCTCTTTTTGCCCGACCCCACAGGCAGTCAGACCTTATGGTTGTTTCCCTTGTTCCTCAAAAATCGCTGTTATTCTGTTCTTTTTCAAGGTGCACTGATTTCATATTGTTCAAACACACGTGTTTTACAATCAATTTGTACAGTTAACACATTTATCACAGTGGTCCTGAGGTGATATACATCCTCAGCTTACAAAGACAACAGGATTAAGAGATTAAAGTAAAAACAGGCATAAGAAATTATAAAAGTATTATTTGGAAACTGATAAATGTCCATGAAATCTTCACAATTTATGTTCCTCTGCCATGGCTCCCAGCCGGTCCCTCCATTCGGGGGGTCCCTGACTTCCCGCAACAGAACTAAACAGCTGCGGGCGAGCTGGGAGCAGGAGGAACACTCCCTTGACCTTTTCTGAGGAGCTCCTGCCCCTGCCTCCTGCGCCTGCCACTTCCTCACTCACAAGCTCCTTGTCTCTCATTTGCCCATGACCAGGTGGTGTACTTCACGGCCACATTTCCTTACCTCATGCTGGTGGTCCTGTTAATTCGAGGGGTGACGTTGCCTGGGGCAGCCCAAGGAATTCAGTTTTACCTGTACCCAAACCTCACGCGTCTGTGGGACCCCCAGGTAAGAAACCACAGACAGGAGCCCTCACGTGACTCCCGGGGCACCTGAGCTCCAGGCTTTCCCTGCACTCTGGCAGGGAACCCCCGCACCTAGCACTACCCTGGGATGTCCACAGTGGCAGCAGGGGTGCACCCTTCCTTCTCTAGATATCTGTTTGTTGCTGGAAAGGGGTCTCAATCCAGACCCCAAGAGAGGGTTCTTGGACCTTGCACAAGAAAGAATTTGGGGGGAGTAGAATAAAGCAAAAGCAAGCTTATTAGGAAAGTAAAGGAGGCCAGGTGCGCTGGCTCACGCCTGTAATCCCAGCACTTTGGGAGGCCGAGGTGGGTGGATCATTTGATGTCAGGAGTTTGAGACCAGTCTGGCCAACATAGTGAAACCCCCCCTCTACTAAAAAATACAAAAATTAGCCGGGCGTGGTGATGGGAGTCTGTAATGCCAGCTACTCGGGAGGCTGAGGCAGGAGAATCACTTGAACCCGGGAGGCGAATGTTGCAGTGAGCTGAGATGGCGCCACTGCACTCCAGCCTGGCCAACAGAGTGAGACTCTGTCTCTAAAATAAAATAAAATAAAATAAAGGAATAAAGAATGGCTGCTCCATAGGTAGGATGCCCCAGGGCTACTGGTTGCCCATTTTTATGGTTATTTCTCGATTATATGCTAAACAAGGGGTGGGTTATTCATCAGTTTTCCGGAAAGGTGTGGAATTCCCAAAACTGAGGGTTCTCCCCCCATGTCAGACCATAGAGGTTAACTCCCTTCGCATTTGTAAACTGTCATGGCACTGGTGGGAGGGTCTTTTGGCATGCTAACGCATAGTGATTTGCATGTAAAGAGTGGTGAGGAAGACCAGAGGTCACTTCTGTCGCCATCTTGGTTTTCGCGGGGTTTGGCTGTCTCCTTTACTGAAACCTGTTTTATCAGCAAGGTCTTTATGACCTGTGTCTGGGGACGTGACGACCTCCTGTCTCATCCCGTGACTGAGAATGCCTCACCTCCTGGGAACACAGCCCAGTAGGTCTCAGCTTTATTTCACCCAGCCCCTGTTCAAGCTGGAGTTGCTCTGGTTCAAATGCCTCTGACGTGTTAGCAGCTGTTTGTGGTCATAAGGTGTCGGACACTGTCCCTTCTTGGGTTCACAGCTGCCAGGGAACCCAGGCAAATTTTACTAGGGTAATATTTCTAGTAATATTTCTCAAGGGCCGCAAGTGTCACTCACAGTCCTTACTCGGGTATCCTTCTCCCATCCTCTCCCCACCCACTTCATACATTTATCTTTTAGGGGCTTGTCTCCTACTGAGCTTCCTCTTTAATTCTTACCCCTCAATCTGCCTCCTGGCTCCCTCCCTCTGCCCATGTGACCCACGTCTAGGTCCCAGCTCCCTGGCCCTGCCCTCAGCCAGCTGGGCTAGTGTTAAGTTTCCCTGTCAGATGTCCAGAGACTCCGGGTCTCCTCCCCACCCTGCCTTCATGGTCTGTACTCCCTCTGCTACAGCTGTTTCACCGTCTGGTAGGGAGAGCTGGTGTTGCCTGCTGCCTGAAGGGGGTTGAAAAGCAAGACCTGGAATGGGCCGCCCCCGCCTCTGACAGGTCTCTTACCTTCCCCTGTTTGGCAGCCAGTTGAAAGCTGGCAAAGCTAGGAGGTGTTGAGGGCCGGAGGGGAGCGTGGGTAATCTCTGCCCCAGAGGCCCTGAAATGTTACGCGGTTATGCCCTGCCTCTGCCTCCTGGGCGCAGAGGCCACCCTGCCGGGGGAGTGAGTGTGCGACCTGGAGACCCTCCTCTTGTTGCCGGAGGATCTCTCTGTGTCTGTGAAAGAAGCCCCAAGGAGACATAAGGGCGAGTGGCTCCCACACATAGAAGACACTGGGATGGCTCCAAACGTTTTAAAATAGTCGGGCACCAGCATATTCACGACGTTGCTGACAGGGAGCAAGAGAAAGGGGACAGGCACACCGAGGCTGGGAGCTCCGTGCACACAGGGGCAACAGCTCCCCCTGGTGCGGAACGTCAGGCGATCCGGAAGCCACGCCGTTCTCCGTCTCCTGGCCACTGCGGCCCGCTTTTGATTCTTTCATCCTGAGCTCTACTGGGACGCTGTGGCTTCCGGAAGCAGCCAGACCACTGCTCTTCAGAAACCTCCCTGCAGAGTCCAGTAGCCCTGGTCCTGAGTGTTTCTCAATAACTGTCTGGTGGGATAGAGGCTTATCTTTCCCTTCTCCCATTTCTCAGCCAGCACAGAGAGAGGATTGCTACTGCCGCATGTCCACGCCGGGCACTAGGGCTGCAGTCAGACTTTGGAGCCAAACTGTCGAAGCACAACTGGGATCCTTCTAGGACCCCAGTGCATGTTCCTCATTGTAAGATGAGCCCACCGTGGCCTAAGTTTGTGCAGCCAGTAATTATGGCAGACCAGGCAAAGGATATCTTTGTTTTGTGAATCATAAGCCCTTTGACTTACCTAGAACCAAAGGGCTGTGGTGGACAGCAGGTGGCGAGCAGGAGTTGTGGGGGAAGCTGAGAGGAGGGGAGGCTTTGAAGGCCGGGTGAAGAGTTTGGCTTGGATTCCCCGCACACGAGAGAGCCACGGTGGTTCTGGAGCGGCAGAGTTGAGAACCAGTGGCTAAGCTACGAAGATCACTGACCACCTTTGTCCGCAGGTAGGCCAGAGAGGATGCAGGCAGGACCAGGAAAGGTGACAGGCAGAGAGGAAGGACAGAGGGGCTCAGTATTTCCACAACAGATTCACGGCTTTGTCCTGATCAGCTATTTACAGCTAACTACTAGGGCGTGCTTCCTCTGTCCCTGACATCGTTCAGAGGCTTACACGCCTTATTTCAGCAAACGCTCACAGCAGGTCAACCAGGCAACCCCATTTTATAGATTAGGACATTAAGGCCTAGAGAGCTTCAAGCATATTTTCACCCTCATACCTGCAGCTGGGACTGGGTCCGAAGGGTGACAAATGCCGTGCACTTTATGGTCCACTCTTGGAGACGAGGTCCCTGGCTGCTCACCTTTGTTTCTCTCACAGCTTATCAGAAAAAACCTGAATGAATCTACTATGAGTATCTACTACGTGCCGAATCTGTTCCAGTGCCACGTTTGGTACATAATAGCTTCCAGAAAACATAAAGAAGGTGGACCAGGTCGCTTTCAAGTTCTGAGCATTAATGAGGCCCTAAGTCTCTGTCTGGGTGACTGCAGGGACAAAGACCTCTTTCAGCCTGTGGCCTGGGATACCGTTCTTTCCATTCCAGCCAGCTTTGGGCCGTGCAGGCAGCGTCTGTCTTCCAAGTGCTTTGGGGCGGTGGGGAGGGGGCTGGGCCAAGTGCCAGGACGGGTCCTGAGCGGCCGCCTTCTCTGCCTGGTCCAAGTCTCATGCTGAAGCTGGGCCTTTGTTGTCAGTGAACACAGCAGCACCTGCGGGGTGTGGGGGCTCTGCCAGAGCCCTAATTGAATCTCGTTGGCACTCCCCGGGAAGTGTGATTATTCTCACTGGCATTTGCCTGGCACTCGAGAAAGGTGCAAAATTTCTTCTCCACGACACAGAGACCAAAGGCGGATCTCTCTGCCAAGCACTGAGGCTGGTGGTTGGGGGCCAGGCAGAGACCACGCCGTGCTCCCCTCTTGTTTGCTCCCCTTTTCCTGCCAGGCTTGCTGTGTGGGGGGCAGGTTGCTACCTTTCCCGGTGTTCCCAGGCCTTGTCTCGTCCCCCTGGAGAGTGGCCACTGGAGACCCAGGGCTCTGCTGGAACCCTGCGCTTTGTTCAGGCCACTCGTTTCTTTCCTGGGTCCTGGCCCTGTGCCCGTTCTGCTGCACTTTAGGAGATTGCCAAAGGCGGGGGACGGGAGGAGGGCACAAAGAGCCCTCCTGGAACCTTTTAAATCCCTACGTGAAGCAAGTCTAAGGGAAGGTTTGTTTGGGGAGGAAGTTGAAATCACCGATTAGAACTAGTCTTTATTTTAGCATTGAAATCCAATCTATGCCACCTCATTACCAATGAAAGATGAGTTGCTTTTTAAAATAATAGCAGTAAACAGTGGCCAAAGCTAACCTTATTGCGTCCTCCTTATTTGTCAGGCCCTTTGCCGAGTGCTTGACACAGTCCAACCCTGTGAGTGTGGGGTCAGCCTCATCTTACAGAGGGAGAAACAGAAGCTTAGGGAACCCAAGAAACTTGCCCAGAATCACAAAACTAGCACGCGGGGGAGCTTGGGTTGATCTCAAGTAGTTTTTCGAAGACTGCTGTGTCTTATTCACCGTGAAAGATATTTCCCAAAGAATATGAATTATTTGAGAGTTTTAAGAGCTGCTTTTTATTATTCTAGAAGGTGAGATGGGAAACGAATATTTATTTATGTGTTAGGCATTTCACATACATTATTTTATTTGTTATTATACCCATTTTCCTCAGGAGAAAAGGGAGGTTCAGGGAGGTTAAGCGACTTGCCTAAGGCCACACAGCCAGCAACTAATAAAGTCAGGAATTGAGCCCAGATTAACGTAACTTCAGAGGCCGTGCTTTTCCGTCACACCACATTGCCTTCCTAAAAACAGTAGAGAGAGGTGGATAATTCTGGGGGTTGGACTTGAGGCTGAAAACATTTCTCCCAGATCCTCTCTCCTCCTCTTTCCCCCCAAGACCTCTTTTTACCTGCGTTCCACCAAGAATTTTTCACACTTGTTTTTCCCTCGGTCGGCCTTCTGCCCTAGCCAAAGACGTGTCAGAGCTTTCTTCCAGACACCAGAGCTCCTGGCGTGGGCAGGGGGTGGGCGCCTGTGGTGGGAATGGAACAGCTTGCTCTGCGTGTCCCTCAGCCCTGCTTCTGACCCTGTTCTCTTCCCCAGCCCAGCAGGCTTGTCGGGCAGCAGCTGTGTGGGGAGCTGCGGCTTGCCAAGCTCCCAGCGAGGGGACTGTAGTCAAAGGCTTTGGTCAAAGAGTGCATTGACCCTTGTGCTCTGGGTTTCCAGCCCTCCCGCTGCATTTTCCTTGGTTCTCATTCATGTCTCCCCCAACTCAGTCTCCACATGACCCCACTCTGACCTCCCACCCCTGCCGAGGCGAGGTGAATGGCCAAGTCACGATTTCTCTTATTATTCCTTCCCAAGCACAAGTTCACGAAGCCGCCCATCTCAGGCTTGTGCCTCTGCCTGTGTGTGGGCAGCTACAGTGTGCTTCCTTGGGAACTCATGGCCCGGTCTGCACCCAGTGCACTGTCAGGCCCGGGAGCAAACGTCCAAGGCATGAGGCCTCCAGGCTCCTGAGCCACATCCTGAATGACCTTTTTGGGAGGAGGTGCCTGACCTCACGAAGGGGCAGTACCCAGGAGACACGCATTGGTCCTGAACCCTTCCACCTCTCACCCTGGGGAAACGCTTTCTCTATAAGCTCAGGGCCTTTCGCCAGAAGGTCCTGCTCTTGAAGCTGCCAGTAACGTAGCCGGTGAAGCAGGAATAAGATAGAACCAAGTGACTTTCATGCCAAAGTCAGTGAGTTTTCCTGAGATGACTATCTGTGCACGATCTGTGTGGTAGAGTTTTAGAAGAGAAAAGGATTTGGAACATCTCAAAGGAGGAAACAGACTGGCCAAGGCATCTCCTCAAAACTGGTGTGGCATCACACCGAAACTTTTTTTTTTTAACTGGGAGAAGCGAGACGCTGAAATTTGCAAGCACTCCCCTTGCCTGTCCTCAGAGTTGGTCTTTCTTTCCTACCGTTTCCTTCTCTAGCATTTCATTCCTACCACTTCCTTCTCTGTGTGATTTCCTCACTGGCTCCAGCCCCTCCAAATCCTCCTCTGTGCTTCTTGCTGCTGACCCCTTGTTCCTGGTGGCGCCTCCTGCCTCACAGACCATCTCAGGATGGGATTCCCAGTGAACTCAAGAATGGGAGGCTGGAGACATTCTCCCCTTCCCCCTACCGTCTTCCCTACTCTGTCCCTGGCCCTGCAGAATGGAAACATGATAAGAGGATGGGTGCCCTGGGTGCACCCCGATAGGGGCATCCCATACCTGGTGACCATTAGGATCACCCAGGAAGCTCTGAAAAGGATACGAGTTCTGGGTTCTCCTTCAGGCCTAGGGATTTAGCGTCTCGACTGGGGATGCTGACTGAGGAATCGGCGTGATTCTGAGGCGGTCAGCCTGCTGATGGATCCCTCGGGCCCCTACACTGCTGAGGAATGTGGCCGCTTTGGTAGGGGTGAGCGTGAAAGGAGGGAGCAAGGGGTAGGGGCTGAGGGTGGTGACCATGCCTAGGTAGGCAGGCAAAGACCAAGAAGGGACTGAGGAATTGGAGGCCTGATAGAGGGTTTTATGGAAAGTAGGGGCATGCTTGGGGGTACCGGAATGAGGCTGAGCAAAAGACACAGACGGGTCATCCGGTACCCTTTCCGTTAGGAACGCAGACACGTGAGGAACACCTGCTTGGATGTCTGCGTCCATAGCGGGGTGCTCCCTGGCTGTGCGCACGTCGCCGGGGCAGGAGTGCCTGGGGAGGGTCCTGCAGATCTGCGGGGTCACTCGGTCCTGTTGCCTTGATATTCTTTCTGTCTGGGATGTTATTCTAGCTGTTAGATCTAAATCACAACATGCACAGGCTGGGCGAGCCAGCTGAGATAATAACAATAACAGCCAACTCTATGTTTAGCTGGACTGTGATTTTTCCCCTCCCAAGCACTACAAAGCCCTTTTCAGAGGTGTTTCTGTTCATCCTTTTGCCTTTTTGCGGGCCGAGAATTACTCTCCCTGTCTGCAGACAGAGGTGGCTGAGATGTGAGGGGCAAAGCTACGTACTGGTGGTAGCCCTGATGTTAGGGAGAGTGTCCCGGAGACCCTGTGCCTGGATTCCTCCACACTGGTCGCAGGAGAAAGTGGGGGCAGAACCTAGGATCCAAACCTTGACAGGAGACCTAAGTTTGTTCTAGAGCCCTGTCCCACCCTCCTACACACTTCCACCACGGGTCTTTTAGTCTTTTTCGTTTTCTTTGAATGCTTAATGCCTGTCCTATCCTAGTAGTGCCCAAGAAACTTCATCCAGGAGCCCAGGGAGTAGAGCCCACCGGGGTGACAGAGGTCGCAGGATGCCAGCGTTGGCTGAGAACAGGTTTCTCACCATCCCTAGCCAGTGTCCGACTCAGCCACGTGCCTATGTCCTTCCATGGCTTGAATGGCCCGGCTTTCCTGGGAGTTCACCTTTCTTGCCCTTTCCCTTTGTAGGTGTGGATGGATGCGGGCACCCAGATCTTCTTCTCCTTCGCCATCTGTCTTGGGTGCCTGACAGCCCTGGGCAGCTACAACAAATACCACAACAACTGCTACAGGTGATTGGGGGCGTGGGGCCTGAGCCACACACCTGCATCTCTCTACTGTCCCTCCAGCCATGCTAGACGAGGGTGAGTCGGAGGGTGCATCAGCTCCTGGATCTGCCCCCCTGTCTACACTTCCATATCCAACACCCCAGGGCTACCAGGAGCTGCAAGGAGCCAACTGCAAGATGGACAGAGAATTGCATCTGAAAGGGTGGGATAGTTGTGATTGGCTGGGAGACCACAGCAGGAGGACCTGGCCTCCTGGCTGATGTAGAGGTTGGTGGGCTCAGGAGTGCTAGGTAAGCAAGTCTGAGAAGCACAACAGGTCTTTGAATAATGTCGTTTCCTTATAACTTTGATGAGAAAAAAAAAAAAAAAAACTGGTTTCATTATAGGTTGTTTTGCATAAAGTTGCAATTTGCAAGAATGTATCGATGATAAGTGAGGTCCTACTGTGATTAACAGTGTCATGCATTGCACCCCAGTCTTGCCTGCTTGGTAACTCTGCCCCCAAAACTTTGAATCCTTACCCATTTTTCACACCATCTCCCTCACTTCACGTCCTGTCCCCGTTGTTCTCTCCTTGCCTACCTGGTTTGTGCTCAGAAAATTTAAGCCAATTTTAATACCAGCTGAAGCATAGCTGAAATGAAATCATTCTTGTGCATCTCAACATTGAATTTAGGTGACTAAGAGTTACTTCTTGTTTGGGATCACCACGTCTCTATCCCTGTGTTGGGATGCTAGATGGGATCATGGCCGAGTGGTAGTGTCCCACGAGGTGTGGACCAGGATGGCAGAGAGAGGCGGCTGTGTGGCAGTTTGACACATCTAGATTCATGTTTTGCTTCCCTGGAGCCTCATTCTTTCAGGACTACCTTGATTTATTCCATGCCTGGGCTGGGGGGGCCAGGGAGTGTCGGAGGAGAGCCCATTGCTATGTGTGGTCCTCTGAATTCTGCCAGGTAGCCCTGCTCCGGCTTCCGTGAAGGGGCCAGGACAGTGTCCGTCAGGAGGGGCTGTGCTCCCAGACAGGAAGCGGGAGACGTCGCAGCCCCGTTCTGATCCTGCCATTCCGCCCTCTCCTCACCCCTGCCCCACAGGGACTGCCTCGCCCTCTGCTTCCTCAACAGCGGCACCAGCTTTGTGGCCGGCTTCGCCATCTTCTCCATCCTGGGCTTCATGTCCCAGGAGCAGGGGGTGCCCATTTCTGAGGTGGCCGAGTCTGGTGAGTGTTTCTGGGGCGGCCCGGAGGCGGGGAGCCTGGCTCAGACCTCTGGCAGCGAGGGTCGAGAGACGTTTCTGCATGTCGCCTACTCTGGGTGAGCTACGGCCACCATTCAGTGGATGCATTCCGGGATGGCCTGGGGGAGAACTGCAACAGTAATTCCAGCTTCAAAGAGGAGGCATGCAGTGAACATTTTTCTTCCCATCCTTGGCTTCCAGTTCATTACCCTGGAGGCAGCCAATGTTATCTGCTTCGTGTTTATCCTTCCAGAAATAGTTTAGACATATATGAGAAAAAATATATATACAGACATATACATGTGATACATATTACTATTTCTATTTCTTGCCTCCTTCTTAAAAAACCAAATGATAACACACTATATACACTGTTCTGTACCTTGTCTCATTTCGTTCATTTTAAAATGAATCTCAAGGGGAAGTTTCTATCAGCATATAGAGCTTCCCCCGTTTGTGAGTGACTGCCTTTCCGCCATGCAGTGCTGTTGTTGCTGCTTTCAAATAACATCAAGGCCCAGGCTCTGATCTGAATAAGCCGTAAAATGTTGCTCTTGCTCACCTATTTTTGCCCTGTAACAAGATGATATTTTTTTTTTTGAGACGGAGTCTCGCTATTGTCGCCGAGGTGGAGTGGCAGTTGGCACGATCTCAGTTCACTGCAGCTCGGGCCTCGGGTTCACGCCATTCTTTCCTGCCTCAGCCTCCCAGTAGGCTGGGACTACAGGGCCTGCACTCCTGGGCCAGTTTTTGTGGTTTTTTAGTAGAGGACGGGGTTTCCCGTGTTAGCCAGGATGGTCTCGCGATCTTCACTGACTCGTGATCTCCCGTACTCAACCTCCAAGTGCTGGGTTACGGCTGGCCACCGCACGCCCGGCACAAGGATGATTTTTTTACCATGGCATTCGAAGCACGGCCAGGCCACAAGGATGCAAGCCCTGGGTGGGGGAGGTCTGGTTCTTTTCATTTAAGGATCAGGTCTCTCTCGGCTTTTTTTTTTTTTTTGTTTTTAAACTTTTTGAGAGGGAGTTCTTTGCTCTGTCACCCGAGGCTGGAGTGTGGGTGACATGATCTTGGCCTCACTGAACCTCCGCTCTTAGCGCTGGGAAAGTTGATTCTCGTTGCCTCAGCTTCCTGAGAGGCTGAGATTACAGGCAGTTGCCACCACCCGGCTAACTTATTTGTATTTTTTAGTTAGAGACAGGGTTTCTCACCTGTTGGGCCAGGCTGGTCTTGAACATCGTGGAGCTCAAAGGTGGATCCACCCACCCCAACCTCCCAACTGGCTGTGTGGGTTATAGGATGAGCCTATTGTGCCTGGCCATGTCTCACTTTCTTTTTTTTTTTTTTTTTTTTTTTTTTTTTTTTTTTTGAGACGGAGGTTTTCGCTTGTGCTCCAGGTGGGAGTGCCAGTGGGGTGATCTCGGCTCACTGCAAGCTCCGGCCTCCCGGGTTCACGCCATCTCCCGCCTCAGCTCCCAAGTTAGCTGGCTACAGGCGGCCCGCACCACGCCGGCTCAGTTTTTTGTATTTGTTAGTAGAAGACGGACAGGTGCTCACCATGTTAGCCAGGACAGTCTCGATCTCCTGACCTCGTGATGCCACCCGCCTCTTAAAGAAAAACGCCTCCAAAGGTTGCGCTGGGATTACGGCTTGGCCACCTGCGCCCGGCCACCCATGTCTCACTTTCTAAGTGTGGACTGTATGCCAGGTGCTGGGCGAGGCACCCTGCTTGTACCATGCAACGGAAACCTGTGGGGCAGGCCCTGCACAATCCCCACCTCACCAGTGTGGGAGCTGGGACTGGCAGAAGCAAAAGACCTCCAAGGTCACAGTGATGCTCTTCACTTTTCAGAGGAACTTCCCATGGGGAGACCCAGGCTCTGTTATGTGCATTTTTTCCTGCCACATGAGTCAGTTGAGAGAAGCATTCACGAACTGTGAGGATGTGTGTCAGCAGCACTCTGCAATCAGTGCCAGCGTCGTCGTAGGGTGACAGAAAGGGCTCCAGGCACAGAGGTGGTAAACTGGAGGCCCCAGGCCAAACCTGGCCTTGGAGCAATTTTCTTTTGTACCATCTACATTCCTTACAAATACAAGAAATCATCGCTAGCAGCTGGGGCCTGATCGCTCCGCTTCTCACCAGGCCCTACCACCTCCTTGTGTTTTGCACCGGGTCTGCTTCACACATGTCTATGGCCTGCTGGCTTCTGAGCTCATTCTAGGCTTGAAACCTCAGGTCTGTACAATAGATCGGGAGATCTGGAGTCCTTTTAGACCCACAGCCCTTTACACCTGCCATCTCTAAATTTTGTTCTTGCCAATGAGAATGCAGTGAGAGGTACCTTGGAAATCTGAGAAACGGGTGGAGGTTGGGGTGGCTTCTCCTGGGTAAGGATGGTGGTGGTGATAGTAACTTTGGGGTGAAGTTTCCTCTAGCTCCTGGTATTCCATGGTCCCACACTGGGAAGCCATGGGTCACACACGGCCTGGAGCTGGCCCAGGCACTGGCCCGTGTTCCTCTGCTCCTTGTCGTAGGCCCTGGCCTGGCTTTCATCGCTTACCCGCGGGCCGTGGTGATGCTGCCCTTCTCTCCTCTCTGGGCCTGCTGTTTCTTCTTCATGGTCGTTCTCCTGGGACTGGATAGTCAGGTATCAAGAGGCAGCCACTCAGGGGCTGAGAGATGAGCGGGGGGTGTGTGCTGGGGAGGAGGAGCAGCGGGCATGTGGTTGAACTTTATGCCCCAAGGGCCCGTAAACTAGCTGGGGGCTGGGTGAATGTCAGAAGCAGATGCCCTTTCGGGGGCACAGGGGAGCTTGAGGGTGAGTCCTGACCTCACCAGGCAAAGACAATGGCTCTGGGGACCTGAGAGAGTGAGGCTGGCAGGGCTGATCCTGGGAGCGAGAAGCCAGCGCTCAGGGGCAGGGCATCTCGGGAGCTCTCCTTCCCTGCAATCCCTTTGCCCTCTCATCCAGTTTGTGTGTGTAGAAAGCCTGGTGACAGCGCTGGTGGACATGTACCCTCGCGTGTTCCGCAAGAAGAACCGGAGGGAAGTCCTCATCCTTGGAGTATCTGTCGTCTCCTTCCTTGTAGGGCTGGTCATGCTCACGGAGGTGAGGGCCTGGGAGGCGGGGGACGATGGGGGAGGAGGAGCCGAGTGACAGCTGCTACCTGTCAGTGAGGCAGATACCCTGGCTTCGGGTCAGGGCAGGTCTTCTGGGCTTCCGGACACTAGGACTCCCTCTTTTCCCCATCCCAGGAAGGACAAAGTAGGCAGGTCCCTCCTCTGGCCTTTGGGCATGGACCACCCACCTCCAGGGATGGGTGAGGAGCCATTTGGCTCCCCAGTAAGTGAAGAGGTATGTGGAGCGTTGGATTGGGAGAAGCTGCCTCTCCAGCAAGATCTGGTGATTTCCCAGGCAGCTGAACCAAGTTCTGTGTACAAACTTCAAAGCGAGAAAGGGAGCCCTGGGGCTGGGGAACGTTCTGTTTGCCGTCTCAAGGGAGAAGGAGGGAGACGCAGCTTGTCAGCTTGACAATATCAATGACAGCCCTTATCCTAATCCTTTCCCCAGAGAGTACACGCTATGTCTTGGGCTTCGGGGCCAGTCCCTAAGTGTTCTCAGACATAATCTAACAATCGCTGTCTTATTTCATCTATCTTCTGCCTCAAAACAATAATAAAAATAATTAGCGTCTCATATCTGCCTCGTGCTTTACGCCTTACAAATGACTTCTCTTTTGTGATCCGTCTCCTGTGATCCTCACCAGCTCTGCTCGGTGCCTCCACCGTGTGACGCTCAAGGGCGTAGGAGGGAATCTGTCTGTTTCCACTGGATGAAGTTCTTTTTACAGCTCTCTCCTCCCGTGCAGGGCGGAATGTATGTGTTCCAGCTCTTCGACTACTATGCCGCCAGTGGCATGTGTCTCCTGTTCGTGGCCATCTTTGAGTCCCTCTGTGTGGCTTGGGTTTACGGTGAGTGACTCCTCCCCTAGGTCCCGTCCCCGCATCCTCCTCTTGTCTAAGGATCTCGGGGCCCTTAGACACGAAACAGACATCCACTGCTCACACTTACCTTTTCCTGGGGCGCCTCCCTACCCAACCTCAAAAATCGGGCAAATCGGCCGGGCGCGGTGGCTCAAGCCTGTAATCCCAGCACTTTGGGAGGCCGAGACGGGTGGATCACGAGGTCAGGAGATCGAGACCATCCTGGCTAACACGGTGAAACCCCGTCTCTACTAAAAATACAAAAAACTAGCCGGGCGTGGTGGCGGGCGCCTGTAGTCCCAGCTAGTCGGGAGGCTGAGGCAGGAGAATGGCGTGAACCCGGGAGGCGGAGCTTGCAGTGAGCTGAGATCCGGCCACTGCACTCCCGCCTGGGCGACAGAGCGAGACTCCGTCTCAAAAAAAAAAAAAAATCGGGCAAATCCTAAATTGCTGCCTTTGGAAGGCCCCCCGGACACTGCCTTGCCCACAGTCTTGGTTATAGCTGTACCTAGACCACCTCAGGTGGGCCCGTATCCCGCCCTGTCCAAACATTTTCAGCTTTTGACAACCTCGATAACCAGGAAGTGACTGCCTGTCCCCAGGCCAAGGCCTGCTTGCTGCTGTTTATGCCTGTGAAAGCCAGGCAAGAGCTTTCTCCCAGCAACGATTTGAACAGGCAGCTGTGATGCCGTCTCTTCCTGGGTCCCCGCCCGTTCTGGTCTGTTTGTGGCCCCCTCCTGATGTTCTGGGTGCCGAAGAATGACTCTCCCGCTTCCTTCTTCTTTTCTCCATGGTAGGAGCCAGACGTTTCTACGACAACATCGAAGACATGATTGGGTACAGGCCGTGGCCTCTTATCAAATACTGTTGGCTGTTCCTCACGCCAGCTGTGTGCACAGTAAGATCATTTCAGGGATACAGTCAGATGAAGGGAGTGCTTTACGCCTTACAAATGACTTCTCTTTTGTGATCCGTCTCCTGTGATCCTCACCAGCTCTGCTCGGTGCCTCCACCGTGTGATGCTCAAGGGCGTAGGAGGGAATCTGTCTGTTTCCACTGGATGAAGTTCTTTTTACAGCTCTCTCCTCCCGTGCAGGGCGGAATGTATGTGTTCCAGCTCTTCGACTACTATGCCGCCAGTGGCATGTGTCTCCTGTTCGTGGCCATCTTTGAGTCCCTCTGTGTGGCTTGGGTTTACGGTGAGTGACTCCTCCCCTAGGTCCCGTCCCCGCATCCTCCTCTTGTCTAAGGATCTCGGGGCCCTTAGACACGAAACAGACATCCACTGCTCACACTTACCTTTTCCTGGGGCGCCTCCCTACCCAACCTCAAAAATCGGGCAAATCGGCCGGGCGCGGTGGCTCAAGCCTGTAATCCCAGCACTTTGGGAGGCCGAGACGGGTGGATCACGAGGTCAGGAGATCGAGACCATCCTGGCTAACACGGTGAAACCCCGTCTCTACTAAAAATACAAAAAACTAGCCGGGCGTGGTGGCGGGCGCCTGTAGTCCCAGCTAGTCGGGAGGCTGAGGCAGGAGAATGGCGTGAACCCGGGAGGCGGAGCTTGCAGTGAGCTGAGATCCGGCCACTGCACTCCCGCCTGGGCGACAGAGCGAGACTCCGTCTCAAAAAAAAAAAAAAATCGGGCAAATCCTAAATTGCTGCCTTTGGAAGGCCCCCCGGACACTGCCTTGCCCACAGTCTTGGTTATAGCTGTACCTAGACCACCTCAGGTGGGCCCGTATCCCGCCCTGTCCAAACATTTTCAGCTTTTGACAACCTCGATAACCAGGAAGTGACTGCCTGTCCCCAGGCCAAGGCCTGCTTGCTGCTGTTTATGCCTGTGAAAGCCAGGCAAGAGCTTTCTCCCAGCAACGATTTGAACAGGCAGCTGTGATGCCGTCTCTTCCTGGGTCCCCGCCCGTTCTGGTCTGTTTGTGGCCCCCTCCTGATGTTCTGGGTGCCGAAGAATGACTCTCCCGCTTCCTTCTTCTTTTCTCCATGGTAGGAGCCAGACGTTTCTACGACAACATCGAAGACATGATTGGGTACAGGCCGTGGCCTCTTATCAAATACTGTTGGCTGTTCCTCACGCCAGCTGTGTGCACAGTAAGATCATTTCAGGGATACAGTCAGATGAAGGGAGGGAGAGACGGTGGCTAGCAGGGTCGAGAAGCCGTTAGCCCTGCCATGCACTTCTCCCTAGGAACTGAAAATCATCGTAGGCTTTCACTCATCCTGCTTTGGATTCTAGAAAACTACAGCAAGATAGATTCTTCCTTTCCATGTCACAGAAGGATAAACTGAGGTCCAGAGCTGTCAGACGGTTTGACCAACACCACAGTGTGAGTCTAACGTCACAGGCCAGGACTGAACCCGGGTGCACTGGACGGCTCATAATATTCTAATCCCCACAGCAGTGGTAAAAGCGGCCAGTACAGAGGGTGCTGGGCCCAAGGTGCTTGAACACGTATTAACTCATTTCATCTTCACAAGAGCCCCATAAAGGAAGTGCTGCTGTTACACTGGTGTTACAGATGAAGCTGAGGTTGAAGAGGTGGTTAAGCCACTGGCCCGAGCTAGAAAGTTGCAGAGAACTTTGGCCATATCTCTTTGTGTCAGCTGTTCCCAGGCCCCCACTGTGTGCAGGATAAAACTGAGGGGCAGCGGGAGAGCGAGGCATGGCCTCTACCCTCGAGGCACTCACACCCCAAACTCACGATGCAGGAGGGGAGGGAAATACTCACAGCATGCAGTGGGCACACGATCATGTCCTAACTGGGAGTCAGCTGCACGTAGAGGTGCCCAGGGGCACAGGGGCCCTGGCGTGGCAGAGTCTACTGCTGGGGGGTGTGGGTTTCGGGCAGAGTGTGGATGGAGAAGATTGGAGGCCGATTGGCCCAGAAGAGCCTGAAGGGAATCCAGGCTCGGAGGGTGATTTCTTCCAGGCTGCTGGGGGTGGGGGAGCTGAGGGCACAGGCCCCGCCCCCAACCCCTTTCTCTTCCGTTCCCCCCCCAGGCCACCTTCCTCTTCTCCCTGATCAAGTACACTCCGCTGACCTACAACAAGAAATACACGTACCCGTGGTGGGGCGATGCCCTGGGCTGGCTCCTGGCTCTCTCCTCCATGGTCTGCATTCCTGCCTGGAGCCTCTACAGACTTGGCACCCTCAAGGGCCCCTTCAGAGAGGTAGAGCCTTTGTGGGCAAGAAAGCAGCCCGAGGGGCTGGGAGGCTTCGCAGGTGCTGGCAGGTGGACAGCCAGCCGGGGTGCACACAGTTGTACGGAGGGGCCCGCGGGCCTAGCCTGGGTGTCAGGGAGCGATAGAGGGGCTGCTGAGAAGTCTCGGGAAGAGACAGGGTGACTCCCAGACAGGAGCTGTGATGACAGGAGGGCAGGTGTGTGTGTGGGGAGGCAGGCAGATGTTGGTGATGAGGGAAGCTGGCAGACCTGCCCCCACTCTGCCCCCTGACAGCCGCCTCCGCGCTCCCTGCAGAGAATCCGTCAGCTCATGTGCCCAGCCGAGGACCTGCCCCAGCGGAACCCAGCAGGACCCTCGGCTCCCGCCACCCCCAGGACCTCGCTGCTCAGACTCACAGAGCTAGAGTCTCACTGTTAGGGGCAGGCCCTGGGATGGTGCCTGTGAGCCTGGCCGTGGGGATGGCTGCAGAGGGGACAGGGCAGAAGCAGCCGCATGTGCTTCCCTGCCCCGCACCTAGAGTGGATAAGACAAAAGGGGTGTTTTGGAATCCACCTGCCGAGCTGGAGGCCTCCCACTCCAACTTTTCAGCTCGGGAGTTACTGAACAGATGTGCAAGGCCAGTGCCAAGAGTGCCCCTTTGAGACCCTTGGGAAGCTGGGTGGGGGCTGGTGGGTGGGGCGAGACTGTTGCTGGCTTCGAGCCCCCTCACCCTTCATTCCATTAAATCCACATTCTTCCCGCTGACTGCTAGTGGTTCTGTCTGATTTCTGCCTCTCTGCCTGGCTGCCTTGACCCTTCCCCGTGCTACAGTTGTGACTTTAGGACCTTGCCCCTCCCCATCATAGCCTCCCCCACTGAGTTCTCCCTGGGGCCCACTCAGCACGGTGATGGGGGGCTGGTGGTGGGGCCAGGCTGAGGGCCTCCATCATCAGGCATCTGGACCAGAGGGGGCTGCCCCGCCTCTCTCCACGCGTCCTCAGCTTCCTTCCTCCTCCTTTGCGCTGTGGAATAAGAAAGGAAATTGAGGGACGCATGAAGGAGACCCGAGTCCTAGCCAAAGGAACGGCGAAGGCTGGTGGCAGCTTCCTCCTCCCCACGTTCCCTGCTGTGTCCTCGCCTACCCCCAGCGGCCAAAACTGTGCCCGTGTGCCCACTGAGGCCGGGCGCGGGGGACGTGGGAGAGGGCTGGCTGTGACCACGCCCAGTGCAGCAGGTTCGGGAGCCTTGGCAGAGGAGGGCACTGCCCGGCCCGTCCAGCAGAGGAATGCCACTTCCTTGGGACCGCCTCGCTCTTCTGAGGATTGGAGACACCGGATGCCGGGGCACCGCCAGATGTGGCCACGAGGGGGTGGTGCTGCCGTGGCCACAGCTCTGCTGTCAGGGCCTGAGCTGCAGGGAGGAGCGAGGAGCTCTTTCGGGTGAGGCTGCAAAGAGGATCCAGGTGGAAGGAAGTCCACCCCTGCTCGGGGTCAGTGGGCATGGCGGAGGGGGTGCCCAGAGGGTGCCACAGGTGTGTCTCTGCAGCCTTACCTCTGGATATGGGCATGGAGCCGGGGCCCACATATTTCTGGCTGTTGCTTTTTTTTTTTTTTTTCACTGCAAGCTCCACCGCCTCGCAGGTTCACGCCATTCTCCTGCCTCAGCCTCCCAAGTAGCTGGGACTACAGGTGCCGCCACCTCGCCCGGCTAATTTTTTTTTTGTATTTTCAGTAGAGACGGGGTTTCACCGTGTTCGCCAGGATGGTCTTGATCTCCTGACCTCGTGATCTGCCCGCCTCGGCCTCCCAAAGTGCTGGGATTACAGGCGTGAGACACCACGTCCGGCCACTGGCTGTTGCTTTGTGTGTGGTTTTGGAAGTGGCTGCGCACACGGCTACATCTCTCCCTGCCTATGCGCGGGCTTGGGGGTCTGCCCTTGTGCCCACCTTTGTTCTGATGGGTCTTCTGATGCTGCCCTTGGTGTGTCCCGTGATTCTTAGATCTGCAGTCTGAGGGTGCACAGGCTTCCCTGGGGGATCTCAGTTCTTCACATGTCCATTAGTGGACAAAAATGCACTGAAATATTTGCTAGTCTTCAATTTTTGACTTTTTGTCGTTGGAAGAGCTGGTGAAGATTAATGACACCTGTCCTACTGTATGTCAGCCTTGGCTGCCCTTCCCTGGAGAATGACTGCTCGGGCATTCCCCCAGGGTGCTGGGCTCAATCTCAGTCTCACCGGGGGAGAAATACGTCTGCTGGAGAGGCAGGCCAGAACTCGAGACGCTGCAAGACCCGCAGCTCCATCCATTGGACACTATTGACAGAACACCTCCCGTGTGGTGCGGTGCTGGGCTCGCGGTGCCCTGCTGGGCTCGTGGTGCGGTGCCGGGTTCGTGGTGCGGTGCTGGGCTCGTGGTGCGGTGCCGGGTTCGTGGTGCGGTGCTGGGTTTATGGTGCGGTGCTGGGCTCGTGGTGCCGTGCTGGGTTCGTGGTGCTGTGCTGGGCTCGTGGTGCCGTGCTGGGTTCATGGTGCTGTGCTGGGCTCCTGACACGCCAGGAGCAAAAACAGACACAATTTCCTAAACAATGAGTGACAGATACCATGACAGAAAAGAGCAAAGGGCTGTGGAAAAGGATAACTGGGGTGGGGCAGGACCTCATGGGGCAGGCTGGGTTCTAAGGGTCCCTGTCTGTATCCATCCATCTGACCAAAGTTGCCAGAACTGCCAGCCTCGGCGGAATGTGAGACTCAGATGTGATCTGAGTTGCATCTAGGAGCGTCCTGATGGTGGAACATGGTGTGAGAGTCACCTGTTGGTGTGAGAATCAGGAGATGTGGTTCCAGAACTTGCTGGGTGTCTTTGTGCAGTCACTTGGAATTCAGGTTCTTTGCTCTGCAGTTGAAGATAATGCCAGGCGCTCCTTCTCCAAGCAGGCTTGTTGTGGGGCTCAAAGGCGGTCATGGGTGTGAGGGTCCTTTCAGTCACTTGGTGACACACGGTGTGAGGTCATCGAACTCGAGGGAGGTGGCCGAGGGGATGAGGCTCTAACCGCAGGCGGGGCTGTGGCAGGCAGTGATGTGAGAATGCTGCTGGCTTGGGTCGGGGTCAGGGTTGAGGGAAGGAAGCAGGAGTACCTTGGCCTTAGCCAGTAGGGCTGAAGAGATGGGGATGGGGTGGGGGTGGGGGTGTAGGGCAGCCAAGTCAGTGACACCTGCTTCCCCAGCCTGGAAGGGTGGGCCCTGTATCGTGGAGTTCCCAGAGAAGAAGACCCAAAGGAAGGGCCCTCTCTTGTCTGGAGGCCACACCTGTTAGAGAAGGAAGGTAAGCAGTGAGAGCCCGGGGCACGCTGAACAGGGAGAGCAGAAGCAGAGGTAGCAGGAGAGTTACAGACTATGCCCAGGGCTGTGGGGAAGCGGCTTGTTAGACACTGAGCCCACCAGGCTGCGTGGGGCCTCAGACCTTGCCCACATGGACACCCGGGTCTCAGATCCATACACAGCCATGCAGGCACCAGCCCCTCCTCATCCTCAGAGACAGGTGCACATGTGCACCCACTCAGAGACGCCACAGCCAGCTGAGCGTACTCCTTTAGAGGGGCTTCCAGGCCTGGCTTGGATCCTGGCCCTTTTACGTACTAACTATGTGACCTTGGGCAAGTGTAACCTCTCTGATCCTTAGTCTTCTCTTCCATAAAACAGGAATACCACGACTCGCATCAGTGTTGTTAGAGTCCAACAGATGCTATAGGGACAGCTGCCCTGGGGAGCATTCGGGCAAACCCATCCTATTTCCCATAGCTCCAGCCCCACCACTTCGGGCTGCCAGCATCACAGGAGAGCTCAGGAGGAGTTTAGAGATACCCTTGCCGTCCCCAGTCTCAGACTAGGTTGCACTGGAGGGAGAGGTAGTCCTAAAATAATTCTGCCTCCTGTGGCCTGAGAGTGCTACTCCGCACAGCAGCATCGTCCAAGATAAGCAGGACCTGAGTCATCTAAGCCCTCTGATTCTGGGGAAACAATGTCCTCCCAGAAAAGGGAAAACTATGATCATTTTTCCCCCTTCAAGTTCCATCCGTCCGTCCATCCGTCCATCCGTCCATCCGTGCATCTGTCCATCCATGCATCCGTCCATCCATCCGTCCGTCCATCCGTCCGTCCATCCGTCTGTCCGTCCATCCGTCCATCCATCCATCCATCCGTCCGTCCATCCGTCCATCCTCCATCCAGTAAACACCGAGTGCCTATTCTGAGGCAGAATTGTATTACCTGTGAGAGGCAGAAATAACGAATTATGAAATGAGACCCCTGCCCTATCGATATCCATGGTCAGGGGGACAGTATGCTACAGTGGAACAAGCATAGATTTTTGGAGCCAAGAGGCCCAGGTTCAAATCCCAGCACCATCACTCACTCATGTGTGGCCTTTGGACAAATCACGTAGCTTCTATTTATTCACCCCAGTTTCCTGTCTGTAAAATGGGGCTGATGATTTTTATATTTCAAAGTCCTTAAAGGGATGAAATGAAGTAACATGTGAAACTCCTCGTCTGAGTTAGATGCTCAGGAGTAAGTCCTATTCCAGGCCCTCCGAAAGTACGCACGGGGTTAGAAGATGAGGATGGTGAGAACGTTCTGTGGTGGCCAGTGGTTCCTGCTGCAGCCAAGCTAATAGATTCATTTAGCTAAGGTAATAGATTCATTTAGCTACACGTCGTCTTCACTCTGCACACTCCTCAGTGTGGAAACAGCCCAGTCTCAGCTAGGCTTCCCAGGATGCCTACCTTTTGCAAAGGTGAGACTCTCTGGAGTTTACTAACTGGTCTGAATACTAAGTGGGTGTTGGAGGCTAGGAGAACTTGAGTAAGGAAGGACTCAACATTAAGATGGTGGGACTAAGGCCAGAGGTGGTCAGATAAAAACAGGGAGGAACTAGGTAGCTCTTTCGGGGGCAAGTCAAACTGCACTCCCCGGGCCAGGTCAACCAGGCAGCTGTTCTCTGACAAGGTGAAGGAGAGGAGACAGGACTGCTGGGCTGTTGCTGTTCGTCCTCGCAGAAAGCATGTCACACCGTAGGAGCTAAATGTAATTTTTGAGGAAAACTCACCCTCGTGGCTTGCCAGATCCTCTCCCTCTTTCTCATTTTTATGCAGAGGCTCGTGTTTTGTTCTGCAGTAGCTACAGCTAGGTGATCGCACGGACTTTGATGTCCCCTCTGCAATAGCTCTGTGGTCAATCCACGGTGGACCTGACACTCAGGGACAGGCCACACCTGAGCACCGGGGTGGCTCAAGTATGGATTCTTGCTGGGCCACGTCCTACTGTGCCACGGCTGACCCCCAGCCCGGCTGCTGGTTTCGTAGAGGCAATGGGTCTGAGAGCTGAGACCTGCTCTGCCTTCCTCATCATGTGAAACCCCACAGGAGATGCTGAGAGGGGACCGAGAGACACACAGTGGGGGTGCTTGATGGAAAACTACAGACTGAGATTCTCACTTCACACCCCACCCCTGCTGAGAAGTTCTAAAGTACAAAGAGGAAGCACATGTAAAAGGAATTTTCCCTTTCTCCCCACAACTTCCTCTCCCTTCATGCCACCTAGAGCTGAAGAAGCATCTCCTTTGCTTGAAGGAGGCACCGGCTATTCTGAATGAAGGGCGGTGGGACGGTGCCGTACCCAGCACCAGGTGGACGTGCTCAGGGACAGTGACCAGGACACTGTTCTGGAGGAACTCACTGGGCGCACGGCATAGGGCACACGTATTCAAAAATACCCTTCCCCACTGATAGCTGCCAGGCCACTCCAGACAACTTCTAGGTAGGTGCCTGGTGCTGTGCAGCGACCAGAGGTGCCTGGGAGCAGATACCGCACTGTCCCAGCCTCTGCTTCCAGAGGACCCACCCCCCGCCCGAAGCACCTATGATATCCCAGCACCCTCACAGCAGCCCCGCAAAGTCGATATTGTATTGTTACCTACGTTTGACAGACTGGGAAACCGAGGCTGACCCTTGTCTAGCTGTCGTGACTGATACATGATAGAGGAGAAGAAACTCAGGTCTGTCTGGTCCCAAGCCTGGGTCCTCTCTACGTTGCTTCTTGAGATATGCGCTGGGTGCTTTCTCTAGGAAAATCCCAAGGAGGGGGGTAGTGGTTGTGAAGGTCCAGGGCCTTGCCTGGAAGCCACAGAGGGCAGGTACTTGGTGGAAAACTCCAGGGTGTGATTCACCCTCCTCCCTTGCCCTCATCAGTGAGGTCACCTCCCCTCCCAAGGTTCTCAGTTTCCAGCCTGGAGACTCTGGTAAGAGAGGGCTGTCCCCTGTGCTGCACATCCCATCTCCTCGTCCCTGGGAAGGAGATGGTTCTGGAGGGGGATAGAGGAAAAGGGGGAAGGGGGAGGGGAAAGGAGGAAGGGCAAGGAGCAGGAGGAGGGGAGATGAGGTCAGGGTGTGAGCCTCTGAGCCCCTTCCCCTGCCCAAGGGAGCAGCTCAGCCCAGCTCTGGAGGGGTCATCATGGGACCGTGCCCACTGGGAGGGCACCGGTCTGGAGACAGTGGGTTCATAGTGGGAGTGGGATGGGGGTGGGAACACTGGGGACAGAGGACTTGACTTCCTGAGGTTGGATGTTGTAATCTTGGTTCACAAACTTTTGGCCTCAGTCCCTCCTGTTGCTCCTGGTATTTCTCTGTCCCTTCACTTCCCAACACACACACACACACACACACACACACACACACACACACACAGTTTCTTTCTGTCTGGGAGTCCCTGGACAAGTCCCATGGGATTTTGCACTGGGAGGAACAGCATAAGGCGTGAACGTGGAGGACAGTTTCCCTTTCAGGTCCCGGCTCTCTTGACTTTCCTGTAAGCGGCCACCCTGGAACTCTCCTGGAGACCTGATGCCCGCAGCTGAGCTGCCCGCAGGAGCCGGTGCTGGGGACTGAGGTGAGCGGGAAGTGGAGGGGCTGGCTCTGTTTTTGCAGTCTCCACCTGCTGCCCAGAGGGGCTGGAGGGATAGAGCCCAGGGAAGTGAGACTGTGGAACTGTGCGTGTCTGTGGTGGGAGGCAGGACCTGCAGTAACCTCGGGCCAGTGGGCAAGTCTGATGCCCACGACCGACTCTCAGGACAAGGGGTGCCCCCTAGCTCCGCCCCGTCCAGCGTGGGAGCGGCTCAGGGATCAGCCTGTGGAACAGGAAAGTCCACCGATGGGGAGCTGGTCACGGCAGTGGGTGAAAGCAGGGGTGGTCATCTGGCGAGGGGAGGGGAAGCAGATGGTATCCATCGAGGTGGAAGGAACAGTGGAGAGGAGAAACCTCGGGGCATTCCTGAGGGCCCAGGAACTGCAGTAAATGATCACAGGTGAGGGGCTCCTGTCGTCTGCCTCCTGGCTGAGCCCAACGAGCTGGGTGCCCGGCGTCTCCCAGGAGGAAGCTGTCTTGGCTTTGGGCGGTGGGCGGCATGGGTGTGCTTGTGCCCGAGGGGGGGCACTCAGGGGAGCTGCAGGCAGCCACTGACTGAGACAAGCAGCTCACGGGGTGTGAAGGACTGCAGAGGGAGCCAGGTTTTGGTCATGCACACAGGTATGTGTGTGCAAAGGGACGTGACGGGAAATGGTACCAGTGTGTGTACGCGAATGGGTGTTGGTATGTGGGTGTAGGCTGAAGCAGGGGTGGGTCCCATCCCCCATGTGCAAGCGCTGAGCTGTTCCTGTGCTGGACTGGGGAGCAAAGGGGACAGAGACGCCAGCAGTACCTGGGCAGCAGCATTTCTGGTCTTGTCTGCTCCTCTGCGAGCCCCAGCTGGCTTCTGGCTACACGCCCAGCTCCTGAAAACAGAGTTAACTTTGGACTTTCTAGTCTCTTGAAGATTTCCTCTCTGGGCAGCACCAAGCCCGGGGTGGAAATTGTGTTTGCTTCTGAAGGGCACTGAAGTATGATGAGGTCCATCGGCCGTCCCTCACCCCTGCCGCAGCTTAGCAAAGCAGGTGGGCGGCCTTGGGAGGAGACGCGAGGGGCTGGGGAGGCGGCCAGCTGAAGCTGGAGGTGGAACGCACAGCGGGGGTGGGGTGCACCTTTTAAAAGCAGCCAGAAAGGAGAACTCAGTGCAGCTTGTTTTGGTGTCCAACATCCTCTGGGCCATTTCTTCCCTGAGTCTGACTTAAATCCGTCTTGCTGCAGTTCAAGCCTATTTCCCCCTAAGTTACCGTGGCTCGGGGCCGGTTTTCCTTTTCACTTGCTCTTGCTTTCATTCTGCCATTCTGGATTTTCATTCTTAACCACAAGTTATGCTCCTCCCAATTACATTTTTATTTTTTAAAAAATCATGTGTCAGTGCCAGTGTCAGTTCATCAGCTCCTGTTCTCTTTTCTCTCTTCCCCTATTTCTGATAAAACTCAAACCCTGGGCCCACACGGGATTCTATGATTTGCTTCCCTGCCCCTGCTCCCCTCCGGCTTTTCCTTCATTTACTCCTTTTCCCCAACAAGACTCCACTCCCCCAACTCTGGAGACCACCTTGGTCCTGCGATCGCTGCCTCTGGTCTGGGAACAGTCAGGCTCAGTTCTGACCACCGCCCCAGGGGTCCTTGTGTTTGGAGCTCACCCTATGGCCGGCGAGCAGAGACCGTCGGTTCTCCTTCTCTTTATTGAGTCTTGTTTTTATCCCTTCGCCCTCCGAAAACCCCTGCTGAGCAGCGGTCATTCTCTCTTTCAGGGAGACTTAGGGTTCAGAGAGGAGGTGTGATTGGCCTGAGGTCACACAACAAGTTAGAGACCCAGCTCCACGACTCACTGTCTTGGTAAGTTTATTCTAGCATTCGAGAATGGTGTCCCCGAGGCCCCGCAGGCGCCGGGCACTGTTTCTTAATCTCTCAGAGCTTCACTTTGTCACACACGAAGTGGAGCTAATAGTAATGCCTAACTTCAAAGATTCTTACGAGGACGCACTTCAGTCACACAGAGAAAGAGTGCCTGTTGTGAACACGGGGCTCTCTCAGGTGTTAGCCTGCTATTGTTATTAACAGCTAGATCTGGATTAGAACTTGGGTTTCCGGTCCGGTGCTTTTTCATGAATGTTTTCAAGCTCGTTCGCTAGTTTGTTCATTTGTTTGGGGATGAGTCCAGCGTCATTTCTCAGGGTGCCTCGGTCCTAATTCTGTAGCAACATCGACATTTGGGTTCAGATGGTACCAACTTCTCCCCTGGGCCTAACTCCCCATTTGTTCTCCCAAGGCTCCAGTGCTCAAAGCCCCCATGGGTCTGATCACATACTCCGGACGGACCCAGAAGCTCTCTTCCCCCACCCTGCCCCGCCTTCTCCCTTATATCAGAGACTCAGGACCTTTGATTTCCACTGGGCGTCTCTCCTCATCCTCCCTCCTGGGCTGCAGGGGAAGCCTCCAAGTAGGTCCCAAACCAGAATTTCACTCTGACACGCTTTCCCGTTCCTGGCACCCTCCAAGTCACCTTCAAAAATTTCCATAGCCTCAAATGGCTCCTGCCCACGCCTTTCTAACTGACTTGGGCTTGGGCTGTTGCCTGGGTTAAAAGGACCAACAAATAAACACAGACTCTTCCTTAATAAAAAGAATCCCTGTGTTTCTCTAGAGCCTTAGAGGAACGCGGAGCACTCGGTAGACCTGGTCACTTGATTCCCTCAATACCCCTCCGAGATGAGGGGCTGTGGGATGGGTGCTCCCCTCTACAGTCTGGGGCACCTCCTCTTGGCAATTCCCTGGGCATAAAGGCAGAGGTGGCCTCAGGGTAATTGTTTGTGTGTATGAGAGGGAGGAGAAGGTAAACACAGACTGGAGATACACCCTGACAGAACCGGATTTATCTCCTGGCAGTTGACAAGCAGGCCAAGGGCCAGAGAGTAGAACTGAGAATGGCCCACGTCATTTTTTCTGGAGGTCTAGGGCGCTTTGGGCTCTCTAGGAGGGCAGGGAGAAGGAAGGGCAGTGACCCGCCGCGATGGCAGCCACTGCTGGGCCTCCCTCTTGAAGAGCCAGTCATTTGGTCACCTTGGGGGTCATGTGGAGATGATTGCCAGCCGAGCGAGAACTGGTCTGCTGATCCCTTCTGGTACCAGGGCCCCCCGGTTTTTCTCAGGACAGAGATGCAACAGAGAGAAGAGGAGCTGGGGCTCCCTCGAAGGCTTACACTTGCCCCTGGTGCCAATCCTTGTTGTCTTCTGGCCTTGTTCAGAGGCCCCACCTTCTCTTTTCCTCCCAATCAGCTGCCCAGAGCTGCTGGCTCCCCTGTTTACTCCGCGTTGATCGATCACCTTCGCACACAGCTGGCTAGGAGAGAACCATGCAGTCACTCCGGCCACACCTGCCCTTTGACCCTTGCTACCTCGGCAGCCTTGATCCCTTCTGGCCTGGAGGCCAGAGGCTAGGCTGAGGTCACTCAGCAGACATCAAGGACCTGGGCAGATGGGCCGGCTGGGATGGTGGCGAGTTGTGCCAATAAAAAGGGACATGAAAATGAAAAGCTCGAGCCTGGGTTTTCGTCACAGTTCTACTCCGGAGTGGTCTTGGGCAAATCACTTCGTCTGTCAAGGCCTGGATTTCCTCATCTGCAAACTCAGAAAACTAAGATTTGCTCTTTATTTGCTCTGAGAGTGATGAGAACGAAGCGTAACCTTAGGTGTTACGCCTGCCATGAGCACTTGGGAAGAGCAGCGATACGCTGACAGCAGAGATCAGGACGGCAAAGCAGGGCTGGCGGGAGCCTGTGGGGTTTTACAGCTGATTTCTTCTCTTCCCACCAGGCTTTGGCCCTCGTCATCCTGCCCACCCAGCGGGGCCTCCCAATCCGCCACACGGCCATGGATGGGAAAGTGGCAGTGCAGGAGCATGGGCCTCCTGCAGTCTCCTGGGTCCCCGAGGAGGGAGAGAAGTTGGACCAGGAAGACGAGGACCAGGTGAAGGATCGGGGCCAATGGAACAGCAAGATGGAGTTTGTGCTGTCAGTGGCCGGGGAGATCATTGGACTGGGCAATGTCTGGAGGTTTCCCTATCTCTGCTACAAAAACGGAGGTGGTGAGTTCACTTTGAGGTAGGCATGGTGGGGAGAGCTGTGCCCTGGCAGCTGGGCAGTGCATATCTGGGCCCTCCTTCCTGGGCAGTGTGGTTTATAAAAAGAGGGCTATTTTGGAATCGGAGGACTTGAGTTTGAGTTCCAGCTCTACCATTAGCCTCAGCGTCCCCTCCGTGAAATGGGGAAAATACCTCCCAGGGCGATGGTGAAGATGAAATTAGGCCACGGGCAGGACCAAGAAATTCTAGTTTTTAGCAAGCTCCTTCGTAACTATGTAAAGGTCAGTTGTTGATAGAATTCAGCCATTCATTCAGCGAGCATGACTGCAGGCCTGTCACGTGCCAGACCCGGCACTGGGTCCGAAACAGAACACGTTCCATGTGCTACACTCCGTGGAAGGGTTCTGGGGGATGGTGCTGTGTCCGCGGCAGGTTGCGGACAAACAGTGCAGCACGGTCCACGTCAAATGGTGACGCGTGGAGGGGTGAGGCGTGACGCAGGGAAGAGGGATAGGGAATGCTAGGCGTGCAGAGGGGAAGGGGACGGTTCAGCAGACTTGAAGGAAGTGAAGGTGTGAGTGTCGTGGGTGTATCCTGGATGGAGAACACGCCTGACACAGGTCCTGGGACTGGAAGCAGCAGGCCTGTCTGAGGAGCAGTGAGGAGGCAGGTGTGGCTGGGGCGGAATGAGAGAGGGAGAGAAGAATGGGGTGAGGTCAGAGAGGTAACAGGGTCACTCAGGCTCTGTTCTGAGTGAGATAGGAGCCACCGAAGCAATTTTGGTTGGAGAAATACCTTGCCTTTGAGTTTGTTTTTCAAATTAGAGACACATGATTTTATTGTTTTTCAGCCCTGGATGTAAAAATTAGCAGTGGTGGGGAGGGGCCCGATTCCTTTTTCTAAGTGTACAGTTCAGTGGTTTTTAGTCACAGGATTGTGCAACCGTCGCCACAATCACTTTTAGAACATTTTCATCATCCCCAAAAGAAATCCTATATTCATCAGTTGTCGCTCCTCATTCCCTCTCCCGGCCAGCCCTTGGCAACCGCTCACGTGCTGCCGGTCTCTGTGGATCCCTGTTAGGGCTATTTCATAGGAATAGAGTCATTCAATGGGCAGTCCTTTGTGAGTGGTCAGAGTCGTTTTATTTTTGCCTCTTGAAATCACTTTTATTCTTCTTGTGGAAAAGGTATATGTTTATTGCAAACATTAGAAACATTTCAGGAAGGTAGAAAGAATACTCACATTAGAGATAACCATTGTTGAGAAAATCCTCCTAACCACTATTTATATTAAATCTGACCAATATTTACGGAGTGTCTACTACGTATCTTGCTATGTGTTTTAAAGCTTATAGTTATGATCACAAGCTGCTTGAATTGACAACTCCTAAGAAAAAGCAGTAGGATTTCTTGGACTGGCTCGGTCTCTAGCGCTGAGGCTGAGAGGGCAGGCTGACCCTGGGCCAGAAAGTCAGGGGAAGGAGGATGAAGGGGCAGGGTGCTGGTTTCCTTCTTCATCCAGGGCCACCATCTCACGGCATATAGGATGTCAGGGTTGGAGGTGGAGGTGGCCCAGGCTAAGCCTTCCTTTGGTGGAGGAGGATTTGCCCAGGACCTCAGAGGGCCCTGGAACCAGGCTGGCTGCTTCCTGCGTCACGGCACACTCCTCACCCAGCTATCCGGGAGGGAGAGAGCTCTAGGGCCTGGGAGGCAGGGCCGCGGCGTCGGGCGCTCACCCTGCCTCTGTCCTGCCACTGGCTTCTGCTGTGGCTGCGGCCTCTGTCCTGGCCGTGGGGCGGGGTGCATACAGAGAGAGATAAGTACCCCCAGTAACATCACGGAATGTCGGATCCGGGTGACCCTCGTCCCAGCCTAACTCTTGGGAAAGGCACCCTTTCTTTCATCTTTAAGATGAGGGGGCCAAATGAAGTTGGGGTCCCAATCTGGAGTCCCTGGTCCTTGGGGGTCTAGGAATGTAGTAAAGAAGGGCCAGGAATTCATTTTCTCATTTCCAACAACCTAATGATGGATGGATGTGGGAACAGGACGTCTCAGACTAGTCCAAATGTCTTTTAGTTTTTGCTGTAGACTGAACTGTACTAACTCATAGTGATAATAAAGTTTATCTCAAGCTGACCATAAGGCCTGATTGGCAGTTAAATATGATTTTTATTAATATATGCAGGGAAATTTATTGATTATTAACTAGTAAACAGTTCTGTAGAGAAAAATCTTTCAAAAGAAACAAAAAGAGTAATAAAACTATTGGTCTAATGAGGTCTTTGGTTATGAAAAAGAGGGGAGCCCCTGAATTAGATCATCCTTAAGAAATCATTCACCTCAAAAGAGAACGTTAGGAAACTCCCATTATCTGGGTTGTGAGTGGTTCCGGGACAAGCACGCAGCGGAGGTAAGGCACACCTTAGAGGTGTTTAAACCAACCACGGGCTTCCGGACACCCCGTCCGTAAAGGTTCCCATGGGGCATCATTGGACTGCCTGCGCCCACAGCCTCGGCTGACACCAAGGAGACACGAACCAGGGTGACCTTCCAAAGCAAGGCACTGATCAGATAATTTGAGGGGAGGGTGTTGGCAGCGTTAGCGTTCTAGAAACCCAAGGGTAGAGGATGCCCTAGACGCGATCCAGAACCAACCTTTTCATCTGCCCCTGAAGGTCCAGACTTGGTGCCGCCCTTTCAGGGAGGACCCAGTCTGAGGGGGTCCAGCTCCAGGCCTCCTGAGATCACCCCGTCTTCTGTGGGGCAGAAGTCCACACTCCCAGGCGAGAACTGAAGCCACCTCTTTTATCAGACGGAAGGAGTCCCGTGGGCCACACGCCCTGACAGGCATCCTGTAAAGCGCCTTCTGGGGAGGCCTCAGGCCATGTCCCTCTACTGCACGCTACCCCTCAGCCTAGGTCCTGGGACTTCCCAAGCCACTGAAACCTGGGTCAGTGGTGTTACTGGCACTGTGTTGACCAACACTCTAGTATTCGTAGGGTTGGAAAGGCAAACATGGGGTTCAAAGGGACTCTGGAACTCAGTGGAGAGTTACTGGCTTGTGGCTCTCCAGGATCCAGAAGACACAAACTTTTCCTTCTCTCACATAATTGCCATCAGGAATCTGACAGATCCTCCTCTCACATAGTGCCATCGAGAATCTGACAGATCCTCCTCTCACATAGTGCCATCGGGAATCTGACAGATCCTCCTCTCACATAGTGCTATCAGGAATCTGACAGATGGGTGCAAGAGTTTTGGAGAACAATTTGGAAATGCATGTTTAAAAAAACGTGCGTCCCCCAAAGGTGTGGAAACAACCCAAATATCCACAAACAGATGAATGGATAAACAGAATGTGGTAGGTTCCCATAAGTGAATATTACTTAGCCTTCAAAAAGAGGGGAATTCATGCTATGACCTGGATGAATCTTGGAGGCATGCATGCTGAGTGAAATAAGCCAGGCACGAAGAGATAAGCACTGTATGATTACACATTCATGAGGTACCTAGAATAGGCAAATGCATAGAAACAGAAAGTAGAATCACGGTTGCCAGGGGCTGGGGAGAGAGGGGAATGGGGAGTTCGGGTTTAATGTGTACAGAGTCTCAGTCCGGGATGATGAAAAAGCTCTGGAGATGGATGGTGGTGATGGTTGCACAACATTGCGAATATACTTAATGCCACTGAACTGTACACTAAAGAACAGTTAAAGTGACTTATTTATATTTTATCATACACACACACAAAGCAAAAAAAAAAAAAAGCATACCTTTTGACTCAGGAGTTCCTCTACTGGTAATTTGTACTAAGGAGTGAATTAGACAAGTACACGAGGATGTGGACAGCAGTCTTCATTATGACAACGTTTCGGATGAAATGACCAAAAGTCCAATGACAACATACTGGCGAAGTGCACTAGGATAGATACACAGAGGGGAACACTATGCAGCAATCAAAATGATGAGATAGATATGTATTTATTGCCATGAAGAAGTTTATGGTAAAAATTTAAAAAGTGGTTATCAAATAATGTATTTGATACATGATTACTTCTCATTTTTGCAAAAAAGAAATACGTGTGTGTGCTTTTAAGAAATCTGGAAGGATATACAATGCTTTTGCCTTTCTTTCCCTCTGTACTTTCTGTGTTTTCTACATAATAATATGGATATGAAGTATCAGAGGTATATAGTGTAGTGAGTAAGAGCTCAGCCTCAGGACTAGACCGCCTGGGTTTGTGCCTCAGTTTCCTCATTCGTGCTTCGGTTTTTCCATCTTTAAAGTGACCTCAGTTTTATTATCTGCAAAATGGGGATAACAATAGGGCCTGCCCCATGGGAGGTTGTTTTGCAAGGACTGTGATGTTGATGAAGCACATACAAGAGTCAGCACCAAGTAAGCACTCAGTGTTCTCATGGTGTAACAAACACGAATCCATTCATCCTGAGATGAACTTCTGACGCGAGGTTTATGCCTTAGTGACTCCTGCTGAGGTGGGTCTCCTGGGCTTGCTGTTGTCTTCAGATTCCATTCCTGTGTAACCTGCTGGATGTCTGTTAGGCCTGGCCTCCCTCTGGCACCTGCAGGTTGGCACCTAATCACATCATGGCCTTCTCTGCTGGGAGCCCCGTTCAGATCAGAACTGGGTGGAGGCAACAAACACCCTGAAAATTATCAGTGGGAAAACAATGCTTCCCAGGTGTTTGTTTTTCTCTAAAATGTACCAAAAGTTTAATAAGCATAACAAGTTATACAGAAGCCATGTGTTTATTCCAAAAATAATCTATTGACTAGATTTGTAAAGTACACTAAGAAAATAAATAGTATATATATTAGAATTTCCACCTAAGTTTTCATTAATTCCCCTTCCAAGGTCTTTCTCATTCTGTGTAGGGTTCAGATCAGAACATTCCCACCTGCACCTGCCTAACACTCAGGACGGCAGGCAGACAGGAGGAAGCCGCCTTGGGTCCCTGGGAGGTGTCAGGAGGGAGATTAAGAACAGGATGGTGGAGGGTGGGTTTGTTCGGGGGAGGGGAGGTCTGAAAGGATCCAGGCTGAGGAAGAGCCTGGGTGTGGTTCAGCCCTGCCTCTCTCTTTTCTGCAGGAGCCTTCTTCATCCCCTACTTCATCTTCTTCTTTGTCTGCGGCATCCCCGTGTTTTTTCTGGAGGTAGCGCTGGGCCAGTACACCAGCCAAGGGAGTGTCACAGCCTGGAGGAAGATCTGCCCCCTCTTCCAGGGTATGTATCCTCCCCCACCTTCCTATTCACGGGCCCTCCACCTTGCCTGCATCCCCCCATTGTCTCTCCCTTCCTACCCACCCACTGCCTCACTCATCCGCTCACTCCCATCCTGCGCCAAGTGCAGAAGCAGGATCAGGCTTCATGGGCGGGTTGGAGAGAGGTGAGCCTGGTGGGGAAACACTGGCTCCCCAGCAAGCTGGGACTCTTACCACTGATTAGGGGGAGGTGGGGGAGGCCAGTTTGGTGCTGATGCCTTTCGGGGCAACCATGGGACCCCTGCAGGGGCAGAAGTGAGGGGCTGCAACCGAGTGAAGCTTGGCTTACTGTGGTTCTACTCACAGGTGCTGGGTGCTCCAAGGGTGCTGGGCCTCAGCCAGAACAGGTTCCCCCTGTTCTCCCTCCATCCCAGCAGCGGTAAATGTCCCACTCAGCCGGGTCCTATGCCTAGGTCCAAGCACGCTCAGGGACAGCACCCGCAGGGCTGGCCTCTCCGGAACAAACAGAGCTTATGCGGGTGCCATGGTCAGGGTGAGCAAACGGAGCGCTGGAATGCGAGAGAAGCAGATATCTTGGCTCTCTCCTTCTTTTCCAAGTCAGAGAGGCGCCAAGGCCGGGATCTCAGCGGGAGGTGTGTGCGCCCGCGCTCTGCTGGTGGGAGGTCCGGGCTGCGCCACCCGCCCTCTGCCGGCCGCAGCGCCCACCGCACTCCCCTCCCCGGAGACGGCGCGTTCAGGCTCGGGGCTCGCCCTGCGCTCACCCGCCCCGCCACGGGCCGCACGGGGGCCGCTTCTCCACCCAGCGTCACTCCTGCTCTCTCGGAGATGGGGGCCGCCCTGCCCCTCTCCAGCTGGCCCCAGCAGAATCGCAAACCCCCGGTCCGCTGAGTTCACGGGGCTGACCCAGGGCTGCGGGATGGGCTGGACGGCCGCGAACACAGCGCGTTCCGCCTCGGCACAGTGGCCGCTTGTTTGTGTGTCTGTGTGTTTGTGTGTTTGGTGTCTGTGTGCGCGCTCTCAACGCCCCGCCCGCTCCCCGGAGACCCTCTGCCATCGGAGGGTCCCCTCCTGCGCAGCGCCACGCCCACCCCCGCGCCCGGGCCGCCCCAGAACCCGTCCTTGCCACGGTGGGCTCGCCTGGCCCCAGAGGAGTGGTTTTGTTCATAGTCAGCATTGATTTTTCAGCCAGGCTGTTCTGAAAGGTCCACAGTCCTTCATTAAGTAGTGAGCACTTCGGGAGGCTGAGGCAGGAGGATGGCCTGAGCCCAGGAGTTCGAGACCAGCCTGGGCAGCATAGTAAGACCCACCCCTTCTCCCGTCTCTACACAAAAATTTAAAAATTAGCCGGGTCTGTCTGTGGTCTCAGCTACACCGGAGGCTCAGATGGGAGGATCGCTTGAACCCAGGAGTTGGAGGCTGCAGTAAGCTGAGATCACACCACTGAGCTCTAGCCTGGACCCCCCACCCTCTCTCTCTCTCACGCTCTCTCTCTCTCTCTCTCTCTCACACACACACACACACACACACACACACAGAGTTACTGAGCATCGACTAAAGACAAAGAGAGAGCTAACCCAGCAGGAAAGGGGCAGGGTTCTCTCACAGGGGAAACCGGGCTCCAGCCCTTCTCCGCAGGACTCCCGAGCCACCTGGCAACATGTTGCTTTTAAAATGACTGTGGAAAAGATTCCACTTTGTAGACGGGGGTGCTGGGGAGGTGTGTGTAAGCCCTCCCTCTCCGCCCCCTCCCTCCCCAAATATGCTGCCAGGAGACCAAGTGCATCCAGCTAACCACAAGGCTTCAGGACAAGTGTTAAAATAGCAGCGAGGTCTCCACCTTTGCTGGCGGTCTTGCTGCTGGCTGAGATGGCGCTAGGTGCTGACTCAGGCTCCTAAGTTCCTGACACAGAGACCATTTCTCCCTTCCTCTCTGGTTTCTTTCTTTTGCTCTTATCCTGAGACCCCTCTGTCACCCAGGCTGGAGTGCAGCGGCATCATCTCGGCTCACTGCAACCTCTGCCTCCCGGGGTCAAGGGATTCTTGTGGCTCAGCCACCCAAGTAGCTGGGATTACAGGCATGTGCCACCACACCTGGCTAATTTTTGTATTTTTAGCAGAGGTTGGGTTTCACCATGTTGGCCAGGCTGGTCTCAAACTCCTGACCTCAAGTGACTCACCCGCCTTGGCGTCCCAAAGTGCTAGGATTATAGGTGCGAGACACATTCTTACCAAATTTTCCTACTTACTTCTTCCTTCTTCTGGCCCCTTTTCATTTTCCAACCAATACATGGTTGTTGTAGAAAAACTAGAAAATGCAGATAGCCGAAAAAAAAACAAAAACCCAGAAACTTGAAAATGTTATCTGAAATCCTACCACCTAGAGAATCATTTGTTAACTTTTGGGTGAAGATCCTTCCAGAGCTTTTCCCATGAAAAAAAAATATATACGTTCAAATACATATTACAAAAATGGGAAAATGCGTAGGGTAATGTCCTGTAACCTGCATTTCTTCCTTAGAAAAATACGCTGTGGGCCGGGTGCGGTGGCTCACGCCTGTGGTCTGAGGGACCAGGACTCCCAACCGTTACCGTCTGCTGTCCCTTGCATCACACCCACAGGCTCCTGCCCAAAGTTCTTACTTCCTCTGCTAGGGCACAGGTTATGTGCCTGTAATCCCAGCACTTTGGGAGGTCAGGAGTTCAAGACCAGCCTGGCCAACATGGTGAAACCCCGTCTCTACTAAAAATACAAAAACTAGTTGGGTGTGGTGGCACATGCCTGTAATCCCAGCTACTCAGGAGGCTGGGGCAGGAGAATTGCTTGAACCCGGGAGATGGAGGTTCCAGTGAGCTGAGACCATGTCACTGCACTCTAGCCTGGGTAACAGAACAAGACTCCATCTCAAGGAAAAAAAAAAAAAAAAAAGAAAACTATGCTGTGAATGGCTTCTCATGCCACTGGATAAACCCAGTGGTTCTCTTTGTGTAGCACCCAATACCCTTGTAACCTCAACTGGCAGCTTCTGTGTGACTTTTTTGCTAACATTGATCTCTCTTGTCCCTCCCCACCTCTCCCCCACTCTGGAAGGCATTGGTCTGGCGTCTGTGGTCATTGAGTCATATTTGAATATCTACTACATCATCATCCTTGCCTGGGCTCTCTTCTACCTGTTCAGCTCCTTCACCTCTGAGCTGCCCTGGACGACCTGCAGCAACGTTTGGAACACAGGTATCCATCATTTCAGCCCCTGGGATGTTGCCTAATAGGGGCTGGGCTGCGGCGGCTGGTGATGTCCAAGCAGCGATGGGGTGTATAGCGGAACTTGCCTCATAGCCAAGCCATGTGGGCTCCGGGGCCAGCTCTGCTCCTTGGCTCTCCTGGAGCCCTCAGGCCAGCCACTAGGACAAGTCAGTGTGGTTGGGAGAACCCAAAGGGAGTGTATTAAACAACTGCAAGGGTTATCACCACTTACTTGTGCACTTAGCAAGCACTTACTGGACACCTACTATGTGCTAAACATGGTGCCAAGGGCTGGAGATGGGTACAAGGCTGAGCAAAAGCGACAGGGACCCAGCCTTCACTGTGTTTACAGTCTGGTGGTGGAAACAGACAAATAAACACAACCACTACGAATTGTGATAGGTGAACGAAACTGCAGAAACCATAGAACAAGGGGAGGGAGACGTGTCATCTGAGGCCTGAAGTGAGAAAGAGCCCAGCATGTGAACAGCATTCCAAGCAGGGGGAAGAGCAGGCACAGGGCCTCAGTCCCTTGGTCTGTCAAGTGGAGAGACAGGAAGTCGGAACGGGCCAGTGGGGAGAATGCGTTCCATACCAGCTGCCCGTGAGAGGTCTGAGTAGATCTGAAGTCTGGATAGTGTCTGAGGTTGGCAGGGCAGCCAGGTAAGCAGCCAGATTCAGAGGGAACAAGAGCAGGGGGAGGAAGAGCTGGCTCTATGAGACTCCTTATGCTCTGGAGAGGGTGGGCTCCAAAAGAAGCTCTTGGGGTTAGGAGTGGTGAGGACCACTAGGCTGCAAGGCCAGAGGGCCGGGGGACTAGGGTATGAGGGCCTCTCTCTCCATCTTGTCCCTAACCTGTCCCCAACAGAGCACTGCGTGGACTTTCTGAACCACTCGGGAGCCGGCACAGTGACCCCATCTGAGAATTTTACCTCACCTGTCATGGAATTCTGGGAGTAGGTGCTGGGCCCATATGCCACATGTGAAGAGGCTCCAAGCAGAAGAAATTTGGATGTCTGAGCTGTGCAAGTCTGAATGTCTGGGGTGCAAGTTTAAGATTCTCTGTGTGCTTTCCAGCGCTTCCTCCCCCGCCCCACTCCAACCCCACACGTCGCTGAGGCAGGGGAGAACGCTCTCACATCTACCCACCTGGGTCCGCGTAGACGCACGTTTCTCCATCGTGTCCACCTTCACCCCCACATCCCTACCTCTACGCATATGTCTGCCCATACATGTCCGGTGCGGTGCTGGACACAGTCTTCACAGCCTTAGGCGAGCTGGGTGTGCATGTCTCTCCCCAGTGCCATGCTTGGTGGCATCATGCTGGTAGCTTGAAATCGCCCAAGGCGGAAGTGAGCACATCAAGACCTGGGCATACCCTCCGCTCACATACTCACCCTCTCACATGACAACTTACACCTTCACATTACCCGTGCCCACACTCGTCCACCTACATTCCCACGCAAGGCTGCCTGTACTCACACTGAGCTCACCCCCACGTGGGCACCACTGCCCTCACACATGAATGCCCTCGCAGTGCCGAACCCTCACACCCATGCACGCAGTTCCAGCACCCCATCGCATGTTTAGACACTCATACACATTCAGCCCCTCCATGGGATACCCATGCCACTGGCCCATCAACCTGCATGTATAAATATTTACTCGCTAAACGCTCATGTGTACATTCCTCATCTCTCTCTCTCTCTCCATCTTTCTGTACAAGAAAAAAAATCTGGATGAGTTAGAAAGACAAAGATACGTATGGGATGATGGTAGAAGTTTGGTCTACCAAACTTCCCCCAGGGGGTCGGGGAAGCCCTGGAATATGAGATCCATGGGGTCAGCTCTGAGAATCTGAGCATCAGGAGACTTGCCAACAGTTGCAAACTGCCCCCTTTAGCCTTTCCCCTCGTTACTTATTTTTCCCAATCCTCCAGGAGACGAGTTCTGAGCATCACCTCGGGTATCCATGACCTGGGCGCCCTGCGCTGGGAGCTGGCCCTGTGCCTCCTGCTCGCCTGGGTCATCTGCTATTTCTGCATCTGGAAGGGCGTCAAGTCCACAGGCAAGGTGAGATGTTCTGCCTCCTAGGAAGCTCCCTGTGGCCCCCAGAGCTTTCGGGGACACTTGAGGGGGACCCTCTGGAGAACTGATTTCTTTCTCTTAAGAAACGAAGCTTCCTGAGCAGTGCAGGGGAGATGCATAGTGAGAACAGGGGAAGTCACAGGAAGGCGGATCTTAGCTCTATGCAAGGAAAGTCTTTCTTTTTCAATATGACTTTAAAAATCCGGTTTCCATAAGAATATTCAGGGCAAATTCGAAACAGAAAAGTCCCATTGTTGGAGCTAATCACTGCGCTGCCAGGTTGGCACTGAGAATCTCTGTTCACTTCTGCTGTGTTGCCTTCTGGTTTCTCTCATGCGTGTGTGTGTGTGTGTGTGTGTACTCCATTATGTGTCGCTATATGCATCATGAAGGGTCCCACGCCTTTCTGACTCACCTTCGTTGTCTGTATTTCTCCCCCATCGCCCAACGCTACTTTTGCGTTCTGCCCTTAGCACCAACAGGACTGCTCTTGACGGTCGGGAGTTTCCCGTCTAACAGGGTTCCCCCTCAGGCATGCACGGTGGGCGGGCTTGTCCCCGTAGAGAGAATTCAGATTTGAGACTTATTTCCCACCAGAGACCCGGCGACTATGCTTCGTGCCTTTCTTTCCCGCCCGGGACTGGTTGGTACCCAGACCTTCTCTGCCTTGGCCGTACACTTCGTCTGTTCCGCGCTCCGCCCTTTCCCCTCCCTGAATTGTGACAGGTTGGTTCATAGTGTATCGATGACGTGGTCATCGCAAGCCGCGGTGTGGTGGCTCACGCCTGTAAGTCCGCCTTTGGGAGGCTGAGACGGGCGGATCACACAGGTCAGGAGATCGAGACCTATCCTTGGCGGAACACGGTGAAACCTGTCTCTCTAAAAATCCAAACCAATTGCCAGGCGAGGTGGCGGCGGCCTGTGGTCTCAGCTCACTCGGAAGGCTGCAGGCAGGTAAATGGGCGTCAACTGGGGGTGCGAGCTTGCGTGGCGAGATCCCTGCCACTGCCTAACCAGCTGGGGCCACAGAAGCGATGACTCCCGTCTCAAAAAAAAAAAAGTGGTCACCATAGTGAGAACAGCACAGACAGTGCCACTGCTGCCACCCAGGGAAGGAAGGAGATGAGTTTGCTGAGTGGCAGCGTAGAATGCCCCGGAGCTCCGGCCACCGCTGCTCCCCCAACCATTAGCCGGGAAAAGTGCAGTCTAACTTTCCCCACAGATCACTGTACAAATCTGGTCACTGTTCCCCTGGGTCGCCAGGGGGCAAGGAGAGAACAGCCAGGATAAGGGATTAAGAAAGACCAGATTCTGGACTTTAAAGTAGTCTTTGCCTTGATTTTATCATTACACATTATGTACATGTATGGAACTACTACTCTTTTTCATAAACATGTACAGATTAGGTACATACGTACACATTGACTAAAAATAAGAGGAAAAAAATGGTCTGGGAAGGTTATGGGCTGGAAGCCTGTACCTGCCTCCCTCCCTGTCTTCCTCCTCCCCTCCCCACCCTTCCCGTGCTGACGTGCGTCTCACAGGATGTGTATCCCCACATCTGTGGGGAGCACGGACCCGTTGGAATG